ACTAAATTATGAACTTATTATCATTTGGACTATTGAGTTCATTAAATTATAATTCCATAGATATCATATTTAATCCTGTCAACACAATAATGGTATTAATTGGCATGATTTGTAGTTACCCTGCGTGCAGAGTCTAGTTAAACTACAAGACGAAGCTCTCTTTTAAGAAGTGAAGTCAAACGATTGCAAAGGGTAATTTGTAGTCAGAGACAGTTTAAAAAGTTGTTTAGATTAATGATAGTATTAGGAAAAATCCTAACTCAAAGTTTTTGTTCTCTCGCAATCCAGAGCAAACCACTCGCCGGGCAAGCATTCTTTAAAAACGTGAAGTTTTCACCATGTTGAGCAGTTTTGAAAATTGTCCAATTTGAACCATCGCCTTGTATATTTCTGTAACAGCCCCCCCCCCCTTTGACACTCGAGTGTAAGAATCCTTTCCACACTGTCAATGGTTTTACAAAATAGTTCATGTCAGGAAGGGGGAGGGGTGAGTGTGGAGAACAATCACTGACTGCGATTTGTATGATTGAACATTATACACTTATCATAAATTCGTTAAGAATAGTTTTAAAATAAACAGCTTGTTTTATGTTATGATTGGAGTGATGTATGCATAGAAGAACGACACTGGTTTTGAAATATCTTTATTATCCCATTGAATGAAGCCATCCGTCCCTCTTTTCATTCTTAACTCATACTAGTGGACTGATTTGATTTAAAGGAGAAGTCTCGATGTAGAACGTGTACACACTAATGGGAACGAATTTTACTCATTTCTATTTAGGATTCGTTCATATACTAGCGGGGCTTTAGAGCATTTACAAACGCACGAATTGTATTGTTTTAAGGCAACTTTTATGACATATAATGTATTTAAAGCTGATTAATTTTAGATTATATTCGGTTCAATTTTACAAATAATGAATAGTTTTACAGTATATCGAAAAATATACAATGATTTACATTAAATCGCGCAGACTGCAAACAATGTACATGGTTGGCGAATTTGCATGCGCGTTCTTGATAATAAGAATTAAAGGTTGAACTTAAAAATCAAACATTTTCTTTTTTAAACATAATAAATCTTTAAATCAAGAAAATAAAAATAAGATTGATGATTGAACTTTTCATAGTCAACTGCGACTGTGTCGACGCATGTTTATTTACTTAGCTAATTAGATATGTAAAATTGTTAATGGCCGCAACGGATAATACGTACATGTAAGCTGTTCGGATAAGACATTTCTATATGATTAATAACAAATCCCGGGCAGAATGTTATTCAACAGTACTTGATCTTATTAGTTATTATTCAATTTGGATAATAAATCTATTATCTTGTCGTATTGATGTTTATTATATAGTGTTTCTCGTTGTGATACTCAAATTGAAGGAATTTTAGAGTAGATCACAATTACATTTATGGTACTGTTTTTTTGATTTGCGCCTCAGAAAATACCAAATGGCTGCCTTGCCTCTTAATTTTTCATTTCTTAACAAAGTACTGAATATTACTAATTGTAATTTTGGTAATTGATATATTGTTCATTGGGATTTGCTACTCCATGGAGTGGCAGTTTTCTAGTTTATAGAACATTAATTACTGTATGATATATCGTATGATCTGTAAAATGAAGCCTTCTAATTGGTCAGTTCTTGTGCTGTACCAATCTGTATTGCTACTGAGATTTCCCCCATTGATTATCTCCGTCGCAATACAGAAAATATTGATACGGAGGGGACATTCTCAGTAGCAATACAGAGCATCACACGATAAAAAAGGTTATAGAATAATTTGAAGTGCAATACAGGATATATTCTGCTCTCAATATTCTGTATTGGCACTCGACTTTGTCTCCTGCCAATACTGAATTTCTCGAGCAGAATATATCCTGTATTGCACTTCAAATCATTCAATAACTTATAGTATTGTCATGTGTACGTACAATTTATGTTTGAATATCCATTGAATTTTGGTATATTGTAAAAGCATGATATTCTTCTATACAGGGGAATAGTAAAATCCTGTATATGGAAATAATTCATCGCTTTTATAATATCAATGACACATAAGTGAACCAGTTATAATTTCTGCATTATTCTTACCAGTAACAATATGTTCACAGACATCACCATAGTAACCCATAGCACACACGCAGGTGTCATACCATTTGGTGCCTCCATTTTTACAGTCTGGCAACACTGAAAACAAGACAGGATGCTTTATTTTTTACATTCAACCATGGCCCCTATACTAATCAAATTGTGTTTTGTTGTTCATTATTATAAGAGACTTTGAATAAGGGTTGGAGCCCAAAGTAAAAAATTACCGTACAAGATACAACTAGTCATATACTTAAATTCATTTCATTTAAGGATTTAAGTCCTGGACTCAGTGAAATGTATAATGACCATTCCTTGAAGGTGTTGCTTTTACAAAATTTGCACAAGTTGCGCCAGCATCGAGTATTGATTTTAGGAAAAAATGCCCGAAAGGAATGGTCATTCCACAATTCATTGAGTTCAGGGGTTAAATTATTATCACACATTGCACAATATTTATACAATACCACTAAAAAGATATGAAATGACCTAAAAGAATATGTTTTCAAGTAATCTTTTTGCAAGGGTCAATTTGTCACTTCTGTTTGTCGGTATCATGGATTGTCACCATGACAACCATACAACAATTAACATTTGACCTGCATAAGCACATAGCTTGTTATTCCCTATGGTACTATTTATAGAATTTTACTCAAATGTGAACTTATCAGCTTCTCTGTTTCATAAGTTTCAATAGAATCGAGAATGAGCGACCTAGGGTGAATTCTTGGTTATATAATTGCACGCAGTTATTTAAAATAGAGTTTTCAGATTGGCTGGAATATTACATACATGTACCTTGCCTAGCTATGTGTGAATATATTTTATACCTTACCTATGTAATAGTGATCAATTCCTTGCACAGGGGTAGGTGGGGTCAATGAGATGCTTGGCCCATTCAGTTGACACAGCTTCTTGTTTGAGCCACGGGATGTTTCTATATTGAATGTTTTGCAGCTTTCTCCAATCTTGCTGCATGCCAGACTGCATCGTAATGTGCTTCTAACCATCAACTCACTTATTAGTGTCTCTGTTTTTTGAGCATTTTTGATGTTCACATATGATCTTTGTTGAAACTGACCGGCATTAGTAACTTTTATTTCCCCGATAACAAGTATGAGAACTTTTAGAAAAGAAAGCCATATTCCTCTCATTTTGCCAACAACCTTTTCATTTAGACAAAGCGTTCATAGTTTACAGTTGTTATTAGGACGACATTTGCTTTTCTCAAAAAACAGAATCGTGCGATTTGCTGAGATATTGAAATATGAAACGTCAATGCATATGATTAAAGAGAATAGAACATGCAAATGACTTTATTTTATTTTATATAATATTATAAAAATATGTATTGATTAACTATGTGTTGAAAGTATCAAATGCACTAGCTGCACTTTCATTAACAATACTAATCTTCACAACCTAGATGAATAGAAAATATTGTTTTTTTTAATTATATGTCATGATATCTCTCCTGACGCTTGGTGCATTCTGTACTCTTTCGATTGTTTGACTAGGATAAAAGCAGTACAAATTGGAAATAGACTAAAAATAATCATTTGAGCTAAAAAATATGTTAAGCAAATATCATGGTAAAGCAGAGACATATAAAACATTTATATGTCTCTGGGTAGTTAATAAAAAATCAATGTTTATCAGGGACCATGGGTAACATATATTGTCTGTTTTAATGATTGGCATGGCAACCTGTAGTACATGATAAAACAATTCGTGTCAACTGAACACATGTACAGGTACACTGTATATGCCAGTGTGATTCCAGCCAAGTTAGATGAATACTGTGGTTCATCAATCAAAACCAATGAACTGATCATTATTATATTTATGTATGATTTTTATACTATATTTATGGAATTGCCATTTTTGGTAGTATTTATTGAATTATTGGCCCCTTTATGTACAAAAACCCATTATCCAAGCATTGGGTTTTAATCAGCAAACAATGAAACAAGTCAGAACTTCAAACTTTAACATCATTGTCAGTTACTCTTGATACTTTATGTATTGTCCATATCATACTGTAGTCTTGTGTCATTCATAATAGGTGGCCTGGGCTACCTAGATAACCCATGTATTGTTTGTATATCTACAGAGTTGTGCTGTAATACCTAGAAAACATATATATTGTATGTACCACCCTTAAAATACTGAGGCAACCTGTATATTGTATGTATATCTACGGGTTGAACTTGAATACATAGAAAACCTATATACATATTGTGTGTATATCTATCTACAGGGTGTTCTTAACTTCATATACAACCTGTATGGTGTATGTTTATCTACAGGGTGTCCTGGACTACCTAGACAACCTATATATTGTATGTACATCTACAGGGTGATCTTAACTTAATATACAACCTGTATGGTGTATGTGTATTAACAGGGTGTGCTGGACTACATAGACAACTTATATATTGTATGTACATCTACAGGGTTTTCTTAACTTAATATACAACCTGTATGGTGTATGTGTATTAACAGGGTGTGCTGGACTACATAGACAACTTATATATTGTATGTACATCTACAGGGTTTTCTTAACTTAATATACAACCTGTATGGTGTATGTGTATTAACAGGGTGTCCTGGACTACCTAGACAACCTATATATTGTATGTACATCTACAGGGTGATCTTAACTTAATATACAACCTGTATGGTGTATGTTTATTAACAGGGTGTGCTTGACTACCTAGACAGCCTAAATATTGTATGTACATCTACAGGGTGTCCTTAACTTCATATATAATCTGTATGGTGTATGTTTATCTACAGGGTGTGCTGGACTACCTAGACAGCCTAAATATTGTATGTACATCTACAGGGTGTTCTTAACTTCATATACAACCTGTATGGTGTTTGTTTATTTACAGGGTGTGCTGGACTACCTAGACAACCTATCTATGAGTCAGATCAGAAAGCTCTACTCCATGCTCAGTATGCTAGCCTTCCAACCTGGTGAGGAAGGGGGCCTCATACAAGATGACCTACACATTGTCATTAGAAAACAACTCTCCAATAACAACACAAGGTTTGTACAAAAACATTTCAAAATGTTAAATTGAGGTTATTATGTCACCACCAAAAGTAGTGACATATTGATATGGTGTCCGTTTTCTGTGACAGCAGTTTACGAGCTTTAGATTTGAGATTTCACCTTCAATGACCTCTCAAGGTCAAAAAAGGTCAAAAGGTCATTTTTCAACTTGCTTCAAATTGACCAAATTTTTTTCAAATTAACAAGGTCTCAGAAATTCAAATCTGACTTTAGATTTTGAGATTTGACCTTCAATGACCCTCTCAAGGTCAAAAACGTAAAAAAATCAACTTGCTTCAAATTGATCAAATTTTTTTTCAAAATCATTTTTAAGTTCCCAGAATTTAAAATCTGGCTTGATATTTCAGTTTTCACCTTCAAGGTCAAAAAAGGGTTAAAAGATCTTTTTTTTAAAAGAACTTCTTCTAATTGACCAAATTTTTATTTCAAATTGAAATCTGATTTTTAGATTTAAGACTTGACCTTTATTGACCTTCTCAAGGTAAAAGGTAAAAAAGGTCAACCTTTCAACTTGCTTCAAATTGACCAAATTTTTTTCAAAATCATCTACAAGTTCTCAGAAGTTCAAATCAGACTAAGATTGAACTTATAATATTGTGAGCAATTATGTGGTGACATTTTGTCATGTTAATGCCTTGTGATGATATGTGTTTGGGAGTTCAAGGTTATTTTATATTGATTATAGAGTGAATACTGGAAATTATGCATATCACCTGTATTGAGCGAATAAGGAGGACAGGGTGGGATGAATTTGAGACCTGTAAATATGAGACCCCTTAAATATATTAAAAAAATTCCCTTGATAACCTTGAGGACTTTAGTACTTAACCTGTCTTCAAAATAAAGTAAAACATGCATTTGTTTCAGATACAAGAGGATGGGTATTATAGGTGCTCTTATGGTGGTTAAGTGTATGGCCAGTACAAAGTAAGTTCTATACAGTTACTATAGTTACTTCAGTTACAGTTACGTTATCACAATATCAAGTTCCTTTAGTGGCTCAATATTGTAAATGTGTAAGCCAAAAAAGGCCAAAGAGCAACATTTTGAACTTTTTGTGTCGCCACTACAAGTGGTGACATTGTTATAGTCTCTAATTGTTTTGTGAATGGTGTTTAGTGATTGGTGTTCAGCATCTGTAACAAATGTCAGTTGGTGACATTTTGCATGTTTTTGCCTTGTCTATAAAGAATTGATTGATTTTAGGCCTGATTCAAGTCTTGACAACTCCTCAACTTTAGACACGGGGGTATCAGAAGACATCTATAATCAAGTAGTTAACCTGCTGCAACTGGTACGTGCCAGTAGTGACTCAGTACCAGAGACTTCTGCTCTCTTCATGGATGAACTTGCCTGTATTGTGGAACAAGGGAACTTGGACACTAAGGTTGAGGTAGGGTGTCACTTCTTTCTTTTCCAACATATTGTTGCCTAGGTATTTTATGGTACCATCTGGCCTTTTCCAAAGAGGATTGGATCCCAGGGTTCTAACTCAATATTTTTAATCTCCAAGCAAATTGTTCAGTGCTGATTTCTACATCAAAGAATGCACGAATGAACTGCAAGGAGAGTGACTGATATTCTAGGGATATCCGCCACAACAATCAAAATGTTGCTAATGTCTGACTTAAAACTGGCAATAAGTTCATAATCAGCCATTCAAAAGATTTGAACTAGATAGAATCTTGATCACTTCTTGTGTGTTTTGAAATTTTTTGTTGGAAATAAGACCAAAACTCGCGATTCAAATTCTGAAGAGAAAAAATGACGGCTGTTTAATTTTGAATTTTGAAATCATGTCATGACTCCATACATATTACAGTTGGGACCATGGGAGCCAATCCTCCCGGGTCTTACCTTGACACTTGACATCAAATTATTGTGAACCCTTTTACTTGCAACCATTTGAAACATGTTGCATCATGGGCCTTCAACTAATTGAAAGCCCATGGTTGCATCAAGTAGCCATGAAATTACGTATGAACTCATTCCAACAATACCAATGAAAAAATTGATAAGGATAGCTTCGGGAATGAATGCCTACAGTACATAACACTCTTCTAAATGATACTTGACATGTTTTAATGTACATTGTCTTTCATTTTCAGACATGGATCAGTGAGAATGTAATTAGTGATTTCCAGGACGATTATGTGGTTGATATAGACAAATCACCCAATACAAGGTTTGTGGATAATATCTCTAACATACATTGAAATGGGACATATAACAGTCCTTCTACGCATCTGAATTTAAATGTTGGTTTATGTTTTTGTTGGTTTTGCAAACATGTGTGACATACATATCCAATGAATTTGAAAATGAAATAAAATAGCTTTAAGGTGATTAGGTTTCTCATGGTCTTGCCTATGTTGCCTCAGTAATAAAGAAAACTATCTGATAAAATTTGCCCAGTTTTTGTTTGCAGCATTTTTATAGAAAATCTGTATATTTATTTATAGTAAATAATAAAAGAGAGAGAATGCACAGCATTTTTTCACATATTGGCTAAAACTACCTGGATATTATTTGAGGCCTACATTACTCCTTGTACATTTCTATAATTTCCACATTCTTTTCTTCAGAAACAGTCTTCTAGAATGGGAGTCTCTACTTGGCTTAGATGATGAAGAGGAGGGAGGTATAGCAATCAACCTGCTCCCACTTCTCATGCAGAATATGAAACAAAAACAAACACTTACTAATCACAGTAAATCGAAACAAAGGTATATATCTAAAGGATAGCTACATGTACGTGAAACAAATATTAATTAATCATAGTAAATCAAAACAAAGGTAAACATCTAAAGGATAGCTACGTGAAACCTGTAAACTGGAACGCCTCCTGAAGTGAAACACCTCTTTTAGTGGAACACTTCAGAGTCCTAAGACCAACTGACTTAATGTTAAATGAACCTCTATAAATGGAACACCTCCCAAATGAAACACTTTTTAGAGGTACTTAAGGTGTTCCACGTAGACAGGTTTTACTGTGCGTATCATGAAAGTATGCCTGATACTGTTTCACAAAACTTTGAAAGACATTTTTGCTAACAATATACTAGGCAAACGAAGGAAGTTCTGTAGGAATGTATGTAATGAAATGCTTGTTTGTAGGTTAGTGTCTCCAGCTGGTCTAGCCCCACACTTTAGACTGTTGCATTTAATGAAATGCTTGTTTGTAGGTTAGTGTCTCCAGCTGGTCTAGCCCCACACTTTAGACTGTTGCATGTAATGAAATGCTTGTTTGTAGGTTAGTCTCTCCAGCTGGTCTAGCCCCACACTTTAGACTGTTGCATTTAATGAAATGCTTGTTTGTAGGTTAGTCTCTCCAGCTGGTCTAGCCCCACACTTTAGACTGTTGTATGTAATGAAATGCTTGTTTGTAGGTTAGTGTCTCCAGCTGGTCTAGCCCCACACTTTAGACTGTTGCATTTAATGAAATGCTTGTTTGTAGGTTAGTGTCTCCAGCTGGTCTAGCCCCACACTTTAGACTGTTCATTTAATGAAATGCTTGTTTGTAGGTTAGTGTCTCCAGCTGGTCTAGCCCCACACTTTAGACTGTTGTATGTAATGAAATGCTTGTTTGTAGGTTAGTCTCTCCAGCTGGTCTAGCCCCACACTTTAGACTGTTACGTGTGTGTGAGCAGAAACAACGCAATGGCAATCTGGAAGAGATAGATGCACTGCTAGGTAAGGCCAAAGAACTTGTTTCTGTTCATAATATCACAAACAAGACATTATTTAGAGCATGTTACAGATAGTTACGATTGGTAAGTGAGTAAGAAATTGATCTCTGCTAAAAATTTATAGAAAGTGTCGATTTCGATGGAGCGAGTCTCATACTGGTTATACATACATTCATACTTAAATATCATATAATATATAACAGTTCTTCCATTTGTTGGAAATATGATTTAATCATAGTTAATAGTTGGTTTTAAGTAGAGACAAATGCAAAAACATACTGTTATGATTTCTTGCAGGGTGTCCTGTGAATATGTTCAAGATGGAAATATTAAGCAAGGTTGAATCTCTGTCATCCACAGAGAAAGAACTCATCTGTTCATCTATGTTCTATCTGGTCAACTGGTTTAGAGAGGTAGGTAATAACATTGTACCCATGCATCTTAAGAAAAGACACACCAGTTGTAAGATAATCCTCATGCACAAACATCTCTTTGTGCTGTGAACATTGAATTGAATTGACAAAATAGAAAATAAGAAAAATAGCAGAGTCTTATTAATAATGTCAATCAATGAAAAGCACAATGTATGATATTATAAGTACTGTTAATAAGTATGAACACAGGAAGTCACAAAATCAGTCTAAGTATATATTATGTTAAATCACATTACAGGTTGTAAATGCCTTTGCCAGTCAGGATGACCCAGAAATGAAGGGCAAAGTTATCTCTCGACTCCAGGCCATCACAACTATTCACAAACAACTCGAGAAATGTCTTTCAGGTATTTCCCCATCTTTGATAATTATTGTTTTATTTTAATCTATGTCACCACAAGAAGTGATGACATATTTTGTAAGTATGAGTGATGCCATATTGTTATAGACTCCAACATTTTTGTGGATGATGGTGTTCGATGGTCAGCGACTGCCTTTTAACATTGAGAGTTTGGTGTCTGTAACAAATGGTGGTGGCACTTTGCATGTTAATGCCTTGTTTAAAAAGTCCAATGCAGCTAGACCTAAAATGATTAAAATTGACTTAATTGAAATATCAATTGGGATAAAAATGAAAGTAATATGTGTTTTGAATTGCATTATGATTATAGTTGTCGGGAAATATGTTCCCCCTGTGTGTCACTTTGCTGCCGAAGATTCACTTCTACCCACAGTTAGTAAACCTCCTCAAGCTGCACGAAATCCAAAGAAAGCTTTGAATAAAAGGTAACACTACAAAGTGATCTGTCCTGCATTGGAGCATGGGGGTGCAGTACCCATTTAAGATTTTGTAAATGTGCTTGCACCCACCTGACAACATTTGGCAATTTAAAAGAATGCGTAGTGTAGTCACCTCACATGGCCTTTTGAGCTAATTATTTTGATGTATATCCACTTATGTGATATTATGGTATATCAATAAATAGATAAATGCCCATACATGAGTAAAAGTAATGTAAATTCATAAATTAAAATCTATGTACAAATTCATAAATTGAAATCCATGTACGAAGTTACATCTAGGTTCATGATTTGTAGGAAGCGGGATAGCCCTGACACCACCATTGACAGCCAAACTAGTCAAGTAAGTGAAAGGCTGAATGGCAAATTATTAGAATATCAATTGTCCCAGTAGATGTAATGTACAAAGCCAAATATGATACACTTGAAGGTAAGGCTGATAATGCCTTCACCAAAACCACTACAAGTGTATGTACTTTATGTATTTGTAAAATAAATTCTATGAATGAAAAATAAAAAAAAGGTAACAGAGATACACAAAGACACAACTATGTAATGTAAATGTTATTAGCCATGAGGAAACACATCCCAACAACTCTTCCATAGAAGAGATTTATCTATAATTTGGTTTTGCTAAAATATACAAAAACCATGTGCCTGCAGAATCATAATTTTTGTTTCAGACAACCCAGTTAAACAAGTCAACAGAAGATGATAAAGTTCCTTCAAATGGACCTTCCATCAGTATAGCCAACTATAAATATTATTTTAGGTAAAGTATACTTGAGGTGGTTTATACACACGCAATGCTAATAAATAGTTTTAAAGTTTTATACCTTCTTTGCATGGTGCTTGATTTAATATTCAGAGATGAAATATAGAGTGTTTTCTCCAAAACTGCTACAGATATCACCTTCAAATTTTCAGGGATAACTTATGAGTGCCTATTGTAGATGTGGATGAAAAAAATTTAACTAGAAACCTACTTCCTGTCTGCCATTTTGAAGTCAAATGCTAAAATCCTTGTCTGCAAACTTTAAGAAAAACTGCTTCACAGTTGCTTTTAAAACTTTAATATCTTGTTCAGCTCACTTCATTCTAGATCCGGTTAGGTTTTGGACCTGTTAGCTCAGTCATGTCCGCCATTTTGAATGTCTTTTTACAAGGGTTAGAAAAGTTAGAGCGCGATAATACTTTTTATCATATTGAATGGTGTTTTTGAGTTTTCATACTTTAACTATTTAGTTACAGCTTTATAAATAATTTCAGATGTACTTTGTTGTAAAAGCCTATGTTATTGTTAACAGTAGTTATATGTGATAATTTTGTAAAAAGAAATCAGCAAAAACTTTTTTATTGTCTGCCATTTTGGATTTTTCGGTCCTAAAATCTTGTCTGTGAAGTCTTGTCTGCGCATTTTCAGGTGAACCGTTTGGTGGATCAATTTCAAATTTTCAGGGATGATTCTTAGTATGAAAATCTAGAACTGATTAGTTTTTTTGGCATTCTGGGTAAATGTCAAGGCAGCCATTTTGGATTTTCCGTCCTAAAATCTTGTCTGTAAAGTCTTGTCTACTCGTTTTCAGGTGAACTGTTTTGTAGATCAATTTCAAATTTTCAGGGATAATTCTTAGTATGAAAATCTAGAACTGATTAGTTTTTTGGCATTCTGGGTAAATGTCAAGGCAGCCATTTTGGATTTTCCGTCCTAAAATCTTGTCTGTAAAGTCTTGTCTACTCATTTCCAGGTGACAATTTGTAGATCAATTTCAAATTTTCAGGGATGATTCTCAGAATGAAAATCTAGATCTGATTAGTTTTTTGGCATTCTGGATAAATGTCAAGGCAGCCATTTTGGATTTTCCGTCTTAAAATCTTGCCTGTAAAGTCTTGTCTACGCGTTTTTAGGTGAACCGTTTGATAGATCAATTTCAAATTTTCAGGGATGATTCTTTGTATGAAAATCTACATCTGATTAGTTTTTTGCATTCTGCATAAATGTTAAGGCAGCCATTTTGGATTTTCTGTCCTAAAATCTTGTCTGTAAAGTCTTGTCTACCCGTTTTCAGGTGAACCGTTTGGTAGATCAATTTCATATTTTCAGGGATGATTCTTAGTATGAAAATCTACAAACAGATTAGTTTTTTGACATTCTGGGTAAATGTCAAGGCAGCCATTTTGGATTTTCCATCCTGAAATCTTGTCTGTCAAGTCTTGTTTACATGTTTCTGGTTAACTGTGTGACGGATCAATTTTCAGGGGTGCTTCTTAGTATGAAAATCTAGAACTGACTTAATTTTTGGCATTCTGGGTAAATTTTAAGGTGGCCACTTTGGATTTTCCATCCTCAAATTGTGTTGGTAAAGTCTTGTCTACTCATTTTCAGGATAACCATTTGACAGGATCACCCATTGGTGGGGACATTTTGCACACATTTGTGTTCTTGTTTTGTCATGTAAATGCAATGTTCAAAAATCTTGTTTATACGAGTATAATTTACATGTATTTGTATTTTCCTGCAGTTAATTTGTATTTAGGAGTAAATACATTATATTCTTGTGAATTGTGTCACATATTGTGAATTCACACATTGCTGTGTATTTCTGTTACAGAGAGTTGGACATGAGTGTGTTCAGTATACTGTCTACTACTTTCATTACAAAGGCTGCACTGGACACCAATATGAACACTGAAGTAAGGAGGCTTAAATCATTTATGTAAAAAAGAATATAATGATTGTATCCCAAGGTTTTTTCTCAAAAAGGTGTTAAATCCTAATTAACCATTCATAGTTTTCAATACGGTATCATGTTATTTTCAACTTTTCCGAAATAAATCCATTTTATGAGGTTTCATGCAGTTCATCATACCATTGGATCCAGGCCCTACTTCTAGATTGAGAATCTGTCTTTTTGTTATCTGTTAAAGTACATCTTTAAAACATTAAATGGTACATTTATTGTTTGTTGCATTCATATTAAAGGAGAGTACAACATTGAGGCTCCAACCAGAACAACTAGAGTTTCTATTAGAAGACCTCTCTAGTAAACTAGACCACTCCCTGATTGCATCTGCTAACAAACGCAGGACATTCCTTAAAGTAAGCTACTTTTTATATACAGTAAAACCTGTCTAATTGAAACACCTTTGTTACCTCTAAAAAGTGTTCCACTTGGGAGGTGTTCAATTCATAGAGGCTCATTTAACATTAAGTCAGTTGGTCTTTGAACTCTGTTCAAAGTGTTCCATGAACAGAGGTGTTCCACTTTACAGGTTTTGCTGTCCATGTATATAATTTTGTCTCCCCTTTATGACAGACTTGTTATGAAAAGATTTTCATGGTCTGTATTTGATAATGAGGATTTTTTGCATACGACAGATTATCTCAAACATACACCGTAAATGACATAATTGTCACAGTGAAAATTGCAGATAGATTCAAGCATGATGTTATGGAATTGATTAACAAATACGCTTTAATTACTACTGTGGTAAATGGTCTTGATTCCTTTGTTGAAACATTTTCTTTGTCAGATCCTACTTGGCCATGGAGGGATTCATTTTTAAATTGTACTCTGCGCATTCTCATTTAATGGAATTTAAAATCTATAATAACATTCAATTCAAAAAGGTTTTTACATGTTATGTTCTATATTTTACAGACAAAGAATGATAAATCTGTTGGTCACTTCCACCTTGACCAGTTCACTCCAACAGATGTCTGTCAAAAACTTACAGAACTCTTGCCCTCACTGTGTGCTCACCTAGAGGGCGCCAGTGCATTCTTTCAAGTAAGTGAAAACTTTTAAAAAGAAAGCATGAGCCATTTTCTTTTGTAATGTTATTCTCAAACAATGCACAATCGCATTAAGCTATTAAATATACATTTATGACACTCGTTTTGAAGTTGTGATTTGTGCGCATATTTTTTATTCGCCAAATGATCAAAAATCGTTATTAATGTATCAGTTTTGGAATATGTGATATAAAAACTTTTGGACTGATTTTTATTTAGTTTATGAATTCAAAAACTTGTGATATCATACAGGAATGACTTATACAATTTTAGATATTTTCTGAATAAAGCCTTAATGGCTTAGTTTTAGTGATGATTCTTTTCAACATATTTCATAGACGATGATAGCTGAGAATGATGGTGTATTAGATGGTCCCGGTTGTCATAGTGATGAAGCAAACACAATGGCCCGTTGCTATCATCATATTCTACAAATAATGCTTTCTCTTCTTTCATGGTAAGTTCAATTTTTTACCTATATGTTTAAAGCTCCATTCAGAATAAATCAACAACAAAGCGAGTTATTTCTTTACATGTGCTAGAAATATTTAACCTCATTCGAATAAAACCGATGACATATGATATCTAACTGTGGCTCTAAGCAAATTCCCTTACAGTGAACATACATGTACAATATATACACTTTGCTATCAGACCTCATTTATAATATGGGCCTGTTTTTATGACTAGATGGGGAAAATATGACAATAGAATATGGGATATAATTGCTTACCTCCATTGTAAAGTAAATAAACAAGGCCCATATAATGGAATCCATACTCACACCATCTCTGCATTGCAAAGAATGGAGTGAACTGATAGGAGGATGAGATATCTCACAATGCACGTAATGCCATTTTATAGGTGTGGTCATCAGTTGCCTGAGAATAGAGTCAGGTTGAAGGAACTATTGGGTGTCCTTGCATCAAGAACCAAAACATTTAGTCAGTCGCAACTTCCTATATTAGACCTGTACAGGTAAGAATAATTATTACCCAGAGTTTATGTCACCAAAACAAGTGGTGACATATTGTTATGATCTCCGACTTTTTTGTGGATGGTGTTCTGTGGTTGGTGTTTGGCATCTGTAACAAATGGCAGGTGGTGACATTTTGCATGCATGTATGCATGTGTTTTCATCATAATTATTGTCTCTCATGTTAGGGGTGTAGTATATTTAAAAAGTTTAAAAAGTGTAATTTATTATCCCAGCGAACAAAGTTAGAGGGGGATATATTTTGTGCTGATGCCTAGAGACAAAGGAGCTTTGCTTTTACTTCTCTTATTAGTTGCTGTTTTCTAGTTTCAATAAGCAAAGTAGGAATATATGTAATACAATACAAGATTAAAAAATATATAGCACAGATTTTTATGCACAAAAACATTATTGGCAGAATGATTTGACAACCATGCATTTTGTATCACATTTTGACTGACTGAAGGGTGGTATTAAAGGAACTGTCTATTCTGTATGCCCCATTTTTTTGGCTCACACAGTGAGCCTATGGGATCGACCAGGCGTCAGTCCATTGGTCCGTCCATCCTTCAACATTGGCCGCACAAATTAAAACTGCTATTTTGATTGAGTCATATCCACATTCATTTTATGCATATCCACAATGCCTATTTGACCTATCATCGCCATTTCCCAAGTTTGCCCGGTTTCCAAGAAATTGCTGATTTTGACGTCAAAAGTAGAACTTTCAAATAACTTGTAGTAGTAGTTGCTGTATATGCAACTTATGTTCTCTGAAGATTTCAAAGCTCTTGAAATTACAGTTTTTGGTGTTTACTCTATAAAAGGACGATTCTCGGTTTGGAGAACGAAGTTCATCAATCTAAATGAGCATTATCCCTGCTTCGGACAAATTTGATTTTTTTACATAATATAGATTTGAATGTCTTCTTTTGAATAGTCATACTTTAATTTGGGTAATATTTCTAGATTTTTCGCAAAAAATATATTAGCGCAGTACACTGATGAACTTCTTTCCCCAAATCGAGACTTGTATTTTATTGAATCAGTCTAATTGAGCATTATCCCTGCTTCAGACCAATTTGTTATTTTTACAACTTGTAGATTTAAATGTCCTCTTTTGAATATTCATAGTTTAATTTGGGTAATATTTCTATATTTTCAATGAAAAAAATTATTAGCCCCGGAGACTGTTCTCCAAACCGAGAATCGTCCTTTGACAAAAAGTAGGACTCATTTTCAAGAAACTTTCTCAGTCAATGGCAGGTTTTGTGATTGACAAGTTTCTCAAAGTTTGCCTTATACTTGATCATTTCTTGCAATGAATTACATCATTACTAGATTGAAGCATTCCCTACATATTGCTCAATATATGTCAGCATCAGATTTTTACCATTTTTGAGATATTTGACGTCAAAATACCAGTAAAAATAAGATATTTTTCAACTTGCTTCAATTTAACCAATTTTTTTTGAAAATCATCTACAAATTGCCAGGAGTTCAAATCTGGCATTAGTTTTAGGATTTGACCTTTATTTGACCTTCAGTGACCTTTGAAAGGTCAAAAAAGTTGATTTTTCAAATTGATTTTTGGATGTAAATCTTAATCACAAAAGACCTTACTGAGCTCTGAATAAGTAACATTTTCAAGGTCAAAGGTCCTCAAACTAGGTCACACAACTGTGCTATCTAAGTTTCTCAAAGTTCAAGACTACAAATCCAAATCAATATTTTTGTTTGAAAGTCAAGATATACATTCCTCTGAAGGTTCCAAACTGTGTGAGCACAGGACCGTGGGTCCTTTATTTGTATGCTGAAATCCTCGTATTACCTAGCATCTCTTGGGTTCACATCTAAAAAGATACTCTAATGGCCCTAGTAAGTCGTTCATTATTATTCCATCTAACGAAGCCATTTTTATGTGCGTTATTTTACAATTTTTGCTACAACTGCAAAAAGTGGTGGAGGGATTTTGTAAAAGTAGCAGCCATGGCTGTTCGATGGGATTTGCTACTTTCGGCATTGCTGTTGTCTTGTTTGATTATAATTCCTCTTTCATCTTTTCTGGTCCAGGTGTATTGTCCTTGATAATCCGTGGAATAGTTTCACTACATAGTTTTGCAATGTCTTTCCCATAGTCTGCTATCACAGTGGGCTCTAATTCTAGAGATATTGCTGTGTTTCTTCCATCTGTACTGCTGGTAGGCCAAGGTGGTAGGTTAGGGCCATTTGGGTCACTGAAAAAATTGAGTTTTTATAACTGGTGTAGTAAGTCATCGAAGGAAAATTGAATCAACATGATTATGGAAAACTAAGCCAGAGGTTGATGAAAAAATTTGATAAAATTAGGTTATGGGTAGGTTAGGGCCATTCAGGTTACTGAAAAAGTTTGAGTATTCACACAAATACCTGACTGGGTTTGTTCATATGTTAATATTATTTGTAAATTGTATTCGCCACCCACATGAACCACAACAGAGTTTATTGTTATTTGGTCTTTGAGCTCTTATCCCATGATTTTACTAGGATATCTTATTCTGATTAAATTCTAATTATTGTGGGTCCCCTAATGCAAATATCATTTCTACTCACCCAGTTTTTGCAAAGTTGAGCCAATAGTTTACAAATAATTCTTCCATACGAAGATCCTCTTTGGTATAAATAACATTGCTGAACATTGGCTCTTGGCTGTTGTTAGTATGGCTTGAACCATAGCAGAAGAAAATATCATCACCATGGTCTGTTTCTATATAGCTTGGCCTGAACTTCATTAGGTGACTTGGCCCTTTATTCAGCACATAAAACTTTACATCTGCGCCTATATCTGTAATTGAAATAAAGAAGACGTTATTGTTAAAATTCATAACTTGTTAGATACCTCAGAAAAATTACTTTATTCTCAAATCATGCCATCTTTTGTAATAAATGTTATACATGATGGTTTTTAGTCTGTAAAGATTCCATTATGAGCTCATGTCGCCATTCATTGGAAATACAATGAATAAGTTTATATTAAAGTATTATATTAAAGTTAAGTTCATTAGTCTGCTTGTTTCTTACTGTACCTCTTAATTTGTTAGCAGTTCTTATTACTGGAGCATTAAGTGTTAAATCTCCGCAAACTCTTGCTGTTGCTTTGACCAGCTCTTCCTCTGTCGGGTCAGAAACTTGGAAGTAGTGATCAATGAGAGCTACAATGAACATGACATCACAGTGTATTTCTGATATGAGTGGTTCACAACTCATACAAGAGGCTGCCTATTTGTATGTCTATGTATAAGTGCACATAAAAGAACATAGGGCTCCTTCAAGGAGGGGTTTCTGGGTCTGTCGTGTAGGTTGATTAACACGGGTTAAAAAATTACGACCCAACATATACAGAATACATCCGTGAGGTATTGCTCACCTTCATTGGTGGTAAACAAAATACTATACAAAATAACTAAATTTCACACAGAAGAGGCTTCCTTGAAGAGTACATATCCCAATACTTCATTTTGTTGAATGAGTACTTAACAGGTATTAACCAGACCTATTGATACTGTGAGCTTGCTTGGGAGATCATGGCTAAGGCTAAGGCGCAGGCTATGCCTATTAGCAAACTGGGCGGTATACTCAACGAGGATCTTCAAATGCAATCTTAATGCAGGCTACCATTTTGCATAACACAAGGAGGGGTTAATTGTTTCCTAATAGAATATTAATATCAATGGTTCTATTATAAACTGCAACCCTCACCATAGAATAATAATATCAATAGTACCATTATAAACTGCAATCCTCACCATAGAATAATAATATCGATACTATCATTATAAACTGCAATCCTCACCATAGAATAATAATATCAATAGTACCATTATATACTGCAATCCTCACCATAGAATAATAATATCAATAGTACCATTATAAACCGCAATCCTCACCATAGAATAATGAAATCAATAGTACCATTATAAACTGCAATCCTCACCGTAGAATAATAATATCAATAGTACCATTATAAACTGCAATCCTCACCATCTGTTAGTCCATCATATAATGGTTTATTGTCTTCACTTGGAGGGGCTATGTATTTATTGTATTGTATTTTGTTTACCACCAATGAAGGTGAGCCAATAGTACCATTATAAAGAGCAGTCCTCACCATCTGCTAGTCCATCATATAATGCTTTATTGTCTTCACTTGGAGGGGCTATGTCTATGGACATCACCAACACCGTCTTCATGTCATTTCTCCAGTTTTCCAGTGTCTTCTCAGCAAAAAATGTTGGCATCATTTGAGGTATGAACATGTAGCCTATGAACATATAAATGAGTCATGTTTGATCCCAATGAAAGAAATACACATAACAAACACACATGTTTACAAATAACATCACTATTTGATATCAAATCTACAGTTTGTTGAATGACTTAATGTTATCATTTTAGGATTTGGAGATAAAGATCTTAAAATATGTGAGCACATTGGCCAAAAAGGAAATCTAAATTATGTTGAATAAAATACAGTTAAACATTGATTAAACATTCAGTACTCTTCTATTCAATATTTCAGCTACTGTCTAATGGCTCCCCGATCAAAGACACACTTTAAACCACATGTTCATCTCGAAAAGAACCCAAAATTTCAAGGGACATGAAAAAATACCTTCCATATCATTGATTCCATATATGAACTTAATCCTTTTAAGTTGTTCTTGAATTTCTTTGTCTTCAAGGAGATCATTGGGGTGTTTTGGAAAAGATGTTTCCCCAAATCTGAGAGCCCACATCCAATCAAGTGGTGGATCATCCTCTTTTAGTGGTGTTGGTCTTATTAAGTCCATATATGGCTTTGTTCTCAAACAATCCAACACTTCATCTTTGTTTTCTGATTCACAACCTATAAAGTAGGCATTTTTTTATCACAACTTTATTTTAATTAACAAACAACCAAATATTATTTTGGACCAATCTATGGCGCAATCTCTTTTCTTATCATTGTTAAAAGTCTGAAATCACAGAGCTATTGAGGTCTTTGGCAATGGGCAGAATATAATCTGAAGTCATATATTTGTCATAAATCGTAGAATTGAGGTCTTTGTTATGATTCTAATATGATAAACCAGAAAAATAACTATTTGCATTAACGAAATTTAGTGGTCATATTCAACCCACCATAGACCAATTAAATAATAAATTGTTCTTGTGACATCAAATATCATATTAGAATTTTTGTTTAAAGCTAGAACCTGGTTGACAAGTTGAATAATTATGTAAAATCTACCTGTCATTGTAGCTAGAGTGTTGACATTAACATTCTGCATTTCTTGAGACTGGATACTGTATGGTGTATATGTAATTGTACCACTCTGACCAATAACCTTATTAAACAAGCCCGTAGCCAGTGGTGAAATTGACAGTGCATTGACAGACCAACTGCCGGCACTTTCTCCAAATATGGTCACTTGGAATGGATCTCCGCCAAATGATGCAATATTTTTCTGGACCCATTTTAGAGCCATCACCTGGTCAAGGAGATTCTGGTTACCAGGAGCGTTCTCATTGTCAGTTGACAGCATACCTGCGCAGAATAAGATTCAAGTTCACCATCATCATTCATGGATTTTCTATGTTAATGTAGAATCATGTTTTACCAAATACCTTGAGTTTTATTCAAAGGATTTTGATTCACAAAAGTCAGATAGAATAAATCATGTTTTAAGCCTTTAGACAAATTTGATGAATCGTGTTTTACCAAATGCCTTGAAATTGATTTCAAAGATTTTGATTCACCTAGTATTCAAACTTGGATAGAATAAATAATGTTTTAAGCTAGTATCTTGTGACTGATTAAATTAATCATGTTTTACCTAGTGCTGCTAGTCTGTAGTTGATGCTGACCACCACCACATCTCCAAGAGAAGCCAAGGCAGTCCCATCTGGTATCCTACCACTTCCTGGGAATGGGAAATGAAAGGGAAAATGGAAATAACCTTTTTTCTCTCATTTCCTGAAAAAATCACTGGAAAACCCGCAACACTAGTAGTCACTTTTATGCTGGCAAAATATGATGATATGATAGAGCTTGAGGTGCAGCATGTCATTGGCCAAGCTACAGAAAAATGAAATTATGTGAAATATGAAATGAAATGAAATATACTGTAGATGAAAACAGTAAACAGACAGCCATGGGGTGATATTTAACTTAAGGGGGTCTAGGGTAACTTAAGTTAACAAAGGGTGAGGATTCAGAAACTAATGACATTTGCGCTTGAAAATTCCTCGAAATTTAATAGTGGCCAAATGGGGATATTACAAATTATGCCAAATTGAATGGCGTTAAAATATACCGGGAGTACAGTATCAATTCCTGGAAATGGGAATAAGGAAATGAATGGGAAAATGGGAATAAGTTATTTTCTTCCAGTTCTTGGAAAAAATAAACAATCACAAAGGAAAACTATATGTAATCAAGATAGAAAACAACCAAAAGAATGTCTAGCTGGTCAAATAATATGATCATGAAGCTGTAACATCTTATTATCCTGGTTTATCCTACCTAGTGCATAGCCTCCACCATGGATCCAAAACATCACGGGTAAATTAGCCTTTTCATTGAGTGTTGGGGTATAAACACTGAGCACTAAACAACTCTCATTGTCATGCTCTTCAATCTCTCCATATCCATAGTCTTGGAATAATTCCTTCATTAGAACATAATCCTGGGGACACTCAACCACTGCAAATAGAAATATTAAGCTCGTACTGTGGTGTTTTAATTACCTCTGTTAATTACTATAGCAACTTTCTACATTACATTTTTGTTTTATTATCCCAACGAACGAAGTTTGGTAGGGATATAGTGAACCTCTCTTTCTATCCATCTGTCTGTCAGTCAGACCGTCCACCCGGAAGATAACTCGAATACTAGTGGATGGATTTCTTTCATATTTGGTGGAAAGATGTATATTGGTAAATAGTTTTACGCAAAAAAAAATTCTCAAGATGGCCAACACTTTAAAAATGGTTGGTTTTTTATTTTGAACCAAAGTAATAAATATTATTGTTTGAAATTTTGGTAGTATATTCACAACATCTATCTATTTCACATATATTCCCTGTTTTTCACCCTGACCCCCAGGGGCCGTGTATTGGGGTATGTCTCCTGATCTATTCAAACTATGACTATTTTATACTAAAATTAAAGGGATGTTTAGAGTACTATTAGAGTATATCACAATAATGGTCTTGTTTTTCTACTATATACTTTATGATTTGTGCCTTTGAAACTCCTAAATGGAAATTCTGATATATCTCTAAAATAAGTCTTAATATCTGCCAATTTAATCAAGGAGAGAGTAGATGATAAATAATTACATTGTGACATTACAGATTAATTAATATATGTCTAGTGTTCATTGGGATTTGGTACCAGTTAACATTTCATATCTGTCTGTGCCAGAGGTCGTGAGGCCATGTATTGTACCTGTGAATGCACACAAGAAATATGAAGGACACTTTAATGAAAGGACTCAAGTACATGTATGTATATGATAGCTAGATTCTCAAATATTTTTATAACTGATACAACATAACCCAGGGTGTACTCTTTGTGTGTTATACAGAATATATTAAGTTCGCTATATAACAGTCAGACTTCTCCTTTATATATGATGCACATTCACATTGTACAACATTCATGACATCAAATTCCCCCTTTGGCAGTAATATACCATTATTCATATTTCCCGCAAGGATAATCAAAGACCCATACTTGCTTGTGTAGCATCTAGCTCCCCCACCCAAGGTTCTACTTCCTTAGGGGCTTTGAATCTCAATGGTCCAATGGGTTGGGTGGCATAAGGAATTCCTCGGAAGTTATAGATAGGTTTAACTGCATTGTCTAAGGTGTAGCTAAGGGTGCCTCTAATACTGCCATCTTTGATTGTATGCACCACTGTAGGCCCATCAGCTGCTACACAACCTAAAGATAAAAAAACACCATTACATGTGCAAGCAAGATTATCATTAAGTTTGTGAAAGGATTGCCCCAAAACAATGTATTTGAAACTGATTTATTTAATGAAAGATCCCCTTGAACAAAGTATCTGGTATTTGCAAAAATGTATTTGAAATACACAGTTGGATTTCAAACTAAAATGGCAATCGTAAGAACCAAAATGGGAGACTTTTCAAACAAACAGCTATTTGTATAGTGTTTGGTTTGTATGGCTCCTATTATTTTTAGGTCTGCTATAATATTTGCTCACCATACCTGTGGAACAGTAAGCTGCAAACATCTACCTATATATTGGCTTAGTAGATATGAATGTAAGACACAAGAGGTCTAAGGTGTTTAATTAATCTATGAAAGGGTTACTCTGATCTTGTTAATTTGTCTGTACCAATACAAGGGAAATAATATAATAGTATAACATGAATTGTCCTAGTCTGATCAATCTCAATTCATATTCGGGAAGTTCATATTATGGAAAAATAAAAATTTTACTTACCATATATTCCAAGGAGTAAAATTGTAAGGCTTGCTCCTAACATGTTAAATGCCTTGGTGTCTGACACTATCTCCAGTCTTGGGATTATAGTTCAAATGTAATGTACCTGTATTTAGACTTTGTTCAGAAATTGTATTGTATTGGTCAGGCAAACATAGTTAAGTCTTAATGTTCACACACATAAAGTGAGGCAGGTTATTCATGCAATACAATCAAACATGCTGACACTGACTATTTTGTTAAGCATGAAATCATTCCTTAAAATGCAATGATTCATTCTTCAGGCACTGTACTAATGTATGTCAGAGTCAATAGCAAGTGCTATAATTGACCTGGGTTATTGCAGGCCTATTGTATGTCCTACTATACCGATACCACTGCTTATAGTGAATACATTAATCATTGTATTATTAATGACATGCACCCCTACATACCAGCTAAAAAAACATTTAAAGAGATATTCCTGGCCAGACCATTTCTATTCTGATATGGGTATTATAATCATATTATACTTTCTATATTCAGCAAAACATGGAAAAATGTTTGTTTTTTCTTTTAAACATCTACGATGCATCGCTACAATTTGAACAGGGATACGCAAAATGGTGGTTAGTGTCTAAGAGAAACAAGTGGGAGTCCTTCACTGCGTCATCAGCAGGTATCTCAGTTTCAACAGCATTTCGCCCCTTAACCTGTATGCTTCCACTGAGTGGGGCAGTGATGGCTGATCTTAGCCATCACTCGCTGAAGGACACCACCTGTCTTTCCTCTTCAGCCAAATCCACCTTGAGCTGGACTCTGCTACCATACCAACTGCTTTGATTGCTGACTTAAATATAGTCAATATTGATCATTTAAAAATGAAATGTTCATTTTAAGTAAGCTGCCATCTTTAGAGATTTCAGTCAGAAAGTGATGTCATAGAATCAACCTAAAAGATGGCAGCCGACTGGAATTGAGCACTTCATATTGACCAAATCAAAACATTTTTCTGATTTTTGCTAAACATGGAAAGTATATCTATTCAGTGAAGATCCCAGATAAGGCCATAAAAAATAGATGCTTTGTTACGCAATAAAGATAAGCTGTCCGCCTGTCTGTTTGTTCATCCATCTGTCCATTTGTCTGTTGATTTGTCTGTGGGATAACTCAAATACCAGTATTGGTTCAAATTTTATAGCATTGTGCCTCAAGAAGGAACTTTCAATGTGGGCGCTCAATTCAAAACAGAAAAGCCTGCCTTTTTTGTAAAACTGAAATCTTTGATAACTCAAAAATGTGTTGACTGATTTGATTTAAATTTCATATGCTGATACCTTTGGATATAGAATACCAGTTAAACAAAAAGTAGGAAATTTTATTTTGTAATGTCTAATAGAATATGTTTTGTTCAGTAGGATTTGCTACTCTGTGGTGTCGCAGTTTTCTAGTTTTCTGTGTGAACACAAATCACAAAAATTCTAGACCATTTGTTGTATTGCACAGTCATTGTGACAATTTGTATTATTTCAGAGATACATTCAAGTACTTTGAAAACTTTGTTAGTGATGTGCCAAATATCTCTACTGCTGTTCTCCTGACTCGGCTCCTTGTTACCATAGCAACCAAAACAGAGAAGGAGGAATTCAATAAACGAATAGGTAAGTTTCATCTTATCTTAGTAATGTAAGAGTAATCTATGATTAATAGCTTCTTTACCATTTTCAAAAATATAAACTGTGATTATACCATTCTAATTAAGTACAAATAGATGTGAATATACTGTGAGATTTTAAAATGGTTAATGATAATGAATCCTATTTTTCGATTAAATTTGAAAAGTGCTACATTGCTTGTCTTGTGGTGATGGGTATTCAAATAGTGAGAAAATTGCTTTAAACATGCTGGGTAATTTGCAAACCAGCTGATAGTTTATATATTGTTGCATGGTTTTTCATTTCAGAAACTGTGACAGGTGCAATTTTGAAGAGGGAATGGTTCAATGAAGATGGGGAGCGGGAAAAAGGTGCAAAGTTTAATGAAAACTTGCAAATTTTACTCAAGTATGTCAGAGATTTTTTATTCCAATATTACAGAAATAATATTTAATGAATATATTCTGAAGTTTGATTTCAAATCAGATAATGTAAAAGGTGAGCATATGTTGATAATTTGCCATATCCACCAACAATTCATTTAATAATTTGTACATTCATACAAATTCAAAAGGATTATACAGCTTACCATACATGTGCAATCTATATAGCATATAGCTAAAACAAAAAAAAATGGAAAAAGAACCATTGTAAAGCACTATCATAGTTATAAGGAAACATCCCAAACATTCAAATCATTGATGTAATACCACATATAGATGTCAAGTGACTCCCACCCCTTCCCCACCATTAAAGGGATATTCCTTGCGAGCTCATTTCTCTCTCGATATGTTAGCTATGGCTATAAGATTTCACACAGGATAGACTAGGAAGTAAGGACCAATCGTGTAGGTGATTGTGTAGATTACTGTAGATTATACTGTTATGGGCAAGTTCTTAAAAGTGTCTAGTCGATGACATCACTTCCTGTGTGAAATCTTAAAAGACGCCTCCTGGAAATGAGCAATCCACTTTTAAATGATCAATTTTGACCGTCTCAAAATATTTTACCAAGTTTTGCTCTTTATGGAATATGAATAGTATAAAAATGGTTATAGCTACTATATCAAGAGAAAAATTGGCTTTATATATACATTTTGTTCATAGCAAAGCGCTTTAAAAGGACACATATTTTTCATCTGCAGGTACCATGTGGAATACAGTGAAGACAAACTAAGCCAGTTAGAGGCAATATCATCTGTCGGAATACCAGAGCTAGTCGAAACACACAAGAAAGGATGTTCAGAGACATATCCAACTTTGACCAGGTTAATATTTATTTATTTTGTAATGGCATAATTGCTGTATTTTACGATGAGATAAACAAAGGAAATAGACTAAAAGTTACATTTTATGATATTCACTGTACCTATATGCATGTACTGTATAAATATTCTTGATTATTTTTGATACATAATAATAGATTATTGAGCTGTTGTTTTTATTTATTAATTTTTTTTCATTGAGGGCCCATTTAAAGTCATCAGCAAAATGCATTTCATTGTCACCAAAATAAATGACAATATATATTATTTTTTAAAGTGAAGTACGTGGACTATATGTTTATATTTATGACCAAATTGAAAGTGATGCCCAAACATTTTTTATGTGAGAAAATGCTGTAGAATAACAAAGGCCTTTAGAATGATTATGGAAGTGAATGATTTTTCAAGAAATTCTAGAACAGAAGGATTGAGTGTGTAGAATATATATGTACAGGGTGTCCTGGTCTACCTATTTATATTCACTATATTTTCTCTGTCAAATGTAGGTGCTCCTATCCTGTGTACTACAAGGTGCTACTGTCAGAACTGGTAGATCATGTCAAAAACTTTTCGATATCAAAACAAACAGAAACTGCAGAGGTAAAATTTGTTTAAAATTTGTGAACATCAATTATAATATTCTCAAATTAAACGTAATTCATAAATAGTTATCATTTACTTATTACTCAGAATCACTAAAGGAGGATAGCTGGTTTTAAGGACAGTTGTAATTCAATAAAACCTGCACTGTGAGAACTTGGTGTGCATTATATTATATAATAATAAAATGATTCAATGGTCTCCTCACTAAGGGAGCAAAGACTTAGAGCTGCTGCACTCAGTTGAAAATTTCAAAAACCTCATGCCACCCTGATAAAAATTTCAAAAATGTCATGTCAAACATAGTTTGACCTCATTGGATTAAATGAGCATTTAGCGAGTTGTTGAGGAAATAACCCTTGGGAAATTGCTGTGTTGTTGCATTTATGTATTGTATACAGCTACCGTACATTGATTCTGATTTCGTGATTGTCGCTTTGTAGAGTCGTCTGGAGAAGTTAATAAAGTGGAACTTGGCTGTAAGAATCTTCCACATACTTGTCAACCTTATTAAGGTAGGATTCTTTTACCTTTATATTGATTTCAGTTTTCATGTCACCACCAGAAGTTGTGACATATTGTTATAGCCTCCAACTTAATTGTGGACGGTGTTTGACAATAACTTACAAGGTGGTGACATTTTGTTGTGTTAATTAATGCCTTGTTTTTTCATTATATCCATGTGTACCTGGATACAGGCAATAAATGATAACTTCTATGATGCATTTATTTTATTTCAGGCATTTGATGCAAGAACCAATCTAGGTGCTGTACTGAAATATGGGCGTCAGTTTGTTGATCACTTCCTGCGCAGTGGCATGCCACTCATGGATGGGATGTTTAGGGCACACAAAGAGGATGTACAGGGTTTACTTAAGAACCTTCAGCTTAGCACCAGGTCATTACATCACATGTGTGGACATTCCAAGGTATTTGATTATAATGTTTGTTATCAGTACAATTAGGCAATGTGAGGACACAAAGTGTCACCACAATAAAAATATAACTTCAACGTTGCTGTGATATGGATTTTATGACTTCCTTTTATATTCCTGATTTTACTAAAGTTGGTTTCATTCATAAAAAATGTTTCAGATCCTCAAAGATGTGTCCATTACAAAGCAAGTGCCACTGTTGAAGAAGACTCTAGAGGCATTTGTGTATAGAGTGAAAGCCATGCTGACATTGAACAAGTGCCTGGAAGCATTCTGGATGGGCAATCTCAAAAACAGAGACTTAAAGGTGCCCTTCTCATGTTTTTAATATAAATTGGCATGAAACAAATCATTCAGAAAAGAAAACAGGCACATTTGAAAAACAATACAGTGTAAAATAAACTTCTTGACTAACCTTTCTCAGTAAACATACACAACTCATACCCCTTCACTCATACCATTCTGCCAGCAGTCCATATAAGGCAAAACATTGCAAAACACCTTAAGATCATGTTAACTTTTGTTCTATTTGAAAATATGTGAAACTGTAATGTATGTACATGATCTTGATCATAGTGTGAAGGTTTGTCAGATAATATTTTAAATAAAAATCAAATTCCAATGATGAAACAACAAGTACTTTACAGGGGGAAGAGATACTGTCCCAGGTGTCTCACAATGCAGATGGTTCAGACACAGATAATGATGCAGAAAGTTTACCAGAGGACTCCAGTTCAGACAGTGAACAGGTGAGATCACTTGATGAGATTATTTTTGTTATTGATTATGATTAATAGGTATTTTGTATAGTATTACACATTGGATAATACAATGCAAAAAGACTATATGGACATATTTGATTACCTAAGTACTTTAAAATCTGTCAAATGGAACACCTTTGGAACCTCATAAATGTGTTCCACTTGTGAGGTGTTCCATTTATAGAGGTTCATTTAACATTAAGTCAGTTTGTCTTGGAACTCTGAAACTGTTCTACTAACAGAGGTGTTCCACTTCTAGAGGTGTTCCACTTTAAAGCAGGTTTCACTGTATGTTATATTTGTATGTTTCTGTATGTTTCAGGAGGGGAGTGAGCACAGTAACAGCGACACCAGGTCAGAGGTCACGGCCATTGAGGAGGAATCTTACAGCGAAAGTTATTAACATTGACTTGTATGATTGAACTGGAATGAGAGGAATATTACAACATTTAAACCCATAGTCCAAAGAACATATATCATTTCTTATATTTTCAAATATTCAAAGTGGCGACTTGGCCCACAAATATTAATAGTTTTTGTACAAGTCAGTTCCAATATTACATTTGCAATTAATTGTATTGAAAGAACAATGTTAAATAATCAAAATATTGATACGTATGCTTAGTACTACATGTACTGTATATTGAATTAAATAAGTGGCAAATAAATACATGAACATACCTTATGTATGAGTTTCTTATTATTCTACAATAAATATAATTGTGGTGCCTTATTAAAGAATCTTATAAAGGGTACTCATGTTCAGTGAAGATATATAAAAAATGTCCCCCTGTCTGACCCGTTCCTTGTTGTGAAAAGATGATCCACCAGGGTGTTTTTATGAATGAATTACTTATTACATCCAGATCTTAACTCAGTAAACAAATGCCTCTCATAGGCTAATGGCACGGTCCTCTTAACTTAACCATGAAAATTCAATGCAAAATTTGTTTAATATCATGAATATATATGTATCTTTTATTGACTCTCAGTCATTACAATAACATATTAGTCACTACGAACAACAATATACAAAACTGAACTAAGACTAAACTAACTACTGAATACAAAATACAAAGTTGTAAAATACAATTTACAACATCACAAAATGTAAAATACAAAAATATGAGATAGTTGTAAAATACAAATACAGCATGACATAATTATCATGACAAAATATAAGCGTGATGTATCATTGTCACAATATTAATCCAGTTTTTTGAAAGAATGATAAATAAACTTTGCAAGATGTAAAATTACGTGAGAACTTTTATGAGACATCAGCTGTTTAGAATTAAGGTCAGAACTGCCTACAACATTAAATTATGTAAGGGTGTCAAACAGAAGTTTTCTCTCTGTTATATTTTTCTCACAAATCATGATAAAGTGTTGTTCATGAGTACTTGTACAGACTGAAATGGAGATAATCATACCATCCAGAAAGAAACGAAGAGTAATGTCTTATTTATATGATAAATGAAATTTAAAGATCTCATATTAGTCCTTGGAACAAATTCCAGTAAAAAGCATTTGGGAGTACCGTTTTGTAATAAATCTATAAATAAATACATTTTATTTCTATTCACATGTTTTACTATCAGTCACGATCAAAATTTACTCATTTCATTTCTTGTATTAGAAAATCTCTAAGTTGACCTTTAAATGACCCACGTGTCCAATGTCAAAAATATCAGAAATCACATTTAAGTAAGTAATGATTACTTTTCAATTCCATGCTTGTGTTCTAGAAGGGAATGGTAACAAAGGGGGGCTTACTGATGGTTCCTTATACTGCACATTCTATGAATATTTCATCAGAATATATTGAAAAATATATTGAAATTAGAGAGATATTATGAGAACTCTTTGATCACTTCTCGTATATACAACACAGATTACACAATATTGTACAATATATAATCAAATTTAATATTTCTCATAATGTTTACAAGAACGTTTTGTTTCATTGGAAAACATATAGTCTTGCTCAAAGACTGTATCCACCCCCCCCCCACGTCACCTTCACTCTCTTTACCTGGCAATATACAGAGAGAGAAGGATAAGGGGGGGGAGTACAGGGTCTTTTAAGCAAGACTAGAAAACATATAAGTGATTTTAGCCATATTTGGGCCAAAATTGTCAAATGTGAACCCCCCTGGAATTTTTTGAAAACTGACCCCCCCCCCTTGCAAATCCTGGCTACGGGCCTGTTTATGTAAGATTTATAGTCCTATCGGTCCAATACTCCACGATACTTTGCTTCAGGGACAGTTTAAACCGTTCATCCCTCGCTGTTTGAACAGAAGACGACCAGAAGATCTCAACCAGATGAGGTAGGATGCCAGCTGTAATTGCTGCGAGGGTTTTGGCAATAATTGACAGCTGAGCTTGTCTGTTATATGACTGTACCACTGATATGCTTGAATACACAAATGATCCGATGAATGAGAGATACACGCAACAAAAGAAGAACTGAACTCTGAAAGGAAGGTGCTTCTCAACAAGGTGATCAAAAACGTGCCTTTGCACCCCAGGAATATTTTCTCTGTGTAAAACATATACCACATTATTATTCGAGGGATCTGTTTCTTGAAGATCCTCCGATATGTGTATGGTTTGGTATAAAAGGTCGATATAGCTGGCGTTAACATGATTGATTGCTTTCCAGATGTACAACAAAATCGCTGAAATCATAATAATGTATGTGATACATTCAGAGGGATAGGCAACAATCCCAACAATCCCAATAAAAGTGAAAGAAATAGTCTGATAGATATAGGTCATATCATGAATATATATTGTGTAGTAGCAGAACAAAATATAGAGTAGAACAATGAAAATCAACACATTCAGAGTCCAATCCAAAATGCAGAAAACTCGATGGCTACGGACTCTTTGCCGAATAGATATATCAACACAGTAAGCGATAAAATTAGTTAATAAACTCTTGGTCAAAAAACAAATCGGAACTCCATAGGCAATGACACATACGGCCAGATCAGAAATGAAAACAATGACATATACAAGAAAAAGAGGAAACATAAACACTAGAAACACGCATTTTGGAAGGACTTTTGGCTTACTTTTGATCAAACGACTCAACCTCAGAATCCACGTATGGGTAAAAAGTTTCCAAAATTTCCAGTTGAGTAGCATATATAATCTTGCTCTCAATGATGTTGCAAACATCGACCATCCAACTTTCATTGATGTGAACTCTAATCCCCCTAGGTTCTCAATAACGACAGGGTCCAGGCACTGGAGTAGCTGGGACCCGTTGGTGTCACGCAACCGTGCACAAAGAATCGCTGAAATGTTATTCGAAATGCAGAGTATTATTCCAGCCATTACAAAAAACAAGGTATATATAACATAGGGGCCTCCCTAAAAAGTACATCCAGTTACGATTACTTAATTGAAATCCAAATGGTATTGCGTTGAATCCTATTGGAATATCTTGCTCGATACGGTCACGTAGAGCATCATATTTGTAACTGAAGTAAACAATCATCTTGATATAAATGAAAATAGGTGCTATAAATAGCAAAATGAAGATTTTTGAAAGTCGTGCCATGAAAGGGGATTGCGTTGTTGAAAATTTACAACAGAAACAACTTGAGGCGCTGATAAATGAAATCGGTGGATCATCTCCAAGATATAGGATCGTCTCGCGATCATCATTTTGAGACTGTTCATCATTTATACCCAAGTCTTCATAATCGTCACTAATGTTGATGTTCCGACTATCATGAAGGTTGATTTGTTCAGTAACATTATCTGATCTATTGTCAAATAGATATAGAAATAGTGGGCTGTAAAAGAAGAGGAGACCCCCACAAAGTTGAAGAAATGTTAACCAACGCGTTTGTCGAAATGTTTCGCTGAATCGAAATGGATTTTCAGGTACACTACACATAAACCCTGTTGAATCTCTATTCACACCGGGAAACATGTACAATAAAGTTCCATAGTTTTGGCAATTTGAATTTCATCTCGGAGCACCATAATGTTGTTTCTTTATGCCTTGTGGCATCTGTTAAATTGCGTAGCATTACTAATATGTTTTTCATTGTGTTTGGCGCTCCCCAAACCGTTTTACAGCCACTTGGACTCACTTCAACATTGACCTCAAGATAGTCATACACATACCAGGAAAGAAATCCAAGTGATAACACATCGAAATCATATGGATAGAATAACATAGGGTAACCTGCGCCTGGTTCTTCTTTGTATGTCCACGTCAAAAAATGTGGGTACAAAAATGAGTAGTTTCTAGGAGTCGACGATGGTTGAGAAAAGTTGATCTTAACTTTCATAAAGTTTACATCTTTCACATCCACTAAATGTAAAAATTCATTCGCAGAATTTTCAGCAATTGTGAAATTGCACCTTTTTGTTTTGTTGCTAATTGTGTCAGTTTTAATATCGCCTGTAGCATTTTGAATAACTAATGTATCAGCATTTTCCCCACTCACGGTACATATTGTTATAATAACAACGACCATCAAGATCTTTGAGAATTGGGTCATTGTAAAGCCTGTGCTTGAATTTCTCTTTCAAGGAAGGTAGATAAAATAAATTGAGAAATATAATAACTAAATAATCTCTTTCGGTGCAGTTATATCAAACCGGTCTATCACCTTCAAGTTGCCATTAGTATTCTTTTGTACTGAAGCTTCAAAATTATTGATTCAATTTGACATAGTTTGATTTTCAGTTGTTTGAACTTCAAGTAAAAATGTTTGATTTCGTATAATAATTTGTAAAAATGTGATATTATACTTATTGTAGATCTTTAATCGAGATAAATTATTTGCTGTCACGATCGACTACTAAATACAGTCCTTTGGTCATGTATTGTCTGGTACACCAAATGTAAATCACAATTGCAAAAACTGTCAATTTCCAGTTTTCACAGCTTCTCTTCCATAGAGGTGCCGTATATTTTTGAGGATGATTGTGTCCCGGATTGTGTTGGCTAGTCACATTTAGAGAGATTAGAGAGTTCAAGTCATCGCTGCCAGTTTGGTCTTTCAATACCTGCAAAATATGAACCCTAGTAGTTTGCCCTTGCTCTGATAATACAATGACAATATCAAATACAATGATCTTTTTGATATTCTGTTGAAGCTTCTTTATGTAGCCTGAAAATTAATTTACATGAAATCTAGAAAAGTCAAAGTGACACGTAGTTTATCATCAGTCAAAGTTTGAAATTTTTCGCTTTGGAAATATTATTTTTGGGTCAGGTCAAGAAAGTTTAAACATCTGTATGCATTGTAAGAACAACTAGCAACAAAAAAGTCAGTGACAACTTTGTCAGATCCATCCTGAGTTAAAGCCACAGATTTATCATCATTAATGATGATTTACCACTCAATGTTTTAATATTTTGCAAACTACATGTAAGGCTGTTCTGTGAAATATATCATACTTTAAAAAGATTTCACTTTCAAGTATTATTATATCAACTCGAACTTTTGTCTTTTTTCTATGTTAAATAAGGAATTTTTATAGTACATGTATGATAATTACCTAAATGGATCTGCATGTACTTATTTACCCCGGAATGACATAATTGAATTTTCCCGGGATGAAAATACAGAATATGTATTTCGTTCATGATGATCCAATTACGCATGCGCTTAAATCATTTCCGGTTAAATGGAATCTTAAAAAAAAAATCCAACATTTATCTAATTTTAACCTGATTTATGGCTGTATATGCAATTATAATGTCATGATCCAGTTGATAAATAGTATTCTCGTGTACAACAAAGGTTTAAATCATTTTAATTGATGAATTGGAGGAGTTCTAACGCTTTTCCAAAGAAGGAACAAATACAAAATGAGTGGAAACATCTGAACTTTTTTCTGAATATTTTCTAGTCTAGATTAGATCTACACCAGAAAAATTTAATTAGGATGTTGACTCCTTCTGAACAAAGGATGGATCTCAACTCTGCCAACATGACTTTAGCTAAGGGACCGATGAATTTTAGTGAAAATCAACAAGGCAACGTTATACTTGATAAATTACGACTCCAGAAGGACAATGGAAGATTTTGTGACATCGTTTTTCATGTTGATGAGAAGCAGTATCTAGCTCATCGTAATGTTCTTGCTGCATGTAGTCCATACTTTGACTCTATGCTGAAAATCAATAGAGTTGCAAAGGAGCACTTAAGTGTCACTTGTACGAATCATGAAATATTTGAACTACTGTTGGACTATATGTATACTGGGTCAGTACAGATTCACAACAATAATGTGCGTGAGTTACTCAAGCTTGCAAATCATTTCCTCATATCAAACCTGAGAAGTTACTGTGGAGATTATTTGGAACAAAGCATGGACCATACCAATTGTTTTAGCATCAAGGAGCTGGCGTCAAAAAGTGGTTTGAATAAGCTGTTAGAAAACTCAGAAAATTTTATTAAACAAAACTGGAGTCAAATTATTTTACAGAATGAAATACTTGAGTTTACTCAATCCCAATTGGAAATATTTATGAGAAACTCTGAATTGCTTTCTGAAGAAGAAAAGTTCCGTATCATTTTAAGTTGGGTAAAGACCAATGTGAAACAACGAGATACAATTCTGATCCCCCTGTTGGCAAAAATTGATTGGGCAAAGATCAATCCAGGTATTATCCTAAGCACTCTTCAGGAGGATCTCACATTTACGCAAAATGAAAAACTGTTGTATTATCTGCTGAAAGCACTTCATGATAATGGAATAGCGTTCCAAGAATATATGGGAATGTATACAAAGTTGCAAGAGAAATATGATCTTACAAGTCAGGACCTTGAAGATGAAGGCAATAATCTGCTCCAAATTGCTGTTTCGGAAGCTATTGGAGCTGTGAATGAATTTGTTGAGAATGACTGTAAGTCAGAAATAACGGTTACCCCGTATCGTGCAATGGACCAGGCTGCAATGCAACAAATATATCAACCTCCAGGCTCTAAAGACAATGACCTTGGGCCAATTGTAGAGGAAGGTCGAAAGCGCAGGAAAGGTATTCCAATCAAAGTCAAAATAAGTAAAGCAAAGATTGAAAAAGCATTGAAGAAACGTGGCAGAAAGAGAAAGTTGAAGGAAGCTAAACCAACAGTGTCTAAGAAAGAGAAACCTGAAATTGTAAAAGCTGAAGATGCGGCGTCAGAAAATAATGAAAGCCAAAAAGAAGATGCGCTTAATGAAATGAATGATATTGATACAAAAGATGATGTCGATGAAGACTGGGAAAAAGACATTGAAGAAAATGATGATAGTGATTTAGATGAAGATTACAACATTGCGGATGACCAAATATCACCAAAACAGAAAAAAAGACGTAGACGTTTCAAAAATAGAAAGGACACTGATGGCCCAATCAAATGTATGGAATGCAATTATAAGGCACCAAATCCATCTAGGCTTGAACTACACATGAACAGTGTACACAAAGATGACATTACATATACATGTAACCTCTGTGATCATACATGTAAATGGAACAGAGAACATCATATTCATATGAAAAGTCACTTTGATGGTCCTCCATATAAGTGTGACAATGAGGAATGTGATTATTCATCTGAGAGAATTCAGTTGTTGCTGATACATCGTATGAAGCATACAGATGAGCGACCATTTTCTTGTCCCATGTGCAATTTCCGATTCAGGACAAAGAATAATCTCCGTACACATATGAGATGTCATACGGGTAAGTCTCAACTAAATATTCAATGTCGTGATTTCCTAAAGTTTTTTAACAGGGGGCTAAATCCTTATTTTACCAGTTTTGATCACAATATCTCAATTTCATGATTTCATCAGTTTGTCAGGGTTCAAACATATTTTAATAGTGTGGCATGTATTTATTAATGTAGCAGCCTGTTGCTCAAATCTTGGGAAGATCACTACAATTATGCCCAAATTATGATAATACATGGGGAAGACGGGAAGTTCAATGAATGACCGGGAGTGTTCAAGGCAAAATTAGTATTTTATCCAGACTTTTTCAAATGTTATATGTTTTCATCCTCTTCTGCTGATGGACATGCATGTGTGCATCTGGGTGGGCAGATAGGCACCATTGTTGGATAAAAAGTGTGATATTTATCTCTGTGTGTGTATTACTGTGTTATATTGTAAGCACTGAAGCACCTATCCCTTTTTGTGAAAAATCTTGCTCAAGGTTGAATTTTATCAAGATTAATAATTTATAATCATGTGCTGGATGTGCTTGCTGTACATGTATTGTGTGAAAAAAGGTATATGGTCAATATGTCTTCCTTCCAATATGTTATCCTTCACCATCCAGATTCACTACTACTTCAAGAATGAAAGAAATGAAAGTCTCTTTTACTAATCAGTGATCTCCCCAGCATTAAAAACAAGTGGGCGCAGCACCCAACAGAGATTTTTAAACAAGCTTGCACCCACTTAAAAAACCATTTGCACCCACTTTAAAATGAGAAAAATCATAAAAAATGGGCACATTTTGACCACTTTTCGTCTGAATTGTAAAAATGTGAATTTTGCAGCCACTTGAGAAAAACTCCAATAGAGAACATTGCTAATCAATTGTTTCTATCCACAATATACATTCCAGGAGAAAAACCTTTCAAATGTTCAATCTGTGGCAGGAGATTTGCGACGAAAAACACATTAATGCAGCATAGTGTAACGCACAGTGACCATAGGCCATACTTATGTGATCTTTGTGGATTCTCAACCAAGTATCAATCGCATCTGATTGCACATAAACGCATACACACAGGTAAGAATTACAATCTAATCATAATCGAGAATTTGAGAGATATACAGTGTATAATTATTTACCTCCGCCGAAAGAAATTATTGAAGAAATTAGGATTCATTATATCAATATTTAATGGAGTCCAATGACCATGTCTACACTGTGAATTAATATTACAGGGTCTCCAGAAATTATCATTCAAATTTTCAAAACTCTGACTTTCCTGTAGCCTTTGACATTCATTGTGATACGCTCTACCTAGGCATTGTTGTTATATAGTTAATTAGCTGGGATAAAATAGTGTTCCCAAGTCCAGAAGTCCTAAGATTCAAAGTCAGCTTTTGACCTAAATATCAACCATCATTATTTCAAATGAAATGCTGCTCAGAAAGAAGGCAAAATGTTTGGCTGAGATTGATAATGTTGTGTCTTATTGTATTTTCCAGGCAATGTATTCAAGTGTCAGGAAGCCAATTGCAAATATTCTACCCCCAAACGTAGTCAATTAAAGTGCCATATGAGATCACATCTGTGTATCCGTAGTCATATCTGTAGTGTGTGTGGAAGAGGCTTTGTAGGTAAGAAAAATGTTTACTTTAGTTGTATATGAATATTGAACATGGAGGGCCAAGAGTGAGACATTTTTAACCAGTTAAAGCATGACATCAATAAGAGCTGCACTATGTTCCTCGACAATATATTTTGGTATAAATTCTGTTAAATATTTTGGTACTTCTGTCATCTAAAATATCAAGGAAAAATGCCAAAAACAGGCAAGTTAATACCACAAGTACAAGAGTACAACAATAGTGTACTTTTTTCTCAAAAATATCAAGTGACACTTTGAAATACAGTAGAAAGAAATTGCAAGACAGTTTAACTGATTATTGCTATTTCTAGTAGCTGATAATCTATGAATGTCAAATTTCAGAAAAGAGCCATTTGGTGAGACATGAACGTATCCATATGGATGACAAGGCATTCAAATGTGAACAGTGTGACTATGGCAGCTCTAGACGCGACAAACTGAAGGAACATGTTCTTAAACACCACGGAGATAACGCTACTGCTAAGACACCATATAAACCACGACGTCCACGCACTCAGAAGCAATTTAGTTACCCTGGGATGGAAACTTCCCCATCCTACTACCCTCAGGCTCAAGTGGAGAGCCCTGTTACGCTTGGGAGAGAGCAAGTCAATTTTAGTAATATGCAGCTTGCTGGGGATGCTAGTTTGCACGAGTCTAAGGAGATACTGATGTCTAATTCACATCAGCACCAAACACCACAGTCTCATGTGATCACAGATTACCGCCCGCTAACTGTCGATACGTCCAGCATTAGCCTTGCCTCAGACATACGCACATCTAGTGTTAGCAATCAATCCCATAATCACCCCCACAGCCAGGGACATTTAGATATGAAGGTCCCCCCTCCCGCTCACTCGCAGTTGCCTATCACTGACCTACGTGTGCCTCACCCTCAGGGATTACAGCCTGTTCAACTAATGTCTCAACTGGAGCAGCGCCCTCCTGGACCTGGGGGCTATCATCCTGGGGATATGGCTAGCTTTGGAGCCTTTATGCAACTCTTCTAGGGATGCAGTAAATAATGTTTCCCTGATAGTACATTAGGCTACCTTATTCTAATAAGTATTTGGGTCTTTTATGCAGCAATACATACTTTTCACCAACATACCCCTGCATTATGTTTGGCCTTATATTTGTCATATTTTAGCATGCTATATCTTCTGCATACTACTCTAAAATTCGTACACAGCTACAGTACAGTGCTACAATTGTTTTCATTTCATGATGACGTTACATTATTCATTTTGATGATTGATGAGTGAATTCAAATTATGTACATATTCTTTCACATGATTATTTTTTTGTTGTCACTGTAAAGCGGTTCAATGATAATGATATGCTCCATTATTGTACGGTGAATCTGACTTGTTTTGTGTATACTGAAGGACATGAATTTTCTTTATTTCAAAACCATCAATTTTAATTTATTTTATTTTTTTAATTTAAAAAACACAAAAATATCACTGCTATGCATGAATTATATATTTCGAGAGAGACATGATATGGCTTAGTAAGCATTGCAGGTTTTCAAGACGAAATCTTGATCATATGTAAAATTGTTCATCAAAATAGACTTCAAGACAACACCTTATTCACAATACATTGTAAAGAGTGGTGAACATGTTATCAAGTTTAAGAACATACTTTATTTGTCTTTAACTTGGCTAGTATGTTTTCTGTTAGATTTTGAGCGCTGTTTAAATTGATTTTTTTTGATCGAAAATTATTGAAATAGTCATCTCTGGGCAAAACGTGACAATGTTCTTGATTGAATTGGCACTTTTGACAGTAAGCAGTCATTGTAAAATGAAAGGTGATATGAATCCATAGTTAATTGAACAAAAACCTCTGACTTATTGAATTCTATAGGGAGTTAAACAACTATTTGATAATCAAATTCACCAAACTAAAATGCTTGCCAAATTAAATATAAGAATGGTACAAAATTTTTACACATGAAAACATATTTTCAAAAACTAAGATATTCTGATGTGAATAAGTGAAACTACAGTAATGTATATTTTTAATGTCTGACTCAGGAGTCAGAGATGCTGTTTTGTCTTCTACACAATCAAAACCAATTTTGTTGATAGACAGTAAAAGTTAAAAAAAATCATTGTAAGAGGACCGCTTTTGATTGACTCACATGTTGAGCCTACAGAAACACTCACTTGTTTCACGCTCCCCAAAGTATTTTTGTGTAACGAAAGATTGGTGAGTTGTTAAGCAATTGATGTAAGCGGTCATATAAAGGATTTTGAGCAAAACCTTTACAACAACCCGTGATGATTTAACCATATGGCTTTTTAAATGTTGTATAATTAAATGCGTAATAATGCATCTCAATTTACAGTATGCAGTACTATTATATGAGCTAGTACTATAGTATATATGTATGAGGTCAAGTTGAGTTTGTAGGATGCGGATAAAACATACAGGATGAGCCAATAAGTTAGTTACACATAATGCTTACATATGCTACACAATACAATACAATACAATACATTGCAAAATTAGTATCTTTCCAGTGGAAGGTTCTTTATTAGCCACTCAACTGGCCAAGAGAATTTAGTTCTAAATAAAAAAAAAATGACAATCTCTGAGCAAAAGTCAATGTAGAATAGTGACAATCTTATAGTCCCATCCTGTATACTGTTTTATTCATGTAAAACATGCACAATATAAAATGAAATATTATGAAATGTAGATATCAGATTTTCAAATACATTGGCTTTCTACTCTTAGTACATGAAGTAATGTGTCATGCGTCATTTAAAAATGGAAGCAAACTACATCTTTAACTTGAACCAAAAGCCTAAAGAATCACTAGAACTCTTCAAAACTAAAAAACAGAAATTTTCAAATCACCAGAAAAATATTTGGCGTATTTGTGAATATATAGTTATTTAATGATTGGCACCCTAAGAGGTCAGACCAAATGATCAATGAGTTGATTTTATTTTGTAGAGGGTTTATTTGTACTAAGAGTAAGAAAATAGAAATAAATTGGTGTTTCCCAATTATTAAAAGAGCGAACCTTTTGCCATTAGAATTGTGATCTATGTCAATATGTATATTATCATTAATTATGATTATTTTAGAGAAAATGAATTAATTTCTGTAGTTACCATGGTTACCTATATATAACATGTGCAATATGAATCATTTCTATAATTTAGTAGTTGGTATATATTATAATTATGTATATATATTTGTTATATTCAATTGTATTATTCTTGATTTATAGTAATATTTAGTAATGCTCCAATTGGGCAATTACTTGCTCATCTGATGCAGACCCGTAGCCAGGATTTGCCAAGGTGGGGGAGGGGGGGGGGGGGTAACTTTTCAAAAAATTCCAGGGGGGTTCACTAGCTTCACTTAAGACAATTTTGGTGCAAATATGGCCAAAATCACTTGAAGAGAGTTCAAATGGTGAAAAACGGTATTACTTTGAAAGAATTTTTGACCAGGGGGTGGAGGGCTGGCTACGGACCTGAATGTAATGTAATGTTGATATAATATGTTGAATGTGTCGGATCAGTTTGGTAGAATAAGATTATCTTGATTTGGATTTACTGAAATCATTGAAAATAATCCACTCTGGAAAATTGGAAATTGCTTCTCAGGAGAAAAAGAATTGGCCTGTTATATTTTTTCTAATCCTTAAATAAATCAAAATTGAATAAATCAGATTTTGTAATTTGAGCCATCAATAGACTTTAATACAGATCTTCATTCCTGTAAATATTGGAGCTTGAGAAAAATAGCTCACATAGTTAGTGAATAAATTACGAGATGAGAAATTCAAGCCTCTGTATTTCAGGGAAATGGCTGGAACTTTGTATCAAAGTCTTTTTATTGTGCTTTTCAATTTGGGATATTTCAGAGTCAGGCTCCTTTTTCTCCTGAAACAATTATTGAATTACCCAAACCTATTTAATGAATAGAATTTTTAAAGACTTGTGTTATAAATATCTGCGATATGATTGATGGAATATGATGGGTGGCAGCTATGTGACTTGTCAGATTACAGACAATTACTGTAAGCATTAGTTTACTTACAGCAAAAACGTTCATGCAAAGTGCTTGTTGCATTAGATTTTCAAAATCAAAAAATGGCTGAAGCACAGTGACAAAAAGAAAAAGGAACAGTACATTGACAAAAAGAAAAAGGAACAGTGAGTTTTAAGAAGAAATTATGATAAGTTATATTTTAATGTGTCATTTCTGTATGAAAGAATTTTCAGTGTGTCATTACTGTATTAAAGTATTTCCAATGTGTAGTTTCTATGACAATTTTATTTCTCTGTAAAATCGCTATTACTACCACATGGCTGTATCGCTGTCTTACCATTTATGTGTATTTACTGTAAAGTACAGGAGGGTTGGTTGCATGTGGTTGCTATGATTTGATTTGGTACAAATGGCTATATTTGTATTTTGTGTGTTCTTGCATATTTAGAAACTGAAAATATGGAAATATGTAATATAGATGATATATTTGGAAAACAAAATATACTGAATTTTTGTTGTATTATTGTTGTGAAAGGTGCTTGAAGTTAATACTTTTTATACTCTCCACAGATATACCTCTCTCCTTGTGTGTTTGTGTGTGTGAAGGGGGGGGGGTACAAGGGGTATGTACAACTAATAATCCTTAAAATAGTACCGAACCATTAGTTTTAATGATAAAAACTTAACAAATTTTTAATCTGCCTTCCAATTGCTTTAATGGAAACTAAAATTTCAAAATACAATTTTCTCTGAACCATAATATTCATTTGTTAAAATTTCTCACTTATTTTCAACTAATTTTATGAGATGTGTGATGTCAAAAAATTATTTTCATGAGAATGCAATAAATTCACAATTCTTCCTTGAAATTCTATCATGACATGTGTACTGTACTTGATAACATTTGGTTAGACTACAATATAAGCCGAAGTGGCCATCTTTACATAGGGCCTGAACCTGACAGATTGAGAATGGTGCAGTATGTTTGTTTGTTTGCCCATACAATATGGATAGGAAAGTTTGCATTGTTTGAAGAGAAATCTGAGACTAACATTACATGTATGTTAGTCTCAGGAGATATCTAATAGTCTATCACAAAAGTATTTCAAGTGGCCATTCTTTTTTTTTATGTTAGTCTCAGGTAATAATTAGAGCTGATTGTGATTGATTTGCAACTATGATAATAAGCGAATTGATAAATGCATGAATCTCAGTAAAAATAATTTATTGTGAATTCAGAGGCTTTGTTGAATCCAAATGAGAGCATCAGTGACTTGAAATGTTATGCGTAAATTGTTTTTTCCACATCAAATAGATGGCAGCATTTGTCTTATGTTCAAAATGTCAATTGAGGTTGGACCGAATAAACGAGGACTTCCCAAGTTAAGGGACCTTTTACGGCGCCAGAGAGGGGAATCGGAGGTAATTATACCATCATTGTATTATTCGATTTCAAATGATTGTAGAGAGATGTGATTTTGGCCAATCTATTGCTTTATTTACATCGAAAAAGCGGTCAAGATTTGGTTAATAATTGTATAACCCTATTATCGCCCAATTAATTAAATTTTTTCATGAATTTTTATCCTCAAGTCTTTTGTTACTTTGCTTTGACTGGTATTACGAAAAGTTACAAAAACGGAATTTTGTGTTTTCAAAGAATCTAACTAGAAAATAAGAAATGAGTTAAGAGGGGCATCTTCAGGGTGGCCTCAAGTGTTGAATTTTCTGTAGATAACTTTATAAGAATAGACTAAATTCAGTTTTTGGAAAACACTGGACAAAACTTTTTATACAATTTTCATTTTCCAGAAGTGGTGTTAACAATAAATAATAAAAAAAGAGTTAAATGCTGAAATTGTGAATATCATGTTATAAAATTGAAGAAAGAGTATTTTTGCTGCTCACATGTACAGTACAGTAATCTTCCTGTCTGAGCATAAATTCAATTGGACGATGATTCAAATTCAATTTGAAATCAATCCTTTCCATATTCCTTTAAAGTGCCTGTCTTGAGTTATGTAAGGTTGGATATTGTAATTTCGATTTTCTAGTAGTACATTTACAATGTACATATGTGATCTATATGGAAATCCGACAGACAAATATATGAATACATAAAAACTTTCAAAAGTCCCGATGCATCCCTCTATATAATAACCGTTATCTATCTGATGACAAGTGTGAGGTTAAGGTTGGTAAGGCCTGGCCAGATAACTATACCTCCTCGCTGTGTGTGCTCCATCCATTGAACTATTCACAGTGGAACACCTATGACTGAACACATTCCATAAGTTTGGTGAATGTCTTTTGTTAGTTTTTATATGGAACACCACTATAACAGACATGCTCATAGTTGCTGTGCACTTCATTATTGTAGTTTTCAAGTTTACTGGATAAGTGTAGGGTTGTTGCTATGAACTATATAACGATGACCATGGATATGACACAAAAAGAGGTCATAAGTTCAAGTTCAAAATCTTACAATTCCTAAATCAATTGCAGAATTATTTTGAAATTGTACCATGTCTTTTTGCAGAGTATGCCAGACAGCCCCGACTTAGAGTTTGTGTACGATGACGCTGATACCTACTTGGCTGAAATATCAGGTAATGTGACTGATAATATCTTTCTGTCACCACAAAGAATCTTAATTAGTTCACAACTTTAAATCATAAAATAATCTAAATCCAAGAATATAAAGGCAAATGGCCAATGTAAAGCTTTTTGAAAATGCATGCTTTAAAAAATCCCCACTCTGGATTTTTTGTCACTATATCTTGGCACTGATGGTTTGGCATCGTGGTTGGCAAAAGGAATTCATTGAATGCCCATGCAATAACTTACCAGGTAGTGACATTCTGTCATATTAGTCAGGCCCATAGCATGGATTTGCCAAGGGGGGTTCACTTTTGAAAAATTCCAAGGGGGGTTCACTTGTGACAATTTTGGTCCAAAAATGCCCCAAATCACTTAAAAAGTGCTCAGAATGGTGAAAAACTGCATGATTTTGAAAGATTTTTTTGGCCAGGGGGGGGGTTTCGCTCAAACCAATCGAACCCCCTGGCTACGGGCCTGTTAGTTTAACTGTCTGGTATAATTTGAGTTATTTTACAAGGAGATGGGATATCTTAGAAAGGCCCCTCAACAGAATAGTAACATCATCTAACTGCTCTTTAACTTTCTGTTTCAGAACTCTACAGTTATACAGAGGAAACTGAATTCCCACAGAACAGAAATGCATTTGAAACACTTTTCCCAAATAGTAAGTTACCATGAAATATGCTGTAAAGAGAGCCTTTCTTTTAACAAACCATGTGATTTTCCTATTCATGGATTCAAATCATCTTTCAAAGCATGCACATACATGTGCATAGATTATGAATTTGCACATGATATTACAAAAGAACATCATTAAGTTTTGTCACCATGTGTTGTCTTAGCTCGTATTTGCGAATGCAACTAACACCTGTCAGCTCCCGGATTAACCTACTATTTTATGGGCAACTCATTTGAATATGAAAAGTGCCTGCCACTATTCCATTCATAAATAGATTAGTTGGTATTAAAATAGAAAGTTAATCCGGTAGTCAGTTGCAGACAGCCGTTAGTTGCATTCCCGAATACAAGCTTTAAAAGTCAGAATAAAGGTCTTGCAATATTTCTGTGGTCACTTAGTAACAAAAAGGGATTAAAATATCGAAAGAAGATGTTGTTAATGGCAGATTGTATTCCTGTTGCTGAATTAAATCTCAAACAATTTATTATTATTTCCATTTTATTTAATAAACGTGTCATAAAAATACAAGAATAAGAAGGGATGCGTACTGGTGAATAATGAATTGAAGGAATTATTCATTAAATTTTTTTTAGCTCGATGGTTGTCGATAGGAGATGAAGAGAGAAAAGTGATTTTATTAAATCTACTTGATCGCATAGAAGTTAGTGGACACAAAGAGCGCATACAGGCCCTCCAAGCATTGTTATACTTAGTCCAAGGTAAGTATATTGTCAGTAAAGAGCCCTATGCAATAATCTAAAACTAGACTTATGTGGCAGTTTAAAATATCTGAAATTTAACAAATGGATATTGTTTCGTGAGAAAATAACAGTTGGATATTCACAAGGGATTGATGGAGTAATTCGTGCACTTCCAAGTGATCATCAAATCAAAAAGACCCATTTAGACTGTGTAATGTCTCCCAAGGATTTTTTCAAAAGGGTACAAGGGCCCCCCCCCGTACAAGTAACTTAAAGTCAATAATATACTAGTACCAATTTTTCATGAAATTCCATATGTATTTGAGACATATTTTTAACTATGGGTGCAAAAATCGTTTAGGTGCTTGGGAGATGACTGCTCAACTTTGTTATTCTTAACATCTGTTTTGCATTATTTAGGTGTATTTGGAGAGTGTGAAACAGAAGATCAGCAGGTTGACATGACGGCACATAACTGTTACCTCGTCTATGAAGTTGGGGTATTCGCTGTTTGTGTGTCTTTACTCAACATGGAGTCTGAGTATGTTTATTAATGATCTCATTTTATTTTCAACAGTTTTTTATTATTAAAAGGTGACATCATTGTATAGTGAAAGTATACCAAGTTATATCTTAGCTTATTAATATCATTTGGAAAGTATTGTAGTTGTGAATCTCATTTGGTTAAGTACATCTACTTCAGAAATATGCTGACAAAATGTGTTAAGATAAAAGAGACATTACTTAGTTCTAGAGGTGTCAAGTATTAACCGGTTAACCGGTTAACCGCCGATAATGCCTTGACCGGTCTGTGTTTTTATGGGCGGTTAGTTGACCGTGTATAATTCTGTGATTTCCCGCGCTTATTTTGCATGCTAATCCGTTTGGTTTTATGGTGTCAGTTTCACGTAAGCTACTCATACATGCCATAAGTCCTATAACTCCTTACAAACATCCAATCAGGAACTTTAATCCCTGGCATATTGCTTTCCCGCGCTTACTTTGCATTTTAATCTGTTTGTTTTTCAAGCGTCAGTTCCATGTGAGCTACTCATACATGTGATAGGTCCGATAATTCCTTACAAACATCCAATCAGCAACTTTAATCCCTGCCACATTGCTTTCCCGCGCTTACTTACATAGAATAGAGTAAAGCTTGACGAACGTAAAAAATAAGCGCCGATATATCATTTTTCCAGTTTGTTTCAACTTTCAAGATCGAAGATGAAGATTTCATTTGAAATTATCAGTCCAAATTTCCCGCCGGTTAACCGACTTTAACCGGTAAAAACCCCCGGTTAACCGGTTAATGCTCAAGCGGTTAATTGACACCACTACTTAGTTCAGTTTGTTTATGATATTACAAATTTGTTGCTTCTTAATTGGCATAACAAATGGTGGCGACATTTTGCATGTTAATGCTTTGTTACATTTGATTTCTAATGATTAAATTGTTGCACAGACTGAGATCTATTTACCAAATTGGTCATATGAGACTTTAAATGAGATCGATTGTATATTTGTAGGAATGTAAATGCCGCATCAGCTGCACTTAGAAAACCTGCTGTCTCATTGGCTGATAGTTCAGATCTCAGGTTTGTGGCTTATATTTCTTTAGTATTAAATCTATCTAGACATATGTGACTTACAAAAGCATTTAGTATAGGGGTCGAGCCAATAAGTTTGGCTTTTTTTGAGTTATAGGATTTTTGTTGGCTTCATTGGTAAGTCTATGGAATCATCTAGTTGTCCATGTGCCCCTCCAACTGCCTTACAATCAGTGCATCAATAGTTTTCATATGTTCAGCATGCATAGGAGAACAACATGGCAACTTGAAAAGTATGTCAGAATTTTTGATGATGTACAATGTACATGTATTGTATCACCAATTATTAAAAATGTATTTTTTTATTAACTTTATTTGTTTTGTGCCATTTAGTATCGTTGCAATGTCAAGTTGAAAATAGACATTTAATACAATACAGCAAAATTATTGATTCTACCAAAACACCTATCAATAATTTAGTCAGTTGTTTTATTGATTGAACATTTTTCAAGATTCTACAATAAAATTCGACTAATGAGTGATATTAAACACATTTGCATTTTATATGTGTTATATATGCATGATGATTAAAGGCCCCATGCAAAGTCGGAGAATAGTGGTTTAAACTTAAGATGGGGCCTTTAACATAATATTAGATGGTTACTCTGGGTAGTGGTACTCGGGGAAAGAAGGAGCTGTTTTCAGAGCATTTTCATCCACCATGGATGCAACCCATGTTCGCCCATATTCATCCACTTGTTTCCTCTCTCTCCTAAGGTCTTTGCAGGTACCTTTGAATCCCCACATGAACCAGCGTATATCGTTTATGATTCGACCTTTCTCGTTCACACAATCAAGTGGATGTTCACATCTGGGTAGAAATAAGAAAATATAAAGTGTTATATGAATGAAGTTGATACAGGAAAGATTTGTTCCGCAGTATGGGAGTTTTTTTGCATTATAGCTATAGGTTTGATTTACAAAACTATGGCAGACATCTTAATAAAGTTCTCCAAATGTAACAGACAGGTCTAAATCCATAATTGTTGTTTTTGTTTAATGTAATCTGTAGAGAAAAAAATCTAAATCAGAATGGTATTTCTCTCATATAAATTAGGACATATTCTATCAGTTATCACACGTTTCAGCATGTGATACAGGAAATATTCCACGAAAGGTAATACTGTATCATCCACGAAAGCGAAGCTTGAGTGGTGATACATTGTTACCCGAGTGGAATATTTCCTGTATCACATAAGCTGAAACGTGTGATGACGATTTTATCACATGTCTAGGAATTTTGAAGCATTTTGATTTGGTCAGTTATGATTGTGTTCAGAACCCCGTGTACTTCTGGTAACTATTATAATTTTTGATTTCGCTTTGAAACAATATGACGTCATACCGTTGTATTCGTACTTGTTTGTGAAATAGTATGACGTCATATTGTTTTCCTTAGCTAGAAGTGATATAATCAGTGACGTCACATCGTTGCTATTGATCATCACTGGTTGCCTCTAGTAACGTGTGAGACGGCCGTGTGAGACGGGAAAACTCACACGGTGATCAACCAATCAGATTACTGGAATTTTACAGAGCATGTGATAAATGTATTTCCTAATTGTTTCCAATTCTTTTATAATTTAGTCGTTCATTAATATATTCCATCTGTGTCGCAAATGAAAAAATTAGATCATACGATATTCACTTTTTTACAACTTATGCCCTGCAATACCATTATTAACATATAAATAAGATACATGTATATTGTAAGTTATGAAATAAATAAAACTAAACATACATACTTGACAGTCTGTGATGAACATTCTGATCCATGCTTTCTAGCGCAATGTTTGCAGCATGTGTCACACAAGACACCAGGCACCAATTGACAATCAGCTGATAGTACAACTGGAGGACATTCCTCTACTTTACATTGTGTGCAAGAATATGCATCCGATACTGACAGTTCAAGTAAAACTATCAAAATCAATGAGATAAATTGGACGCATTTGCTTTGAGTTTTCATCTTGCATTTATGAGAGCTGATATAAGGTTATTGCGTTTTATTGGTTGCGTTTTATTGGATGATTAAATTGAGCTATTACAAGGACTGGGTTATTTCCTCTATATTCAGGAGTCATTTATTTCAATAATTTGTAACTGTTCAAACAGTTAATGTTCATTGCTAATTTTGTATTTTTCTTCTTTGGGAAATTTAAACAACTGATCATTATGGTGTTTTTAGTTCGGTTAAAATATCAGTGATTTTAGACTGACCCTCAATGTCCTCTATATAATATTGTACTTTCAGACTGACCCTCAATGTCCTCTATATAATACTGTATAAGTGGTAATTTTGCCTAATCATTTAATTTGCCTATTTCCTCATTTTTGCCAGGTTCGGAAAATTAAATGTCGGAAATATTGTCTTTATAATGTTATCCAATGGGAGGTTTCTTGTCATTAGGAAAATTAAAATTAGGAAAATGATGAAATTTGACCATTCGGAAAATTAACCACTCGGATTAAATACCACTTATACAGTATTGTACTTTCAGACTGACCCTCAATGTCCTCTATATAATATCGTACTTTCAGACTGACCCTCAATGTCCTCTATATAATATTGTACTTTCAGACTGACCCTCAATGTCCTCTATATAATATTGTACTTTCAGACTGACCCTCAATGTCCTCTATATAATATTGTACTTTCAGACTGACCCTCAATGTCCTCTATATAATATTGTACTTTCAGACTGACCCTCAATGTCCTCTATAATATTGTACTTTCAGACTGACCCTCAATGTTCTCTATATAATATTGTACTTTCAGACTGACCCTCAATGTCCTCTATATAATATTGTACTTTCAGACTGATCCTCAGTGTCCTCTATATTATATTGTACTTTCAGACTGACCCTCAATGTCCTCTATATAATATTGTACTTTCAGACTGACCCTCAATTTCCTCTATATAATATTGTACTTTCAGACTGACCCTCAATGTCCTCTATATTATATTGTACTTTCAGACTGACCCTCAATGTCCTCTATATTATATTGTACTTTCAGACTGACCCTCAATGTCCTCTATATAATATTCTCTTTTCAGACTGACCCTCAATGTCCTCTATATAATATTGTACTTTCAGACTGACCCTCAATGTCCTCTATATAATATTGTACTTTCAGACTGACCCTCAATGTCCTCTATATAATATTGTACTTTCAGACTGACCCTCAATGTCCTCTATATAATATTGTACTTTCAGACTGACCCTCAATGTCCTCTATATTATATTGTACTTTCAGACTGACCCTCGATGTCCTCTATATTATATTGTACTTTCAGACTGACCCTCAATATCCTTTATACCATCCTTAATGTGCATATGTCATTTCAGACTCATCCTCAATGTTCTCTATACAGTTGTCGAGACACTCAGGCACAAACATGAAAACGATTCGGAAGAAGAAGAAAAAACAAGACAGCTTTTCATCACAGAGCTTGGTTTGTTGTTCATTTCAGCTTAAATTTTCATGAACTCCAGTGTAAACAAATTAATTGTTCATTATGAAATATTTCAAGGCATAATGTTTTGAATATTTATTACAGAAATTTATAAAAATCTTCAATGAATGAAATCGGTCATTCCAAATCTTTTAGATTCATTAAAGTTGAAGCTAACTATTTTATTTTCCAATTCAGATGCTGCTTTTGAGCTTTTATATATTCATGTTTAAAGCCATATTTCCTAAATAAATGTGTAAACTGTAGTATCTATGAACTTTCATAATATTTGATTGGACACGCTTGTGATTGTTTAGGTTCTGCTATGTATGAAGAGGAGACCCTGGCAGTGATCCTATGTGGAATGATAACAAAGTTCTGCAATGGAAGTGCTCCACATTTCCCCATGAAGAAAATATTGCTTCTTATCTGGAAGGTCTTGCTGGTAAGCTAGCAATGTTCCTTGAGTTATGGAAATATTTTTCTTAAACTAAGCGAAGTAAATTAGTTAAAGTTTTGTACCTGTTAAATTTTATTTTCATTTTTTAATATGATGAGCTCAAGCTCAAATGCACCGTAAGGCAGAAAGAAGTTATAATTTAGCCTCAATGCAAGAGAATATTGATGATGCAAGAGAATATTGGTGATGCAAGAGAATATTGTTCATGCAAAAGAATATTGATGATGCAAGAGAATATTGATGATGCAAGAGAATATTATGATGCAAGAGAATATTGATGATGCAAGAGAATATTATGATGCAAGAGAATATTGATGATGCAAAAGAATATTGATGATGCAAGAGAATATTGTTGATGCAAGAGAATATTATGATGCAAGAGAATATTGTACCATTGCAGGTATCTTTAGGGACACTTCAGGACTGTTATGAAAGGAAGAATAATGCAAGGGAAGCAGCTGGCCTCCCCAGATACCCAGAAAACACACTAGAAGTTAGTATAACTCTGTTCAGATAATAATGTTAACAAATGGGTATGCAATACTTCTGTAAAATGAATAACTCCCAGGTTAAATGCTCTAATGTGTCCATTTAGATACGTTATGAGTCTTATGTTATATGAGAACTGCCAAATATGAAAATCTATGGTAAACACAATCATGACAAATTAATCAGATTCGCCATTTTCGTGAATTTGTTCTAAGATTTGATTCGGCATGCTTTAACCCATATTTTCAAGGTTTGTAAAAGTATGAGAGCAGCCTCCCCACCTGCCAGTGCTGCAGACCTCATAGAACAACAGCAATTACCCAGAGCCCGCACGAGGAGCTACGCCAGAAAGGTGATGAGTCACAACCCTACCAGTAGTTCTCAGTTTGGTTGTAAAACATTACAATATATTTCATAATTTTCAGTTTATTTATTTCAATTTCCTTGATATTGATATAAATACAAAAGTATGCCTTTGTTAACTTAATAACATTATCGGCATAGTAAATAATGTTAGTTCATAATGGTCATATGAGATTTTATTTTTGAAAAATTATTTTTATACCTGTATATGTACGTATAACGTTTGTACTCTAGACAGTCAAGCATATAGTTTATGTGTAGTAAGTGATGTGCAACATACATTTAACTGTAGTTAATTGTGACGTTGCAGTAAATGTAAATGTGGTTCATTTATTTGTGATTTCTATGATTTGCTATATTTTGTTTTAAAATAAACATTCCCTTGCTTCAGATAAACCCATAATCTGTGAGATATCTAATGCTTACAATAAGCATCTTATATTCAATGTTATTCATGCATTAGCTACACATGCATTCACAAGCTAACCATTCACCTTTCATAAAAAGAATTTGTGACTTTCATATGGCTCAAATAGATGTTGATTGAAATATATAATTTATTGAAGCCATCTCTGTATTCATTCTCTGATGAAATCGCAAACTCTTTTACAAGTAAGCATTTTCATTCATTTAGATATATGTTTATCACTTTGGCTACTTCTTTCATTAGAAAAAGTGAGTCAGTTTGAGCCAATATTTTCTTACCATTTCATACAATATTTAGATATATATTCGAGGTAGCTGGGTCAAATATACAGGCAAAGTTGATTAATCCTAGACAGGCTCCATAACAAGGCGAAAATAATAGTCAATAACCATAATAATAGACATTACTTTCAAGTCAATAGCCCATTATTTGTGCTAACCATGGTCTTAACAGCCAAGTCATGTAATGGATGTCCAGGATGTGGGTCTGAGTCACTTGGATTGTAAAACAAGTAGCAAACCTAGACATACCACTACATACATAATTTGCCAGGAGGCTGTTTCTCGAAATTTATCGTTTCTAACGAATCGTTAATAGCGATTTGTGGATTCGTTTCTATGGACACCTCATCATGGATAACGAATTAACTTTTGAGAAACGGAAAAATCGTTATTAACAATTGAATTAACGATTTGTTAATAACGAAACTTTCGAGAAACGGCCCCCTGTACGAGTATAATGAATGGCCTGAGTGATCGAGAATCTACAGATTCATGGTAGAACATTTAGAATATCATTGTAGTGTAATTGTGTGGCGGAATCCCCTTAGTATGCTGTGGTGCACTAATTGTTAATCTAGTTTCCATATATTATTCTTTTGATAACTTCGTACAACTTAACAGCTAATTGCTAGCTATACATGTCTAATTTCATCATCATAATTAACGAGGAGATTACAGTACTGTTGATTTTGTCTAATAATAGACTTCATAGTTTTTGTGTTAATTCATTTTTTTTTATTTCCCACAGTCAAATTTAAGTGTTTAATCACCCATAAAGGAAATTTGTTCATTTGCATCAATCAGAATAACATTTTTGTCATTGCATTGTAAAGCCGTCATCAATCACTTTATATGTAGATGCTTAATGTAAATGTGTCCAAATGTTTTTCTGTATAAAGCGTAATCACATTTCGATGTTTTGTAGTCTACAAGTTCGATAAAGTTTTAACATTCAGTATCTAGTTGTGGTGGTTATCTTAATTTTTGTTTGTCATTTATTTTAATTCAGTGTACATGTACCAGTGTTTATTAATTGTAATTTTAGTATGAGATTTATGAAATTATAAGTAATAAGAGGAAACTATCAGATATGCTTCTGCTTACAATGTAATATTATGGTACGCTATAATAATGATTCTATATTTCCAGTTATGCTTTCCTTACATCCTATAGTCTTGAGATTTTTAATTAAGAATTTCCTTCACATTGAATCCCTCTGGTAAAACATGCTCAATATATATATATTACCCCATACTATTATTGTCATATTGACCTTAAGTGCACCGTTAGGCAGAATGGGGATTCTGCCACGGAGCTTCAGAATTTGTTGTGTCATTCCAGGCCTTGATCCATCAGAATAGTATGGAGGACCCAACTGGAATTGATCCTAATGGAGATACTCTGGATGGGGAAGATGAGATCACCAAGGAGCTGGCTGGGAGTGATGATGAAATTCCCCCTACTCCACCTCGACCTAGTACTCCTGCTCCAGCCAGGGGACTCCCCTGGACACCAAAAGTCAGGTAAATGTTATTTACCAGTAACACCTATGAAAATATACACTATCACTATTGTAATGGCCCGAGGCACCATCAGGGAGCTACCTTGTGTGGCAATCAAGCCCAGGACCTTCCACTTCATCGACCGATGCTCTCCACCTGAGCCATAAGGGCTAGTCACTACAGCTGGGCTTGCTTGCTATCAAGGGACATTACACTATTTTATTTCATGCTGAATGTTTTCACTGCTATAACCTTAGATAAACTTTATTTTTCAGGAAAAAAGATCTTGAGGCATTTCTCGATCACACTCGAGTGAAATTTGTGGGATTCCATGTGCCAGATGACTTGAATTCTCTAGCTGGTTTGCCCCAGCCTATACATGAAGGTGTGAAGGTATTGAAGCAACACCTATATATCTCCCTGGCAGAGCTTATGGTGAAGCGTGAAGAAGAGATTGCTGCCAACCCACTCTCCAAACCTGAGGGGGAGGTGAAGGAAACAGCCACTGAGATACTATACCGGGGACTTCTACCTAACCTACCACAATATGTGGTGAGTCATTGTCATGGCACTATAGTTCAGAGTATAAACTATATTATCAATGTTTGGCTTTGACGCATGATAACCTTAATTAGAAAATTACTGGATATTGAAATATACAGTGTAATTTTAGTAATTAGTAAAAATCCATAGCAAATCCATAATACCTTTATGTGTAAAATATATGATTCCGACAAGAATGCTTTCACTTATGTGTGCAAAGTAAATCCAAACAAATTAGAAAATAGAATTTTTCTGTTTTTTTCTATCTGCATAATGTTGTATTGTTTTGAACTACTTGATTATCAATCTACATGAGAATTAAGTTCTTTTATTCTGTCTCAGATTGCCTTGTTGAAGATTCTACTGGCTGCAGCTCCCACTTCTAAAGCTAAGACAGATTCCATCAACATACTAGCAGATGTTTTACCAGAAGAAATGCCGTAAGTTATGACTCACCCTCAGATATAAGTAGATTTGGCCAAAGTTCCGGTCAAGTTTCACTTTTGGCCTCTCAGCTTGGTATTTCTGACCTTGTGAGTGCAACATTGGTAGTGTGGTGTCTAGTGACCTATGCCGGATTGACGCAAATTATGCATTTATTTTAAACCAAACTATGACCAACCCTTTTCTAGTTGAATACGAGGGTTGTCCCATAAGTCTTGATATGAATGATCCATGTTATATTTGCACTGTTTAACTCATTCACACTTAAATCACATTGTATAAAGCTGGAAAATATTGATACCGAAGATCGTTTCAGATCTTCAATCTTGCTGTTCTCCCTTGTGGTAACTCACTACTGTATATTATTATTCCAGTACAACAGTACTCCAGTCAATGAAGCTAGGCATAGATGTAAATAGACACAAGGAGATCATAGTCAAGTCAATATCAGGTCTCTTACTCCTCTTGCTGAAACATCTCAAAATAAACCACATATACCAGGTTAGTAATATCTTCACGTTTCAAAGGATGTGCCCTTTTGGTCCCTCAGTCAAATGTATGTGAAATATGGTTTTTATTACTGTCCTAGTTATTTTTTTTTCTGTTTCAAATATAGTTTATTCCAATTTAGGTTTTTAAGATACAGAAATACAATGATACAATTAATTACAATAATGTATAATGAGTTATGTTTTAATCATTTTCCATTTGTTTTTAAAAAATACATTTTTACGAGTACAGATTTCAAAATTTAAAGTTTTAATAGTGCCTTCAAAATTACGCTTAATTCCATTATTCAGTTCTTGAATATATGTTTTATATATAACAAATGACACAATACTTATAAAATAGTTTAAAAATTCAGTATAATTGTCATTTCCATCGTAACCAATTATCAATTTTCTGTAAGTTACTCTTAACCCTGAGATATTATAAATATGTTTCCAAATGTTTTGAGAATATGAGCATGAAAATAACAAATGTTTCAAGGTACATAATTCATTACATAAACTACATTTGTAGGTTTCACTTTTACCAAATATATATAAATCACTAAGGCTAGGAAGAATATTGTTGATTATTTTAAAGTTGAAATTACCTATTTTCTTTTCTTTACAACTTATTGTAGTCCTAGTTATATTTGATAAGTATATTTACTTTTCACGAGTTTTAATGCATAATTAACCCCCTGCTGAGAGTCAGAATAAGTATCTTAACAAAACAAAAAATAGTCATTATCATAGAAAAAAACACCAATGGCAACCTGTATGACATACAAAGAAGAAATAACTTAATATAATTTTTTTTCAAATTTTTGAATTTCCCGCCAGTTTAATTTGAAGGGGGAAAAACAAGATGGTTGCCATTTGATTATCAGAAAAAAAGTTGCTTCACTTTTAGTTTTCACAAGGAGCACAGTTTTCCGGTTTAGGTTTTTTGACTGATTCTGACTCTTCATTACCAGGGTTATGTATAGAGATTATAAAATTGAAACCAAAGTGTTGTGCTCAGCATGAATTTGACTGAAATATGTGTAACATCACCAACACAATTGAAGTCTCAAAACTGGATGCTCAGTAACTTTGAGTGGCTATAATCCCTTGATTACCCAGATAAACACCAATTCACTTATCCAGAAATACCATTCAATGTCTATACAAAGAAAGTAACAATGTTTTTGAAGATATGTTTCAAACTTTCTGCATAAATAATTCATTTAATATTTGCCTTTAATTTTTTTTTCAATTCTGACAAAGTGACATGCACTGTCTTTGATGCCAATATTCTTCATCAATTGTGATACAAATTGATATTTTTGTAATCTCAGAAGAAGGATAAGATATTGAAGTTCAATAATATGTGTGATTGAGTTGGTTTTTCAGACATTACAATTTTCAATATTTTCTAAGTCGATACCCAGACTCATTCCCAGACTCATCCTTTACTTTGAATGTCTTAAATAACTTCAAGTAACTTCAAATGGACATAAGAGTAAGGTAAGGCAGGTTCACTTTTAAGTAAATAGATATATAGATCTCCAATAGAAGTACATACCAGTATTTAGTAAATATATTTTCTAATGGTGTTAAGGCTTTGAATGTTGTTTATATATTTCCAGTTTGAGTTTCTCAGTCAACATCTGGTATTTGCCAACTGCATACCTCTTGTGCTGAAGTTCTTCAACCAGAACATCAGCTCCTACATATCAGCTAAAAATGTGTAAGTATTGAGTATATCAGCTCCTACATATCAGCTAAAATGAGTAAGTATTGAGTACATCAGCACCTTCATATCAGCTAAAAATGAGTAAGTATTGAGTACATCAGCTCCTTCATATCAGCTAAAAATGTGTAAGTATTGAGTACATCAGCTCCTTCATATCAGCTAATATGTGTAAGTATTGAATACATCAGTACCTTCATATCAGCTAAAATGTGTAAGTATTGAGTACATCAGCTCCTTCATGACAGCTAAAAATGTGTAAGTATTGAGTACATCAGCTCCTTCATATCAGGTAAAAATGTGTAAGTATTGAGTACATCAGCACCTTCATATCAGCTAAAAATGTGTAAGTATTGAGTACATCAGCACCTTTATATCAGCTAAAAATGTGTAAGTATTGAGTACATCAGCACCTTCATATCAGCTAATATGTGTAAGTATTGAATACATCAGTACCTTCATATCAGCTAAAATGTGTAAGTATTGAGTACATCAGCTCCTTCATAACAGCTAAAATGTGTAAGTATTGAGTACATCAGCTCCTTCATATCAGCTAAGTGTTGAGTACAATCTCTGATATCAACCATGTGACTGTTTATTGTTCATTGGATATTCATACTTCTTGTAAAGATGTGTCGAACAAAAAATGCATCGATTTTAACATAGTTTAATCATTTTCACCACTAACTGGAAAACTTAACAAGTTTGGCAGTAAAGAAAGAGTTAAGAAAGGATTGGTATCGATGTGGTGAACTGAATTCAACAATGTGAATGTATTTCTCTTAAAGCAATTATTGAAAGCATTCTGTAAAAACACGGTCATTTATGTAATGTTGACTGATTGGTTGATCTCACAAAAAATATTCAAAAAAATTAATACAAAAACCCCCAAAATAGATAAAAATTAAGATAAACATTTTTATGTCCCCACCACATAGTGTGGGGCCATATTGTCGGCCTAGGCGCGTCCGTCCGTCCGTCTGTCTGTCTGTCTGTTTGTCTGTCTGTCCGTCCGTACGTCCGGCAGTTTTCTCCTAAACCGCTACAGATATCACCTTCAAATTTTCAGGGATAACTTATGAGTGCATACAGATGTGGACGAAAAAGTTTCAACTCGATACCTACTTCCTGTCGGCCATTTTGAAGTCAAATGCTAAAATCCTTGTCTGCAAACTTTAAGAAAAATGGCTTCACTGTTGCTTTTAAAACTTTAACATCCTGTTCAATTCACTTGATTCTAGATCTGATTAGGTTTTGGACCTGTTAGCCCAGTCATGGCAGCCATTTTGAATGTTTTAAGAAAAGTTAGCGTGCGATAATACTTTGTATCATATTGAATGGTGTTTTTGAGTTTTCATACTTAGACTATTTAGTAGCTTTATAAAAAATTTCAGGTGTACTTTATTGTAAAAGCCTATGTTATTGTTAACAGTAGTTATATGTGCTAATTTTGTAAAAAGAAATCAGCAAAAACTTATAATCACTTTTTTATTGTCGGCCATTTTGGATTTTTCCATCCTAAAATCTTGTCTGTTAAGTCTTGTCTATGCGTTTTCAGGCGAACCATTTGGTAGATCATTTCCAAATTTTCAGGGATGTTTCTTAGTATGAAAATCTAGATCTGATTAGTTTTTTGGCATTCTGGGTAAATGTCAAGGCAGCCATTTTGGATTTTCCGTCCTAAAATCTTGTCTGTGAAGTCTTGTCTATGCATTTCCAGGTGAAGCGTTTGGTAGATCAATTTCAAATTTTCAGGGATGATTCTTAGTATGAAAATCTAGATCTTCTAAGTTTTTTGGCATTCTGGATAAATGTTAAGGCAGCCATTATGGATTTTCCGTCCTAAAATCTTGTCTGTAAAGTCTTGTCTACGCGTTTTCAGGTGAACCATTTGGTAGATCAATTAAAAATTTTCAGGGATGATTCTTAGTATGAAAATCTAGATCTGATTAGTTTTTTGGCATTCTGGGTAAATATCAAGGCAGCCATTTTGGATTTTCCGTCCTAAAATCTTGTCTGTAAAGTCTTGTCTACGCATTTTCAGGTGAAGGGTTTGGTAGATCAATTTCAAATTTTTAGGGATGATTCTTAGTATGAAAATCTAGATCTGATTAGTTTTTTGGCATTCTGGGTAAATGTCAAGGCAGCCATTTTGGATTTTCCGTGATAAAATCTTGCCTGTAAAGTCTTGTCTACGTGTTTTCAGGTGAACTGTTTGGTAGATCAATTTCAAATTTATAGGGATGATTCTTAGTGTGAAAATCTAGAACTGACTAATTTTTTGGGCATTCTTGGTAAATTTTAAGGTGGCCATTTTGCATTTTCCGTTCCAAAATTGTAGCAGTAAAGTCTTGTCTACTCATTTTCAGGATAACCATTAGATGGGATCACCCATTGGTGGGGACATATTGTACACGTTTGTGTTCTTGTATTTCATTAACAAGATCAACCAAACTTTCCTTTGTACAATTACAATATTGAGAGACCTAAACATTTATGTTTATGTCATTTTATGTCAATGAGGTTCGGATAGATGTTTTATTTCATTCCGAAAATATGATACCAAGAACAAAAGAAGTGTCTGATGTGTAGAGAAAAGTATATATATTTACTCCAAATTATATTGCTCCAGTCTCTTTATCATTATAATGTTAATTGATTGATTCTCTTTGTAGAATTTCTGCATTGGATTTCCCCAATTGTGTAATAGGTCCACAACCTGAACTGACAGCTGAGAACCTGGTGAGATTGTATTTCTATGTCTATGTCGATAATCTGCAAAAGGCTAATAAGCCCATATAAAGCAGATATATAATTTAACAGTGATAGAATTTGAATAGAATATAATTTAAAACCTTAACATTTAAAAATAGATCTATGGTTTACAACTCATTTTAAAATTTAAACTAAAGGAACATTCCTGGTTGGCCCCTGTACCCCCCTAGGAAGTCCATTAATGTTGAAATACCCTGGGGCGACTGTCAGGCTACCGCGTTGACATCACCCCTCTTTACCAGTAGTGCAGGCTTGTTGCTGTGCACTGGGGACCTTTAACATTAAAACATAGATCTATATATCAAATTAAAAATCTTAACGACTATTTTGAATTAGACTGTTAATTAGACTAGCTTGGGGACCTCTAATTACTAGATTTTTGTAAAATAAATAACAGGAAATTGGAATCAAGACTGCATTCAACTTAAGAAATGCAAAAATACGAAGACACTGTACTAGTTGGGAAACATTTCACCCAGATTCCATAGACTATAAATACATGCCCAATTTAAATCTTACAACATTATTATCCCATACCCTAGACTGAATTATGGACAATTATGCAGTAACATGTATTCATCTGGATCTATCTTTTTAACCAATAGCACAAAGCTGAATTTGACTGTTCTTATGTAATATAATATGTTATTCTTTGTTGTAATATGTAAATTTTATAATGAATGTTTTTCTCAACAGGAGGCTGGTGATAATCAGCAGTTTTGTTGGCGGAATCTCTTCTCCTGCATAAATCTCCTCCGTATTCTCAACAAGCTTACAAAGTGGAAGCACTCACGAACAATGGTATGACTTCCATTACTATTTTTAAATACAAGAATTACAAGATTACAACGCCATATTTTGACATTGTTTTATGCAGGCAGGCTTTGTAAAATGTTAAGCAAATGAGTGTTTGATCTTTCCTGAGTGTGATTGCTCCAGATATTCCTGTTAGATTATTTTGCTCAGTAATGCTTGTTTGACATGTACATTCAATTGGAAAACATTGAAATTAATCTTGAAATAAAATCGAAATAAAAAAATTAATCTTGAAATGACAAAAAATCTTAACTGCATGTTCTTATTTAAAATTCCTATTTTCCTATTCCAGATGCTTGTAGTATTTAAATCTGCCCCAATATTAAAGAGGGCACTGAAGGTCAAGCAGGCAATGATGCAGTTGTATGTTTTAAAACTGCTTAAAATGCAAACCAAATATTTAGGCCGACAGTGGAGAAAAAGTAACATGAAGACAATGTCTGCGATATATTCCAAAGTCAGGCACAGGCTTAATGATGATTGGGCATTTGGCAATGGTAAGTTTTTGGGTTTGTGACATATTGTTGTAGTCATTTTGTGATGGCAATTGGTGTTTGGCATTCTGCAAATGGCGTCTGTTTGGCACCTGTAACAAATGGCAGGTGCCAGGTAGTGACATTTTGCATGTTAATGCCTTGTTCATTCATAAGATGGTATAGAATAAATGTATGCCAGTGTGATGACTTATGGTTGAATCTTGATTAATCATTTGAGAAAAGATAAATATCCAGGAATTGGTTCTTTCTTTTGAAGGTGATATTATTTTATAGCCTCTGTTTTTTGTGACTACCAGTCAACATTTGACATTGGCATCTGTAACAAACCGTGTTAATTTCTACTTTTCTCATATTTATTTATACTTTGTGTTTGGCCATGTTAATGAGGCATCTATTCACCAATACAGATGTACATAAAATATAAAACCTTATTTCCAGACATGGATGCTAGACCCTGGGACTTCCAGGCAGAGGAAAGTGCATTACGGACATGTGTAGACTGTTTTAACACCCGTCGTTATTCCATCAATGGTTATGAGACAGAGTATAAAAGTGTCGATAATTGTCTACAGAGTGTACTTGGACAAGATATAGAACTCAGTGAGGAATTCAAACAACATTATGAACGCTGGCTAGAAATGGAGGTGTATAATTCTCAAATAGACTGGGACCAAGTCATAATGCAGTGTTAATAGAAAAAATGAATAGGTCATATTTATTAGAATATATCACTGCGACTTTGTTTTACAATTTTAAGCTTGGTCTGGCATGTTCCGCACTAAATTCTGCATATAACTGATTTCATATTCAATTCAAACCGTTTTAAAAACGTCTCTTTTGTTCAGAGATCGCTGAGTCATCGTGCAGTACATGTGGAATTTAGTGTGAAAGCTATTCGAGATGGACATTACCAAGAAAAGTGGACTTGAATTACAAATGCAGTATAAAGTGGGTAAGATGAGAAAACATATTTCAGTATTTGGGATTAGCTATGAATGAAATCAAAAAGGCTCAGTTAAAAGTTCCATGATACAACGATACTTAAGGTGAGAAATGAATGGTAACCATTTAAAGCCTATATTTTATTCTCCATTCTTGCTTTCTGATTAATAGAACCTGCAATTTGTTATATAACTATTCATAAGGCCTGAGAGAATAATGTCGAAAAATACAAGATTTTGTTACACTTGGTCTTTTTGTGATTGAAATATTTTGACAACGTTAGGGCCTAGTGAATGTTTTTTTCTCATGAAAATAATTTTTCTGTTTACCAGTGTTTTGTTTAAAACTTCACGAACATTGTATTTTAACTTTGGTGTAAAAATATCACATTGATATTTGAACTGACCGAGATGGATTACCGGAGTAATTGATTACAATGACGGACAATGACTGTTGAACTGAAAATGATTATAGCAATGACTGTTGAACTGAAAATGATTATAGCAACACAATGGAGTTTTTTATCAGATCAGTCGATTGACATACCACGTACACCTGTGATTTTATATCAGATGGTAATCAAATAATCTTGCTACCTTGTATTCTTTCAAACAAGAAATCAAGTCGCATATAAATGTCAACATCATGCATGATAATATTTATTACTAAATAAAAAACAAAATACTAAAACACTTATCTTACATGTGTACAAGTATCAACGTAGAGGTAGAGGCCAATATTAGAATACATCCTGTCTTTTACTGTTATATAAACGATAGCATGGTGAGATATTGTAATTTGGCATTTGCCAGTCCAGTTCCCTATAGAAATCCCGTATAAATTGCAACATAATATAGCTAATAGTTAATATCTCCTGTAATTCATTGTACCAAAGAAGTTTACAGTATGTCATTCTTTGGCATCTAAGTTTTACTGGAGTTATACCAGGAACACATTCACCACAAGGCATCCCTCGTCATTTTTTCGTCTGCTCAGTTAGAAATTCTCGTGAAATGGGTAGAATGGATGGTCAGGAAATCTGAAAAATTAAATTAAATCGTTAACAACATGTTTGCATAAAGCACTGGCACAACTTATAGTATTTTGATTAGATTTGGAAAGTGATATTCCCAGCATAGACATTAAGAAGAGCCATGTCCTATAAATTATCTTGTTAGGTTTTTCTTTTTTTCGATTTTCCATCGGGAAGTTAAACCAAATGTCATGTAATAAATTTCCATTATACACTTATATAGGGGTTCTATATCGTTATGTTCTTACTCAGCATTGAGTCTATAGTTTCTATCACAAGCCAGTAATCGGTTCATGTCCTCTGGGCCAAGTGTGAAGTCAAACACATTAATATTCTCAGCAATGCGATGTTTCTTTGATGATTTGGGACATACTGCGACTCCTCTTTGAAGTTGAAACCGTAATGCAATCTGAAAGTGGACAAACATCCTGATTATTGTGTTACAGAATACCATGTAAGTGATATATCTTTGGTACCTTGAAATGGGATGAAGTGTTAAATTTTATGTGTTCCACTTAAAGAGGTTCATTTTATGTTAATGGGTGATGGGACTTGAAAAAGTGTTCTGCTCAAAGAGGGTGTTCCATTAATGTTTTACTGTATTGCATTTGCCGGTTTCAGAGGTGTAGTTAGGCTGTTTTTCAAGTGTACGCAGGAGTATTCTTATTTTACATTCCAAAATGGGAGATGAAACTAATTACTAATATGTTCATTTTATTTTCAATCAATGAATAAATGTAAAAGAATTGATTGTTGTTTCAAAGAGCAAAAGCCTTTTCTGGGTCACCGCGAATGGCATGATTTCCTCGAGTCTCTTCAGTTGCAAGGCAACCATACTGGGACCGATTCGTGTCGTTCCACTACTGCCCTTGGTGGGGGCTCGCTACCATACTGTATGACTCCCGAAGTCTACTAAAGCACGTCAGTGGAGGAACCAACCACAGTCTCACAATCTGTCTCTGACAATGAGCGGTCAGAGAACCAACCCATGCCAAGGGCCGGTACACGGTTGGACCTTCGGACCGGGTGTCCGTAGTGACAATGATCAACAACTCCGTACCTGGGGCTCGAACGCGGGACCTCCGTATCCCACCGTACGTTCAACCCACAAAGTAGTCTCTCTACTCCACGAGGCTATTCTGCTTAGGTGTCAGAACTGCTCAAAAATGTTATAATAGTTGTTATAACATTTTGCTTGGATAAACATTAGGTGTTTATAATCAATAATCCTATTTCTAAATCACTTGTAAATTGTATTGAATAACTAATTATAAACAACGACAATCACCGCGCGCTTTCAAACGTTTCGAAATTGGCTTAATGCGTCTTCTGAGACTACGTGAAGGGTATTAAGTACTCCATAAGATATCAGTAGCTGAATTCACCAATACACTCCTTACGTAAAACGTTTTAACGTTAACACGTCTTATATAATATAAATCCACACAAAGTTGCTCAAGACATCTTGGCTACTTCATCCTAGGCTAAGACAGAAGCCATTACATTTTGGGACCCTAGTCATCAGGTCAAAGCAACTCAGCAAGAAGTCTCGAAGCGTAAGACGTCTGACGGAGGCAAGTCCCATTTTTGATCAAATTGGGTCGTGAATCGCCACAATATAGCATTTTCGATATGGTCAATGACAACGGAATCTGAATTTGAGTACTTTAATTACAGTGTCCGTTGTCCCGTATCTCATTTTGATCGGTTAAATTAAGACTTTATTTCGATGGTAGAACAAGTTATTAACTGTACAATGATTATTAAGACACTTTGATTGATTGCTGTTCCAAAGGAATTTAGTCTAAGTGCTCTATTAAACATACAGTTCATGAAAATCTAATTGAAGCGACAGTTATGTCCGCCATTTGTGACAACGGTATCTGACTTTACCGTTGTCAGGCTATTCCGGGGTGATATCTTACCTGTATATATTTCTGAGGGATGTATTCCACTTGCCCTTCGGGCACAGAAATATATACAGGTATTGCACTCAACAGACTTCAATATTTGTATAGTATTTATTTGTGTAACCATTTGTGAAGATAGAGATTTAGCACATAAATATTTTTTATATACAAATCACTTTATCGTTCTGTTGTTAGGCTACATGTCCGTTCTTTATTTCCTGAAATAAGAAGAGGTCCACCGCCACCACCATTTATTTTACGAAAAAGTGACTACTGAGAAGATTTCAGAAAGAGAGTGCATCGCTGATAGTGGCAATTAATCACTAAAAGGTAACACTACATCAGCTATCGTAAAAGCAATGAACATATTTTACTTGGAAAATAATACAGCAATGGTTTAACTGTCCCCACAGAAATTTGCGCAAACTTCAACAGCTCCTTGCTGGAATGAAGAATTTGGCCTTGGAAATATTTTTTTCTTATAAACCCGTTTCTGATTGTACATTTTATTGAAATGGCAACTTGAAAATGTATGAAGTAAAAGAAACCCAATTTACGGTGAATTTGTGATGGGATTTTATACAACGACATAAGAGATAATTTAATCGAGTTGCTTGTGTAACTTCACCACTTAATTTTTTTTGTTTACAATAGCATGAGGTGTGTGAGGCTAGCGCTGAACTGAGAAGGGAGTCATGGCTGGCCGGATAATCATTAATTTTGCAAAGTGGGGCAAAATTCAGCTCGGACCCAACTTTTAAACATTGCAAAACTTGAAATTACACATTCAGTATTAAAACAACTTTGCTTATAAAATCTTATATTTTACTTTATTCAACTAAAATTATTTAATTCAGTAATTTACATGATCAAAGAGGGAAATTAGCAATTGTATATCAAAAATGTTATAAAAACAAGACATTAATAGAGAGATTTCGCACATAAGTGAAAATACAACTTATACGTATACGTATAGTATAAAGGGTCATGTCGAACTATTATATTTACTAAAATCAATTTTAAATTGTACTTAATGGAACATAACTATTCCCGATACAGAAAAGCTCCATCAACCAGAGACTGTGAAGGCACTGTCATCTGCACGTGTAGATTATGCACATTATACATGATAATTAAATGCTTGCTTCCGTGTCCTAGTAGTTGTAGTGTATTCTAAACACGATCCTTTAAAGTGAGTCATGATCCTTTCAAGTGAGTCATTACATAAACAAGTTGATTATTTCAAAGTTTTCTTGATCAGTATAAGTTCAATGAACTTACAAAATTGTATATACACGTAGATGATAAACGTATACAGTTGGATCTACGTATAAAGCTTTACCTACATGTGTGTGGAACAATTGACCGCAAGCATTTTCTAAATTAATCGGCTGAGTAGGAACAGTATCCAATCAAATACTTTAACCATCAATTTGAAACACCAATCAAACCAATAGGTTCTAGCAATTCCTGGAAACGACCCATTCAGTAGCTCAACAGTCCGAGAAGATCTTTCCTGACGAAATACCCACATTATGAAACACCTTGTACGTCTTCTTATAAGTATAAGTATACGTTATAAGTTGTATTTTACGTATCTGCGAAATCTCTCTAATGTCAAGGATGCAATTCTTATATAATCTGGAACAATATCCAATCATTACATCTTCACTTATGTCTGAAATTGTTATACATCGTTGCTTCATTGTGAATTAGTAACTTTTCAGAAAAGAAACTGTTATCAAGAATCGAATTAAATGGGCAAATACTATATTTTAATATTCTGATAAAATGATTTTGCTCCTAGACATCCCGCTCTTGTTTTAGATTTGAATGGGACTACTACGCTACATACATGTAGGTCTACATGAACACAGTAAATGGATAAATCCTTTCTTATACTCATCACATATTTCTGCCTTCAATGAGAAATATGAAGGCCATGATTTCTCATGATGGGCTAAATCTTACTTAATTTAATTTATGAACTTTTGTGGGAATTTTTGAAAGGGGGTTCGCAGGAACCCCTCGAACCCAAGTTGGCTACGGGCAATGACATGTTTTTTACTTTGCATATTTTGCTGTTACATTTTTGGCACAAACCATCTAATAAGGGCGTCTTGCCATATCATAAAATCATATTCACAGCGGAATAGCCTGACAACGGTAAAGTCACTCTTGAGTCAGATACTGTTGGCTCAAATGGCGGATATAACCGTCGCTTCAGTTAGATTTTCATGAACTGTATGTTTAATAGAGCACTAAATTCCTTTGGAACAACAATCAATCAAAGTGTTTTAATACTCATTGTACGATTAATAATGTTCTACCATCGAAATAAAGTCTTTGATTTAACCGATCAAAATGAGATACGGGACAACGGACACTGTAATTACCACATGCCTGTATCTTTCTAAATTACTCAAATTCCGTTGTCATTGACGATTCACGGCCCAATTTGATCGAAATTGGGATTTCATATGAAACATCATCCCAAGAGCTTAATACATGCGCAGAATTAGCAACGATAAAATCCCATGAAATGAGAACCAAGTGATTAAACAGTTGAAGCGACGGTTATGTCCGCCATTTGTGACAACGGTATATGACTTTACCCGTTGTCAGGCTATTCCGGTGTGATATTTACGCTATTCATCTTGCAACCTGCAGAGCTTAGCAGACCATACGGCTTAGACTGAGTAATTATAAAGATCTGTAAAGTGTTTTAAATGTATCGATTATAATTCATATGAACACTTTATTTAAAGGAAAAGGACTAGACTATCTGAAGAATGATGTCTTATTACAGGATTTGGATGAAATTAAAGTTTTCTAGGCTCTCTATGTCAACAAATGTACTTATAGGCATGTCTATATTATTATTTATTTATCTAAAAATGGAGTTAAACACAAAATCAAGGGTTGATTCAAATATAAACAATCTGTCTTCAATAACACACTCGACACAATCACAATTTAAGGAATCAATACAATTTACTGAACTCCGTGAGTTCTTTGGATTGTCTTATGATGAATACAGTGATGTTGAACTCAAAGGGTTACTGGAAGACCATTTACGTTTTGATGAAGCTGTAGCCAAGACTGGCAATCTATTTGCAATTGAACCAGTTACATTTCTGAAACATCTACAGAATCCATGTTGGATTGGATTTTTGGATGAATCATCATTGGACGGTGGTCAGCACGGCGATTGTTCTCTACCTCTAATTAAGAAAAATGATAAAACAGTTTGTGAGACGCAACTTGCTATACAGAAAAGGTTATCATCAACATGGCAATCAAGAATACAACAAAATAAACCTTGGAGGTTACGCTGCCTGCCTTATTTTTACATCATTGGACCTCCAAAATGTGCTACAACTGATCTAAGCTGGAGATTAACCAGACACCCAAGGATTGAGGACGCTGGTGTCAAGGAATATCACTATTGGAGTAAAGCACGTTGGGATTTCAATAACACTGAATCTGTTGGTAGAACCAAATTGCTGAAACCTTACGTTGATTCTTTTGATCAAGTGGCGGAACGTATTAGAAATTTTTCCACAAGCCAAGGAATCAATAATGTGGTCGCTCATGATGGCACTCCCCATACTATTTATCACCATCATGGCCCGGTGGGTCAATCTCATCTCAAACTTGATGTTGATTACATTCAACACATTCAAAAGGACAAAGTGAAATTCATTACAATTTTACGTGATCCCATTTCCCGTTTGTATTCTGATTTTTTCTTCTGGGGCAATGCTGGACGGTTTGGCCCTGTAAAAGTAAAAGATCATTTTCATGAACTCTGTGAAAAAGCTATCAATCTTTATAAAGATTGCTTAAAACAAAGGCCATTGAAATATTGTGTGTACCATCAGGCAAACAATGTTGGTTTAGGTAAACAGAATATGTTCAGAATAACTCTAGGTATTTATCATGTTATAATCCAAGACTGGTGGAAGAAAGTAGGGAAAGACAACCTCCTCATTCTAAAGACTGAGCTCTATTCAAAAGACCTTCAGGGTAGCATTGATACAATATTGGAATTTCTAGCTCTAGAAAAACTCAATCAGTTTTCAACTGATGTCAATAGAAATATCTTAGAGCAGGCAAATAGAAATGTACAAAACAGGAAGACCAAGAAGGAACTGAGGGAAATGCATACAAAGACGAAGACAATGTTAGAAGAGTTCTATAAGGACTATAACCAGGAACTGAAGAACATGTTGGGTAGCACTTACGACTGGGGCTACTAATCCAAAACCACTAAATGTCATTGACCAGGATAACTATCATTTGATCAATATAATTTTATTGAATTCAATATAATTTCCTAAATTGTTAAATAGTATACAGATATATGTCATTGTTAAAATAACATTGAGGCATCGTTTTTCGTAAAAAAGTAATCTTTAATAATTGAATTACCAGTGAACAGATTCGGTCCAAATTTTAGATGCTGATGCCTAGAGACACAGTGGCTCTGTTTGAGAAAAATTCAAGATGGCGACTGAATTTCAAAATGGCCAGCATTTTTCGTCAAAATGTAATCTTTGAAAACCCAAATAACAGTGAACGGATTTGGTTCAAATTTGATATGCTGATGCCTAGGGACACAGTAGCTATTTTCAAAAAGGAATTTTCAAATTGGGGCTGAATTTCAAAATGGCTGCCTTTTTTCGAAAAATTGTAACCTTTGACAACTCAAATACCAGTGAACAGAAATTGAGATTATGTTATAGCACACGCTCAAGGGAATAGATTGTACGTTATACAGACACCAAATACATCTCTGATGATAGAAGAATGAAAAGGCCTTAGGGTCAAAACCTCCCTTGTTTCCATTTTCAAAAAAGTGAAAAATGAGAAAAGTTATCATAACTTTTTTATAACTCTAATTCACGCGGTAAAAACTTCGACCATTAATTTGAATTTTTGACCGAATAGATGTTTAAAAATCAAGAATCGATTGCGAGTCTCATACTGAACTATTTTTCTTCACACTTGTTCCATACAAAGCATAGCAAAAACGCCTTTCCTTTGGTACATTATTCTGTTATACAGAGTCCCTACTCCGAGTGGCATTTTGGTCTCATGCTATGAGAAGGGCTTCTAACAGCTTGGGACCAAAACGCTGCTAAAACGAGGGACTCTTTACAATAAAGCAATGTACCGACAGAAAGGCAATTTTTTAGCTTGGAATGGAACAAGTTTGAAGAAAAACGGCGCAGTATGAGACTCGCAATCCTTGATTTTCAAACGTCTGGTAGGTCAAAAATCAAATTAACGGTCGAAGTTAGTACCGCGTGTAATAATCGAAATCGATTTCATATTTCGGCGACGGATATTTGAGACCTACACGATCCGAGCATGCCAGTGCGATTTGTTATATACCTCCAATCAAACGAATTCAATTGTTTAAAAAAGTCGATGCTAGTGCACATGGGAATAGGTCGTCTCATGATTAAACCCATTCCGTATTAACACGTGGACTTGTATCGCCACACGAATTTGATGTGAAACACACCAAATTAACACATATGACTTCTGAAATGTATCATTTATGCCAAACATTACTAAAAATCATAGAGGGCAATAATAGTTGAATTTGATTTACATCGTCCAATTTAGAAAATTCAATATTTTTCTTCTTTTTACTTCTAGATATAAAATGCCATGGCTTGTCTTTATAACTGACCAATATGTCATTGTGATGACATTAATGAGTCAATAAAACATATATATTTACCAGCATCATTTATATTAGCCATCTGTTCAATTATTTTGCTGACCTATCCAGCAAAGATGGGACTAAGTTTGAATAATTTTCCCCACAAAAGTCACTGGTGATCCACTCGATTATACTGGTTACAGAAACGGTTCGTTCAAGAAGAAAGGAAGTAGTGCGCTCTCCATTATGATCTCCCCATGAAAACAATTTGTTCATCTGATTTTTCAAACCAGGAAGTATTTTTGTGTTTGTCAAAATCCATTTGCATCCTACACATCCCTACATCTTATCCAAATATGTTATTAATTAATGAAACATAACAGTATAATCTTTGGATTTACAGGGTTGTATGGCATTTCATAAGTGTAAAAGTTGCTTTTGAAGCATTTTTCTATAGCCATTTTGTAGGAAAAAATGATGAAAAATGTATATCTTTTTATTTTGAAATATGACGTAAATCGATTGCAAACTTCATATTTGCACATCTGATGTGATATACCATTTATATCATATTGTGAAGTTATTTAATTTGCAATCGATTCAGGTCATAGTGTATTTTAGGTATTTTTGTGAAAATCAATAGAAACCAATGGCCTCCATTGGAATCTGATGATATCCACATGTTAAGTCAATGGAGCACATCCAATGTCAAGTCAATACACCCTTGCTGAACTTAATGACCTCAACCTCAGCTCAAATGCTTAATATTTTCATAAGTATTGTGTGACATTGTATTCTTTATGTTACACCTAAAAATGAATCATTTTGTTCTTCGGGAAATCAAAGTGGAGAGAGCACTAGATCCTTTTCAATGTGGCTGCTATTTATCAAAACATTTTTTTTGTTCAGTGGGATTTGCTACTCCGTGGAATTGCTATTTTCTTGTCGAAAATTGAAAAAGTTAAATCATTTAAAACATATTCCTATTTTATTTATTTTTACTTCACAAAAGATTATTTCTTAAAAATATTGAGTGTACATTTGCATACTTCTCGTACATGTAACTACGCTATTGGGTTTGATTGCTTCTGAAAATATCTCAAGCTTCTGTGAATTCAAACAATTTTAGTATTGTACACATCAAACAAAATACAAACAAAAGCTAGGTTGAGAGATTGAGAAAATATATGTTCGGAATACCTAGTCTATTAGATAAAGTCCTACCTGAGCAGGTGATTTTTCATATTTTCTTGCAATAGCCTGTATAGTAGAGTCATTGAATATTGAAGGTCCTTCAGTTTCACCATTTCTAAAGAAAGTAGATTTTCCATTTATTAAAAATATTTCAAAAAGTAAGTTCTATAGGTGTTCAGGAATTATGCATTAAATTAAAAAGTTATGACATTATTATCTTCATTTCCTGAACACCCTGTATCGCTATATCTAAACACTGTTCTGTCGGCGTCATGAATACACTAACCTCCATTTGAATCCGCCCAGGGGTGAGTAGGCCATAACTGTTATATCATGAGACTTGCAGAAAGCAACCAGTTTAGAGTTGGAAAGATATGGGTGCACTTCAATCTTTAAAAAAATAACAGAGCAATGTTTTATGATTAGTGATCTATTAATCGATCTGATATGTAGTTCAGAGTGGGGGTATGCCCATTCTGATTTATCAGAGCCACTCTGATACTTTGCATTCCAAGGAATAGTAAAGACTGTGAATGTCTAGTTGACAGAATTTTGATACAATAGGATATTTCTTTATCTTTTTTGTGGCATTAAAGTCACTTTTTCATCAGTGGAATCTGAACGGAATCCGATCAGTATGTCGTTCAGACCATTTCAGATCTACATCATCATACCTGTCTACACACTTCCATCTTCAAACTATTCAACTTAAAGTAACCAAGTAACATTTTGAATTCCAGAATCACAATGTTTTTCCATGGATACATCTCATTTCGCCTACTTGTAAATTGACTGGCTTAATTCTACAGGTATCTAGAATTCTCTGTATCTGCTTGCTATTATAGTTGGACAGTCCAATGTACTTTGTCAATCCAAGGTCAACGCACGATTCCATTCCCTGATTAAAATTGAAGATAATGAGGCATGACATGAAGTAATTAAACGAAATGTTATATTTCACAATGACACCTCATTACGATTACGTAGGAATGCTATCAGTAGCATCAAGTTGTTGTATCGTGTTGTATTGTATTGTATTGTATTGTATTTTACTGTATTTTATTGTATTGTATTGTATTGTATTGTATTGTAATGTATTGTGGTATGGTATGGTATCGCATCGCATCGTATCGTGTTGCATTGTATTCTTTATTGCCCCTATAGATATTTTGTTAAAAAATAAAGTTTAACATAAGAATTCAATTTACAACTAATGTACTTTGTAGGTTTGTAAATGTGTGTGAGTGAGAGATGGGAGTACATAAGGGCTTGATGAAGGATGGTTCAAGAGCTGTAACCAGCACAGAATTCATTATATCTACACAGGCCCAAGGAAATATAATTGCCTTCAGGAACCTGAACCTGAACCTGAGTCCAGATAAAAAGTTAGCCCATCAATGTCAAATCTCCTAAATCATGTAAGTTTCAGCAGATAATATGTTGGAAAAATAACAGTGAAACCTGCATATCCGAACACTTCTCTAATCTGAACACCTCTCTAATCTGAACACCTCTTAGTGTGAGTACATTTTCTCAGTCCCAATGTTGTTATCTCCCATAGACTCACATATCTCTAATCTGAACACCTCTCTAATCTGAACACCTCTTAGTGTGAGCACATTTTCTCAGTCCCAATGTTGTTATCTCCCATAGACTCACATATTATATCAAGCGAACCTAGAAATGTGAACACCTGGTTATCTGAACATGTTTGGCTGGTCCAAGAGGCGTTTGATGAGATTTTACTGTACATACCTTCCAGGTGTCCAGGTAGTCTATACTTGCATACTGGAACTTTCCAACCTCATCCTTTGGAAATTGGTTAGGTCCTGATTGGAAGGCAGTTGGCCAATGAATAAGGAAGAGGTCAACATAATCCAACCCCAGTTCTTGTAAGCTGCTTCTTAAAGATGGCACCACATCATCTGTCCCATGGGCATTTCTCCATAACTATAAAGATCATAATGGGCTCAGGTGTAATACCCTTATCAATAATATGATCATGCCCCATGATGAGGTGAGGATATTCTTCTTTTTTATTTTATTGAAACATAATAACATTTGTATATTTGTGGCCGTGACACCTACTTGGGTACATAATTGAACTTTAAAATCATTAATCTAAAATCCTTGAGTGCTTTTTCTAATTTTTATTATTTTATGTTATACAATTAAATCAGATGCACTATTATCAAAAACAAATTTGAACTGAAACGAAATGTTGAAAAATATGATAGCATTGAGTTTTATTGCAATAACTGTCCAATTTAGGATCACTTGATTGTTATTATTCGAAAACTAATCACTCAAAATCTGACTCCTGGACAAGGTAAATCAATTTATGATAACCTACCTTAGTTGTCACAAAAATATCTTCTCTTTTAACATCACCAGATTCAATTTTGTCCCTGATGCCTTTTCCCACCCCAGGTTCTGAGCGATATATCTGGGCAGTATCAAAGTGTCTGTAGCCAAGGTCAATAGCATCTCGTACTAACTGAGCAACTTGTGCATTATCTGGCTGAAATGAACTAAGAAAATGTACTGAAGCTTTCCCTATGGTATGCCTCAGAGTAATGTGTTGTATGGATTGTTATGTACATTGCAGTATATCAAAACTTCTCTATAATTAATTTTTGTGGATTTTAAGAATGGACTTAGCGTTTTTTACTGCTTCTAGGGCCAACTTCAATATTTTGGACATTAAAAGTACATATTTACACTTTCTCATGCACTTAAAGGCACTCCCAAGTTTATGCCTTTATGTATTTCATATTGAGCACTCACACCTCTATGTTTTCCATCAGAGTACCAAGGGCCACTGTTGGCTTCTTAATTAAAGCCTTTATGTATTTCATATTGAGCACTCATACCTTTATGTTTTCCATCAGAGTACCAAGGGCCACTGTTGGCTTCTTAATTAAAGCCTTTATGTATTTCATATTGAGCACTCATACCTTTATGTTTTCCATCAGAGTACCAAGGGCCACTGTTGGCTTCTTAATTAAAGCCTTTATGTATTTCATATTGAGCACTCATACCTTTATGTTTTCCATCAGAGTACCAAGGGCCACTGTTGGCTTCTTAATTAAAGCCTTTATGTATTTCATATTGAGCACTCATACCTTTATGTTTTCCATCAGAGTACCAAGGGCCACTGTTGGCATCTTAAAGCCACTCTCAGTTGTTGTCCAGGCAATGTCCACATCAGCCATTTTTAGATTTATTATAAGTCTCTCAGTATGTATGCAGTGAGTATTGATATCATAACACATGTATTTACTTGCTATATTCAGAATATTCAAAATGTTTATGGTTAAATATTAACTTTATTAGTATTCAACTTGTTTGACCTTGATATCCCAGTTATCTTTCAATTTAGACATTCAGTACAAGAGTTGTTTGGGTTCACTACATTTAAGCATCCCTTCTGTTCAGACTTTCTGTCCCCTGCAGTTTTAATTGAATCTTATTATACGTTTTGCATTGTTTCCAGTAGTTGACAGTTTTTGACTGATCTAATTTATTGTATCATTTTTAATTGTTACTCTGTGTTCTTTTAATCAATCTGATCAGCTCAACAGCTTTGATAGGGTAGCAGTTTTAATTGTAATGTCAAGGATAACTACAAAATTCAGTCTGTAGTTTGTTCTGTAGTCTGGGGTTTGTTTACCAACCCATAAACCTGGTCATGTATAAAACAAACATAACAATTAAGTTAATTTTTTAATTTGCTTTAAAGCACTGGCCTGGATTAGTCATTGTTTTACTATTTCTATAAATTTAGTACATTTAAGTTACAGAATTTCAAATACATCAACATAATATGATAAGGCAGCACTATTTGTATAATCACCTTATCATAATCAGTCAATACTAATAACAAATTGTAACCCAGACCTGTGCTTATGAGGGTTTATTCCAGTCAAAGCATTAGATAAAAGCAATTTGTCTTATAAAAAAAAACATCTTTAATATCAGAATAAATAGATCATTTTGCTTTTGTTGGTACCCATGTGCATTTTGATAATTCATGTAAAAATAAGTTCACCAAAGTAAAAACAATTATTAAAATAACAAATCTAATTTCAAATCTACATTTTCGGAAATAAGCTTGAATATGTATAACAAATTCTGCATATATGAGAGTAAAAATTCTGTAAAATACATGTACAAAAATTTGTAAGAAAATGTATATATTGTGCATATTTTGTAAAATAATATTCACACTTCAAAATATGTGCAACTATAACAAAATAAATAATATTATGCCTATACAGACACATTTCAGTCTAGCCTTGCTGTCATGTGAAATTGTCACAAAATATTCAAATATGCAATTTACTGAATTTGGGATTTCTTTCTGTCTTTGCTATTATTTGTGTAATTTTTGGACTGTTTTAATACATATTGTCAATATGAAATAATATTGTCAATTATTATCAATTATGATAAACTTTTTAATAATGACAAAGACTGATATCTGAATGTGTAATTTTGAGTCACTTGGCATAAAATCATTCTTTGGCGAGAAATCTGATTTCTCTAAATCTAGAGGTATGCCATAGTTTCCCACATTAACACTCATACAGTATCAAAATTGCATAATTGATAGAAATTAAATCATTTAAGGCTTACAGTTTTTGTACAACACCCTGTTCATAACAAAATAGACGTAAACTGCATTATGAGTTCTACATGTAAACATTTGATAATTAGCCAAGGGAGCCCCGGAATATAACAACTGTGGGTGAAGAATAAAGATGAGAAAACCTTGGACTATTTGCTGTAGGTTACACTGCATTTTCACTGATTTTCACTGGACGGAATAATCTACATGCACTACAATCTGTTGTGCGTAGGCACAATATGAATTTGAATTCATGATGGACGGTATATATTTATATATAACAAATTGAATCCTGCATGTTCTTTTTATACTAAGTGAATGGTACCTCAAGAACTCGCAGAAGAAACATGAGAATGTCACATACACTCATAAATGTGAGAGTTGATTTTGGTTTTCTTATCATTCATGCAAATATACCGCAAATCAGGCTCCCATATCTGAGGGTAGCATAAACCAGGGCATAAAGCCATTTTGATTTCCCCTAATTCAGATAAAAACTACTTCTGTTAGACTAAATGAAAAGCCTTCATAAACCCTTATATAATCAAGTCCATATATAAAACATTAGCTTTTGTCGTTTCCATTGTTTCCATATTTCGCCTCAGCGTCCAGTGCTTATATTACTGCCACACTCGTATGATATAAACACATATCTCTCAGGTCCTTGTGCACAGGCTGGGGAATTTCTAACGCCCCATAAGAAATTATCTCTATCTTCAACTGGAATTACACATTCCCTTTGGCCTCTAGCCAGTCTACATTTGCTGTTTAGATTTTTGAATGCCCTTGATGCACCGCAACCTCGTTGGACCCCACTACAAAGCGCATTCCCGTAGCCATATACCACAGACAATAAACCTATTGCTGTTCCTTCAGGACAACTCAATTTGATTTCAGTTGCGGTTCTACACTGGATAACTGCAATTGAAAACGAGAAAATAAAAGATTAAATTGGATGTCAAGCAGTGTTCCAAAAATACATTCAGCATGTTTTAACATCACAGTATTTTACAGGAGAAACTGCGAAGTGGACTACCTCTGTAAGTGGACCATCTCACAAGTGGAACACTTATTTGTGGTCCCAAGAGTGTTCCACTTTTATTTAGAAACCTAGTTAGACTGCATACCTTTTCAAGAAAATAGTTTGATGGACTTATCTATTCCAAGTTTAAATATAATTCTAACTAACTATGGAAAATTATGTGTTCTCCGATAAATTTTCGGGAATAAAAGAAACAATAAACAATATAGCGTAATCACTTAGCAAACAGGGTCACATTGTTTGCATTTTCCCATAAATTTTATATGTTTTTCAATCAAATGTCATAAAAACAAGATACTTACTAGGACAAGGATTTGTATTGCAGGGTATAGTGCGCTTATAGTCAAGGCCTTCCTTGCACACAGCGCCATCTCCCCTGGGACTGGGGCACGCACATTGTTCTGAAATCTCCCTGGTACCTCCGCCACATGTTGCGGAACATTGACCAGAGATAGGAGGACAATACCCACCATCCACTTGAATATAGCAAATACAAAATGTAAATGGACAATTCTAAATTCTCCATCCTTTATAAGCACTGAGTTCTCAACTTGCCGCAGTGTTGCCCCCTTAGATGAAGATGTACAACTAAGCTTAGCTAATCATAACTTTGAACCTCAATCAAGTAAGTTTTATTAAATTATTCATCTTATTTGTGTGGAATCGTAATTTTATTTGATTTTGTTGATTCCAATATTGAAACTTATGGTTGTTTAAATCGCATTTATATTTTTATTCTATATCTATTATTCATGAAGCCAGTTTAATAAATAACTCAACCATATTTTCAGTGGACCATAAAATTTGATTTCTTTGCTACAGCTGAAATGATATTTTGAAATCTTTTAGTTCATAAATTGTACTTACAGTTTTCACAAAATTCACCGAAGTATGTACGATCTGGATGAAGTTCGTCTGTGAAGCATTCACAAAATGGTTCACCATTGGCTACAATGCATATCCCTCCATCTAGGTCACAATCAAGATCTTTACAAGGATCTGGAAATACAATGTGTTGTAATAGTAACTGCATGTGAAGTGCAGCATTGTGTATTCAATGCAATATTGTGTATCCTCCCCTTTAGTGTGTTCCATCGAAATGTTACTTAAATTATATTATGTAATTGTAATAATAAGTAAATGTAAATAAGTACAATGTAAACATAAATACATCCAATGTAAAGACAATATAAAGACAAAATAAACCGTATATTAAAAATAGCAAAAAAAGAAAACATTGTGGATTTACTACAAAAAGTGCATGCACGACAACATAATTAAAACCTTATATCTTATTGCAACATCGTGTATTTACGACAATAAAGTTAGTGTATTCACTTATTATCCTACACTTAGTGTACTAAATGTATAATAACATGAAAAAATAAATTTGATATTTATTGGCAAAATGAATATCCGGAGGATATCGTTACGATATACTCCGGGCGGAGGATATCGTGACGATATACTCCGGAAAACCCAATATGCGGAGGATATTGTGACGATATACTCCGCTTGTTGATTTCCCGCCAAATTGACTCTATCAGGCATGAAATTAATTTTACAATGATATCATACATTCAGTTCACACCTTGTAAGTGTAGGATAATAAGAACATCCTATGATTTTTTTCAGAATATCATTTTAATCTACTCGGTGATATTGATATATGCACTCGTTCGCTTCGCTCTCTCGTGCAGATATCAATATCACCTCGTAGATAAAAATGATATTCCTCAAAATCATAGGATATCCTATAACTAACTGCAACATTGTGTGTTTTCTATAGCAGAATACAATCGACTCATTATTTAAAAATAACCTTTCTCACATTTGTCTCCTTCAAATGGGTAGAGACACCTGCACTTGAAACTCACCTTTCTCACATTTGTCTCCCTCAAATGGGTACAGACACCTGCACTTGAAACTCACCTTTCTCACATGTCTCCTTCAAATGGGTAGAGACACCTGCACTTGAAATTCACCTTTCTCACATTTGTCTCCTTCAAATAGGTAGAGACACCTGCACTTGAAACTCACCTTTCTCACATTTGTCTCCTTCAAATGGGTAGAGACACCTGCACTTGAATCCACCTACTTCATCAAGACAGGTCCCTCCATTCAGACATGGGAAACTTGCACAGTCATTGAAGTCTACAAAAAATAAAGTTATAGTCTTTCAGCTTCAATCAAACATTATGCTATTCTTATTCCAGGGTAAAATATACTTAGCTTGAAACTAACAAAAATAGACCATGGCACCATAACATATCTTCTGGCATTTGCTTAAATTGGCATTGAACTTATTTTAAAGCTGTATTAGGATTTAGACACTTTAAATGACAATCACAAGAATGTATACATTGGCATATTATGAGATATTGCTTAGAATCGGCATTCTTTGAGATACTGCTTGTACTTGTCTGTATGAATAGCGAGAGTAAGAGATGAAAGCATTGATTTTAAAACTGCAATGGAAACATTAGAACCTGAAGCTTGGCTGTGTTGAAGTATTGAGTGATACACTCTTATCAGGTACTAAACTTACCAAGTTCACAGTTCTTGCCATCCCATTCGCTAAGGCAATTACATGTATAGCCTCCTCTCTTAGCCTCGAAACATGTGCCTCCATTTAAGCAAGGGTTGCGAAGACATGCTGAAATAGAATGTTACTTTTTATAGTTTTAGAGTTTAAACCAAAACCAGTCTGAAGAGAAATTGAAAATCATATCTATGGTTAATTAACCCATATAGCTCAACTGAATAAATATATAGAGGCCTAAATTAAAGGTGCAACAATTAGTGCAGAGGGGCCATTCAACGATCATGGACCAGTGCCAAAATATATTTAAGTTTGGATATTTCATCAAGACTAACATCTATTTTTATTATCTACAAAGAAACCCCCTAGATAAACATTATTTCAGCTGATATTCCTCTTGAAACATGGTGGATCTTAAAAATATAAAAGTGGATTTCCCCTTTTTCAAGCTTTGAACTGAATTTACACTTCTTAAGGCTGAAATTGATAGTTTATCCATACATTTTAAGAAAATAGGTATGTCAAAGAAGATGTTAAGCCAAATGTTGCCTTGATAGCTCAGAATTTTTTTTGATTTTCCTATTTTCTCCCTACAGGCCTTGTTGCCCCTTTAATCAGATACACAATTTGAGAAGTTTTAATTTAACTTAAAATTCCCTATGGCCAGAATATTCAGATCTGTATTGAATTTTCCAAATCTTTTTTATTTAATTCACAAATTGTTATTATAGTGGGTGACCAATAGGCCTATTTAGAAAAAATATTATTATACACAATTTGCTGTAAAGGATCGAGAAATCAAGCACTCATCAATTCCATTCAGGACAATTGAAAAACTGGAGTTCAGTTGAGTAACAACAAGGAATAACTCTGAAGCACAATTTTTATAGTTCAAAGTATACTAAAGAATCATCCTTCAAGATAGGACATCTCTGTCCCAGCTCATTGAAAATATCCTTGGGACAGAGGATGCTAAAGAATAGGCTAAAATAATTTCTTACGGTCACATGTTTTACTGCAAGGTTCGAATTTCAATGCCTCGCCCTGACAGGGTACTCCCCCATTCTTTTGCTGGGGACAATTGCAGAGACGTATAAACACCTCATCAACAGGGTTAGATGAACATGCGTCACAAGAGTTGGCCTCTACCCAATCACACCAGCCACCGTCCACTTTAATGTAAAAATGAAATTGTTGTTATTATAATATAATGTTATGTTGAGTTACACTGTAGACTTTTTATTGTTTGTGCCATGTAAGAAAAAATATGAAAAAATCATTAAAACACACATCATCTGTGATGATAAATTTGAACTGAAAATTGTACATGCAAATATTTGCTGAGTATTGGAATACTAGTTAATCAGATACAAGGCATGATTTCTTCAGCTTTGGGGAAATATCATACAGATGAAAGAACCATAGCTACCTGCAAGACACCTATAGCCAGAGTAGGGTATATCACATGTACATGTAAACTCCAGTATACCATCCTTGCAGACACCACCATTCTCACAGGGTTCCATTCCTTCATCTGCCCTATACTTTGCACACCAATCAATGTCTGCAAATAAAAAATACAATTTCAAATAGATTGGATGCATTTACTTTAAAAATATTTTTTATTAAATCCAAATATTATTTCTCATGACTGAAAAGGGTAAGAAAATATTTGAAATTTCTTTCCATTGTAACAAGTTCAGATTTTAAGATTATTAATAATACAACAATGGAGATTCTACATGCATCTTTTGCTAATAGATTCAATTTTTTAGAATGTTAAAAACTAAAAGAATCTTTAATAAACAAAATCGTCTGATTTTTTACAATTATATATTTTTTGTAAACAGTGTTTAAATGTTCTGATAAGAATACTTTTTGTATTTTTGTGATTCAATGCATTAATATAACTAACTCATAGAACTGTAGTTAAGGATAGAAAAAATAAAAATTAGAACTTATTGAACACAATGATTATAAATCATAAAATAAAACAACAATTATTCATTCATACCTTCACACTGATTGTCTCTGTTGATTTGGAAGCCAGGAGGGCAAACACAAGCAACTTCCCCAAACTCTACACCACAACTTTGCCCAGCTTGGCAACCCCAGGGGATACTACTTATATCCTTCCCTCCATTGCAAGTAAACTGTTTATCACATTTATCCGATAGCCACTTGCTGCCTTGCTGAAAGTCAATAAGTAATTCATGTTACATCACATGTAGTGGTAGCTTTGAACAGAGCACTTTTAAGGTATTAATTTTTCCAATTATGAGACTTGTCGATATTTTCTTGGTCCATATATGATATGATACAGTTATAGGCCTAGTGGGAACATGTATGAAAAATTGTATGAAAAATTGAGTCTGACTTCCCAAAAAAAGATTCAATTTTTTTTATAAATAGTCCTGGGTCTATGGATATACCTATATGTTTTTCAAATAAAAGTGAAAAGAAAAATTATTTAAAAAAAGAAAACAGAATATAGATGATCCTAAAGTGATGAATAAGTTCAAGATACCGGATGGTATACTCCACTTCTGTCAATACATCCACAGCCATCAGGTGCAACTACACACGAGTCTCCAGACAGGACAAAGTTATTGCGACAGAAACAACCCTCCACTGGGGGCTCTCCAGGCCTGCACCTTGCCCCTGTTGGATCATCACATGTGGGTACACATGCTGGCCCACTTGGCTTGTAGATTGAAGCAAACGGACAACTTAAGGCTGAAAATGTAAACAGAATTTATTAAATCGTTATATATTATACATTGTATGAACTCATTTTATGTTCTCAAATGAGACACTAATTTGAGATTATTTTCATCCTAGTAACATTATACCCCATTCTGTTGAAGTATTGTTACAATCATTGTCTTGGACTAAAATTTCAATTTTGATCTGATGTTGACTTTCATATTACATGTCATCGAATTGATGGATTTAGAGTTTGACATATTTTGTGATATCATTTTGATGTTGCACTAACATCAGTATAAAGTTCAAACTCTGCTTAAATCAAACTGCAGAAAACTAGGTATACTTACGGCAACCTACGACACCTCTCCAACTACTTGTGACACCATATTTATTTGCACACATATCTGCAAAATTAGAGACAATTTCGCAGCGCCTACTCTGAGCAAAGCAGAGATCTATTTGGCAAATGGCAATATTTGCATCTATATCAGCCTGAGACATTCTTGCCAAGCAAGCAGCGAAAGGCCCATTTGTCTTATCAGCAAGGACTGCACAGCTGGTGATGGCGAAGGCAATGAAATTGTCGGGGCACTCTGGCATATCAGGCAGGTTGCATTTAGCACACCTGGATGGAGAACAAATAAAAACATTACAATAAAGTATCTCATTAAAGCGAATTAAACTCTCCATCTTTTGGTATATAACACATGGTTTAATCCCACCTTTTATTACCCACCCTGTAGACATAAATGGCTAGGTTTGTAATGTTCATCACTAAATTTATGGACTGTGATTGGTCAGATCAAACCACATAACAAATTGAACACATTGATAGTCTCAGAAAACCCCGATTATTTCTCTACATTTAGGGAAGATTCAAAAAATATTGAAACAGACAGTTCATAAAGTTGAGAATTCCTAATGTTCATTTCATCGCAACAATAAATTTAGAAATCATTATGAATTTTCTGTTAATGATCTCCAGTCACTTTGAAGTATTCAACTCACTCTTTATTCTTGGTTTCATAGCTGTTAGCTAGTTTTGTACCAGGGTTAGTGACACCACTACTTGGGAATGATCCATCCCTCAGCCTTTTATCATCATCTTTCTCTCCATTGAAGTTGCCACATAGTCCTTCAACATATGTGCCCCACCTGAAATCATTCAGATTACACATGTATATATAGTATATGTGTGCCCCACCTGAAATCATTCAGATTACACATATAAGTATATATATAGTATAAAGTAATAGTATAGTATTTATTTCATAGATTTGGTCTCGCCTGCATGAAGAAATGGAGGTCATCCATTTTCAGATCGAATGTAAAACATGCGTTTCTATTCTTTGTAACATTTAATTTATCATTTGTAACATTATTCATGTACCATATGTTACATTTTATAAACATGTTAATGGTGCAACATTTCAGTTAGTTATATGGTATTAAAGGATGCACATGTACAGAGATGCCAGAGATGGATCCATGATTTGCACATTAATTGAATGGAATCTGTGTGCCTTTATGTGTGCATTTTCTTAAACTTTAGGGGTGACTGTGCTAACACGAGAAGTGTTATAATCATAGCTGACTGAAAATAATGTTATTTCCTATATGACATGATGAATATACGATGGCCATAGGTATCCTCAGCGGAAAGATCTATGAAGTGAACAAACTGCTGTAAACTTATGAAGTGAAACAAGTCAGTTAAAGATGGAATCTGAGTTGGGCCAACATTAACGGCCTCTGTCCGAGTTGAACCAGGTACCTCATTGACTATAATAGGCATTGGCTACAATCCTAGGTTGGAATAGTTTCTCTGTAGTCTGTAGTGCCAACTACCTGTAAATACTCAGTCATTTCACATACCTGCCATCTAGCATGGTGATTGCCCTGGCTGCTCCATCCCACTCCACTGAGAGTCCAATAGATTTAATTTGCACTTTAACAAAGAGTCCCAACAAGGACACTTCAATATTACCATTGTCCTTGCTACTGCCTGGTGGGGATTTCACTCCATCAATCTGAAGAGTTTCAAACTTAAAATATAACAATTCTTTTATTTGTCATAATGGATTGATAAGTAAATGAGGTGATCTACTATCATTATAACAGAAAATCAACTTGAACCAACAGCAGATCAAACTAGATAATGGCAACTCCGCGGAGTAGCAAATCCCAACGAACAAAATATCAATTACAAATCTGAAAAATAATACGATAATTGTGATCTACTCCATTCAATTTGAGTATTATATAGCCATACTTTGAAGGGATTGAAAAATTATTGCGAAATCGTACATTAGACGGTCATTCTGAATTTTACGAGGCTCGAATCAGAAAAAAGATACAATATTTGCAATCTACTCTTAATTGCCTTTCATTTGAGTATATAATAAAGCTATACTTCAGAAAGATCTAAAAATTAGCGAAAATTTCTGTTTTCCTGACCCCCCAATTACATGGCCCTTGGGAGTCAGGATGAAAAACACGGAATATATGTGAAATAAATAGATGTTGCAATATACCACCAAAATTTCAAACAATAATAATTACTTTGGTTTAGAATTAAAAATTTATGATTTTTGCGAAAAAAGTCCCGCCATTTTTAAAGCGGCGGCCATCTTGAAAAAATCCATTTTGAATTTTCTGAGGTACAAATCTGAAAAATAATACCATAATTGTGATCTACTCCAAAATTCCTTCAATTTGAGTATTATATAGCCATACTTTGAAGGGATCGAAAAATTATTGCGATATCGAACATTAGACGGCCATTTTAAATTTTACGAGGCTCGAATCAGAAAAAAGATACAATATTTGCAATCTACTCTTAATTGCCTTTCATTTGATAATAATAAAGCTATACGTCAGAAAGATCTAAAAATTAGCGAAAATTTCTGTTTTTTTGACCCCCCATACACGGCCCCTGGGGGTCAGGATGAAAAACACAGAATATATGTGTAATAGATAGATGTTGGGAATATACTACCAAAATTTCAAACAATAATATTAATTACTTTGGTTTAGAATGAAAAATTTATGATTTTTGCGAAAAAGTCCCGTCATTTTTAAAGCGGCGGCCATCTTGAAAATTTTTTTTTTGCGTAAAACTATTCATCGATATACATCTTTACACCAAATATGAAGAAAATCCGTTAACTAATATTTGAGTTATCTTCCGGACGGACGACGGACAGACGGACTGACTGACGGACGGATGGATGGAGGGCTTCACTATATCCCTACCGAACTTCGTTCGTTGGGATAATTACATAGACTAATGGGTATAGTAGCAATTGGTTATTGTGCAATGTTAATTTTTGATGCTATACCAGATCTTTATTTATTTGAAGCTGAACACTGAATCACAATTTACAACCAAAGCATAAGTTATGAGCATACCAAATAAATGTAGAAAAACAGATCATAGCATAACAAACAAATTATACATTACCGTGACTTGGAATCCACTTTGAATCAAACCCTGGTCAATTACAATCTTAAATTTTTTGTATTCAATTGTAACACTCCTCGTCCATGATGTGACCTTGTTATCATCGAGGTTAAAGTTATCCACTAGAACTCGCCAATCAGAATCTGCCTGGAGATTCTGGGGGAGCTCAGACACAGGGAGTGGTGCGGAGAGTATATATTCACAGGCACATTGGTGATGATAGATAAGTTTGTCATAGGTCTCAACATGTGGATCTCCCCATACAACGCAAACACCAGATTCTGAAAATAGAAAATCAATATATACAATATAAATACCGCGATGATTAACAGAAAATAACTTGGGCTAACTTACATGGTTGTAGGTCCTTCGAAAAGTTAGCTTGACAGCTTTTCAAAAATGAGGGTTCAATATTTTTACATAAAATTTGACACAGATAAGGTTAAAAGTGAGCTACCTTGTGTACAAGAAGGTGTTGGGTTTGACCACTGTCCAGAAGGTAAACATTTAGTTGTATCTTCCCCTACCAATGAAGACCCAGCTGCACAAGCAAACTTCACCTGACCCCCACAGTTGTTGTTTTCCTCCGTGATGAAACCACCTATAGGAACCTCTAATGGAGGACATGTCTTCACTGGAGGCAAGAATAAACAAGACAATTACATGACAAAATGTTACAATCTGATTTAATTTATTGCAAATGTTTAATATTCTAACTAATGTAATGCTAGTCACAAAAAAATGATGGCTATTTTCAAATACTGTAATAAATCAAGACTTCATGTCAAGTTTTTAATATTTTGAATGGATGGTGTTAAACTTTAGAATCATGACTCCTCAAAAGAGATCAGTTTAAGAAATTGTTTTCCTCCATTTACCACTTAAAATACTTTTTTTGTCCATTCATTTGATAAAAAACAATACTTGTCAATAATTGAAACTCACACTGACAAACTGGCGACTCCTCAAATTTGAAAGTAGGAAGACATTTCACATCATTGTCCGGTCTTCCTCTGCCATTTTGGGGAAATTCGTAACATTCTTCACACCCAAACTGCACAACTGCGCCAACAAAGTATGGTGGTCCAGGTTGACCAGGCACAATGAAGCCATTGTCTGGTACAGCAGGGGGCTGACACTGACCCTTTTCAACTGTGATACATTGTAAAGAAAGTTTGTTTTTTGTTTTTTTATTCCTTTTTTATTCATTGAAAAACATTTGAAAAGTTAATTCAGTTAATATTCAGATTCTTTTTTTATGAGACTTTTATTCAAAACTATTTTAAGTACTAGGTAAAATAAAATTAATTAAGTTAAAAATTCTCTGAACAAGACACTAGCATAAAAATGTCACCAACTGCCATTTGTTACGTATGCTGAACAGCCACAAAAAAGTTGAAGACAATAACAATATTTGACATAAAAATTTATTCATTATTCACAATATACTAGTTCTGTTAACTAAGAAATAACCTCAATGCAACCTCACCTGGTACACATGTTTGAGGAACATTATCCCAGTCTGCTTTATCTTCTGATTTCCTAATACAGTTGATACGACTCACTTTATTGCCACCAGGTTCAAAGCCATCGTTACATTTAAATGTGATAAACTTGCCACATTCATTGTTGTTCCTCTTTGGAGTGCGACCGCCATTTCTTGGAGCACTTACTTGCGGACATGATAACACTGAAACACATTGTTTACACTAATATTTTGTTTTTTAAGAAATATCCCTGTAATATTATTACAGCTCAACTGACCTTGATGTCAGAAATGCACAAGTATGTATCACCTAGATGGACCTAACTGCACTAGAAATTAATGCTTGTTGATGTAAATTCAGTTTATGTAAACTGACATTTGGCTTTTTCAAACATAAGTTCACACTAACTACAAGTACAGTAGAATGCAGACTCCGAATAATTAAATATTGTTATTTCATAAGTCATGACGGCATTGATATTCTAACTACAAATATGTAAGGGTCCTTACATGTACATATTGGTGGAGTTTCCCAGTTACCATTAGCTAGGCACATGGACTCTTCTCTTTTGGTACCATCTGCAGCAGGCTTAATATAGTAGCACGCATCACATCTATATTTCACAATATCCCCTTCAGTAAAGGGAGGAGGGCTGGTACCTCTGGGGTCAATCTGGCCATTCTCAATATCTGGGGGTAACCCACAGGCAGTTGCTGAAAAGGCATTTTGCTAAATATTAAAATCTGTTATTTTCATGGTCTGAAATGTATTTTTTCAGGTACATAAAATTATTTCATACATGTCAACCAAAATAGAAAACAGTTCAATGTTCATGCTTCCCCATACCTCCACATGTTGGTGGATTATCATTCCACTTTGCACCATTGCCCTCACTGACGCATAGAATTTGTTGAGGACCAATCAGCTCAAAGCCGTCATCACATGTGAATGAGGCACCCACAGTGCCATCACAGTCCCTGTCTTCTTGGACGATTGCGCCATTTTCAGGAGCTGTTAACTTTGGACATTTCAGCACTGAAACCATTAATCATTTGTTTCATTGTACTAAAATACATTCGTAATATAATAATGTTTATTGATTATGCCACTGTTAGTGGGGAAACATATTTTATATTATTGTTATAACATTTCAACACAGTTGGTTTTTCCACACATATAGTTATCAGTATATACAGTTTATATACATTATGATATCAGTCATCAGCTGAAATACAATTTTGGCACAAAATGCATTTTGAAAATATGGAATAATTCTATTTAATAGCAATCAATACCAGCACTTATTCTCATCAATAAAAATGACATCCAAAAAATCATATGAGATGTTTGTATCGTTTTTTGGGAAATGAAAGACAGGACTTATATAACTTCAAGAGATAACTAAGGTCTTAAGTGACCAGTGTCTGCATACAACTCAAAGATTGCATTTCACAAGTCAACAGTCAACTCTACTTACATTCACATGTAGGTGTCGGACTGTCCCACACCTTTGCATCTGTACATTGTATATCCCCATCCCTTTCATTGTCCGCATTACGTGCTATGATATAACATGGACGGCAGCTGTATGCAATGATGTCATTCACCTGGTAGGGGGGTGGGCTAGAGTCCTCTGAGACAATAAAGCCATTCTCTGGGGGAGAATTCATTGGATCAGGACAGGTACTCTCTGTAATAAGAAAACAAGGCATTAACATACAAAATGTAACCACCTGCCATTTGTTACTGACACTGACCACCTAAAACCAACCGCCATCTCCAAAATGCTGAAGACTATAACAAAATATCATCACTTAGGGGGAGACATTAAATAACTAGGCCTATGTGGGAATTTTTATCACAGCACAACTTGTATCAATAGCTTTATGAGCAACAGGTTATTAGAATATTAGAATTAATATGCTACCACAGCATGAATGATCATGTCAAAATATACATTTATAAACAAGGGATGACAAAATGTCACCACCTGGCTACAATTACGAAGTATAACAATTGTTACTGATGTTGAATTTTAATGGCAGTCACAGTGCCTATAACCAGATAATGGTGCTTCATGATGGTAGCATAAAACCTATATAAAGTGAAATACAACACTTACTGCTACATATGGGAGGGTCAAACTCCCAGAATGCAAAACCACCAACAGAGATACATCTAATGTTATTCTCCCCATTGAGTGTATATCCTTCATCACATGCAAACTCAACAGTTCCTCTGCAGGCTTTATTCTGTCTTACGATACGGCCAAAATTTGGAGGTGGTAATTCCTCGCATGATATTTCTACAAAGAAATAGAAGATTTTTCAGAAAAATGAATCAAAATGAACTAAATTTACTCGCATGGTATTCTCACAAAAAACAGAGCATTTTTTTGAAAAATTAACCATGTAGTGAATAACTAAAATACAGCCAAAATTTTGAGGCAGGAACTCCTTGCATGATATTTGTTAAAAAAACAGAACATTTATCAGAAAAATCAACCATAAATAACTGTAAAAATCTGTATACATGTAGTATGAAATTTTATAATTATAGTGTGAAAGTATGTATAAGTTACTTACCAACACATATAGGGGCTTGTTTAGGTCTCCAACCATCCTCTGAACATTGCCTTATGGTGAGACTTATATCATCAGGCTTATAGCAGTCATTGCATGTATAGAACACTTTAGTCCCACACTTGTTATCTACGGATGATGATACACCGTTTGCTGGGGAAGCAGGAGAGGGGAAACATCTCTTTACTGGAAAGAAAATTGGACTTTATTGTAAGTCTAAGCAGTCAAATATTGTGGATACATGGCTTCAAAGGGATCAAGCAATAGTGCATGTTTTTCCAAGTTGAGAAAGAGGGTATTGCTAAACATAATTTGATATTTAAAAGATATTTCCAGAAATATTTTTTCCCAATTTTTTTTTTTAAATAACGCTGACATTGCAAAAGCAAAAGTTGACATCTAAATGTTTTCTATTGGTAGAAATGTTGATATTTTAAGAATATTTCCTGTTAATCACAAGTTGCATCTTAGTTGTTTATTATCCTGTTCAACCCAAAATTCTTACTTGTACATCTGGGTACAGGTCTGTCCCATTTAAATTTGTCTGTGCAAGTTATAGTAGGAATAGTCTTGTCATCTCTTCCCCTTGCTATCTCATAACATGGGGCACATTTCCATGTAATCTTAGACCCAGGGACATATGGGGGTTCGTCTGTCTTGGCTGGGTTCAAATCTATTTCTCCATTTTCAATCACTCCTTCAGTTTCGATGTCAAAGGTACAGACATTGGCTGAAAGCAGTCAGTAGATTATGAAACAACTTTTATTTTTCTTTATTTTTTTTATTATACATGAGATCATATACATACATTATGATCCTTGAGTACATTCATTAATTTTTTCCATTGTGTTTTAATTCCAGACATTGAAACTTTTCGATGATTTATTGTTCTCTTTGCAAGTCTATCGCTACATCTTGATATGACTGCTCCAACCAATTACGAACAAAATTAATCATTTATAAATGCAGGCTATGTTTATTTCCATGAGGCTTCCAGCATATTTCCAATCCCTTGTCCCTTTCTTCATAATTGGACTCAATATCACTTTAGAAATGCAGTCATTATTTAACTTACATGTACAAGTTGGGAAAGGACCCTGCCAATTAGCAGAATTAGGGCCATCTTGTTGACATGTTACTGTGGATGGTCCTTGCAGGTTAAAGCCAGGTTTACATCCAAATCTAACACTCTTGTCGCAGTCATTGTTTTCCTCAAGGATTACTCCATTTTCTGGAACTGGTAGATCATCTGCACACTGCAACACTGGAATTATATATGACACGCCATCATTATGTGTGTGGTTTCTCTGAAGTTAGTCATATAGCACCATTTGATGGGCTCACATAGTAATTCCTCATGTTAATTATTTTTTAAAAATAGGTCAAATTACAAGCGCAACCAAACAATAACAAATGAATCTTATAAATGATTTAATAAATGAATCAAAAAAAATTTGTGTGATATTATAAAAATAGTATTGTGTAATACATATAGTGTAATATATAGATTTATCAGCATACATTTGCATGAGGGTTCAGCTTGAGGTCTCCATCCATTTACAGTGCATTCTCTCTCCTCATCCCCCTGAAGACTGTAGCAGGTGTTACAGCTGTATGTAACTGTAGTTCCACATCTCTTATCCCTAAGATCAACTTCTCCGTTGCGAGGATTTGAAGGTAGCCCTTGACATTCAGATGCTACAATCAACAATTTTTTGAATAATCACTAAATTTTTCATTTGCTCACAATATATGGCTTATTCAAAATATAATGAATAAATTCACTTCATTTACAGTGTTGTTTATAGATGCAATTTTTTTACTTGCAGAAAAGAATGACTGAATACAATATTACTGATTATCTGATGCCATTATACTTTATATTGTATGATAAAGTTAATAAAAGAAAAATAAACTAAAATTTAGTCTAAATTATCTTAGGTGCACTTACGTCCTATGCACTGAGGCACATCTCTATTCCAGTCTCCAGAAGTTTCACACTTAATTGAGTTCAAATTTGGTGTAAGTTTGTAACATTGGTTACAAATGAATGCCACTGTGTCACCAGCAGTATAGGGAGGAATGCTGCTTCCTATTGGGTTAAAACCACCATTGTCTGGGGGCTGTATTCCAGGACATGTTTTTGCTAAAACACATTACATGTTACATGTACACAAGAGACAATTACAGTACATGTAATATAAATAATTTGAACTTTATTTTCATGAGCATAATCTGTCTTGTGCATGTGATATAGAGCGACAGTAATTTGAAATGTTAAGACATGGATATACATTGATTGAACCACATTAGTATTTTTTAACAAAATGAGAGTCCCAAACCGCTGATTTACCATTATGCAGTTACTGCATATTCACATCCCCCCTCTCTTATAGACACTGATTGGCCTGCCTTAATCCATACTTACGGACACATGTTGGCTTTGGTTTGTCCCACGCAGCTTCTCCATTCCTGTCGATACATTTCAGTGTGGGAGCGCCATCTATCTCAAAGCCACTGTTGCACAAAAATGTGACAGTTCCCTCTCCAGGAGCAAAATCACCACACAGCTCATTCTGGCCAGTTATCACACCAGACATTATCCCAGAGAATCGTTCACACTTTAATCCTTGAAAAAAAGAACAAAGCGTGCTTCAACCTGTTCTGATGGTGTGATTTGCAACAATTAAAAACTCTCGAGTGTATGACTTTTTGTAGGGTCATAGCTTAACGGATATAGCCAAGAAGAATCAGATACCCCAATTAAAAACTCTCGAGTGTATGACTTTTTGTAGGGTCATAGCTTAACGGATATAGCCAAGAAGAATCAGATACCCCTTGTGTTCTTTTACATGTTCAATTGTACAAACTGATTCATAAACATACATGAACGATGTGCATACAACAGCCTCAAACACTCTGAAATACTTATTGCAAGTAGCTGGATATTGATCCCAGGGCCACTGCTTCAAGTGCTCTGCCAAACTAAAACCAATGGAGATGAAATCATGGACACTGAGAGCACACAATGTGAAAGTATTCCAGCTGAACAATTTGTAATACAAATGTACAAATATGAAGGTGGAGAATGAAGATGCTTACTTTCACAGGAATTGAGTTCCCCATCCCATCCTGATGTGGTACACTGCACTTTGTCTTTTCCACTGCCAGGTGGTCCCCTTTGTATCTTATAGCACCTTGAAAGTATATAAGTATGTTTTAATTGTAAAATGTCAACATCATTCATCTATCATATTACCAATTCACTCATGAGAAGATTCTTGCAATGGTTTTGTATAGAAAGATAACATGATGGCATTTCTGTTAATTTGTCAATTTGAATGCCTGAGTACAAGAGACCATATACCTGTTATACAGCATGGCTTTTTATGAGATAATAGTTTTCGAAGATATATATAATACATGCCTCCAAGCTTGAGGAGCTTTGCACAAATGAAGTGGTAGATGCACCAAGACAAAACCTGGTACATGGGTCGTACATTTAATAGAATAGAGGAGTGTTTTTGTACTGTGATGATAACTTACGGATCACATTCAAGGGAGACTTCAGATCCGAGGCTATAAGGAGGTGTGTCACTATCAGAAGTAAAGCCTCCATTCACAGGTGGCAATATAAATGGGCACTCATCGACTAAAACAAAATGAGTTATGTCTTAACTGAAAAATGTTTTAAATTGTAACATGTAGTCTTTATATTTAATTATAATACAACATTTTAAGTGCATGAGAAACCTTCCTTGATGTATCCCATTGATGAGACGTTTATATTTGTTAACTCTTAATTTGTAATGTCTAAAATGAATTTTTTATCATATACTCACAAGCACAGGCAGGCCTTGGAGCATTCCAGCGGCCATTAGGCTGACATATCAGAGTATCAGAGCCAGAGATTCTATATCCACTTGAACACCTAAACCTTGCTCTTCCCTGGCAGTCTCGGTTCTCTTCAATGATCTCTCCATTTGCTGGACTGGTGAGGTCTTCACATGTTACCCCTACAGAATGTAAATGTGTTAATTTTGACACAATGCCAATATAATTTCTCTGAAAGTATTTATAATAGTATTCATCAACACATAAATCATCAGTGTATTTTGTAAACTACATGTATGCACTCTATGAGATGTGCCATCCGGGGGTGTTCAGGGGGAGTGAGCGAACCTCTCCTGGCCAAAAGATTCCTCAAAATCATGCATTTTGAGCACTTTTCAAGTGATTTTGGGCCAAAATGGTCAAATGTGAAACCCTTTGAATTTTCAAACAAGTGAACCCCCTTGGCAAAAACTGGCAATCAGCCTGCACAAGAATAAAGTGATTAGTGATTCATCTAATAAATAATTGAACTTACTTCTGCATGTAGGTTGGTTTTGAGGGACCCAGCCTGTTGGTGTGCATGCCCTGGAGGCAGCGGTGGGATCAGAAAGGGTGTAGCACTGGTCACATGTGTACACAACACTATTACCACATGTATTATCAGTGTTGGACACAGCCCCATTCTCAGGTGCAATAATTGCTCCCCTACATGTCTTTTCTGGAAAGAAGGTCAATAAATGCCAAAACTCCTCTAAAATAACCCACTTAATTTGACGCTACTTTAGGATTTGCTCAATTTCAGATATTGGCGGCTATTTAATTTGGCGGATTAAAAATAACCATCTTATTAATAATTAAATAAAAGTTTATAGTAAGAATTTGATCTTGTAAAGTAAGAGCTGAGAATCAAAGTTTTCAATCACATTTTATGAAGCAATTGCTTCATTATATGTGTCAATAGTATCCTTACTTTCACAACGAGGTATCTTATCATCAAAAACCATGCTGTTTAAACACTCAATTGTTGGATCTCGTTGACCTCTAGCATTTCTTGAGATGTCATAGCAGTTCGGACATGCATAGGTAACCTCCTCTCCAGGGGTGTATGGGGGAGGGTCAGAGTTGCTTGGGTCAATGAATGGGTCCTTTGTACCAGGAGGTATGGGAGAGGGAGGCATAGGCTCAGAACATACATTCACTGTAAGTACAAATGTCAAAGGGTAAACGCTCTTCTTATGCTGATGTTCAAATGTCTCTCTTGCAAGGAAGACATGATTACAATGCATTTATGCACGTACATCAATGAAGAATTAAGATAAGCATTCTTTTTCAATGATTCTTGCATATCAAAAAGCTCTTTTTATGTTGCTGTTTCATTTCTCTCTTACATTGGAGGTATGATTACAATGAATTTATGCATGTATATCGACAATGATTTAACAAGAACACAAATGTGTACAAAATGTCCCCACCTATGGGTGATCCCGTCAAATGGTTAATCTGTTCTAGATTTTCATACTAAGAATCATCCCTGAAAATTTGAAATTGATCTACCAAACGGTTCACCTGGAAATGCGTAGAAAAAACTTTACAAACAAGATTTTAGGACAAAAAATCCAAAATGGCTGCCTTGAAATTTACCCAGAATGCCCAAAAACTAATCAGATCTAGATTTTCATACTAAGAGTCATCCCTGAAAATTTGAAATTGATCTACCAAATGGTTCACCTAAAAACGCGTAGACAAGACTTTACGGGCAAGATTTTAAGACAGAAAATCCAAAATGGCTGCCTTGACATTTATCCAGAATGCATAAAAACTAATCAGATCTAGATTTTCATACTAAGAGTCATCCCTGAAATTTTGAAATTGATCTACCAAACAGTTCACCTAGAAATGAGTAGACAAGACTTTACAGACGAGATTTTAGGACAGAAAATCCAAAATGGCTGCCTTGACATTTACCCAGAATGCCCAAAAACTAATCAGATCTAGATTTTCATACTAAGAGTCATCCCTGAAATTTTGAAATTGATCTACCAAACAGTTCACCTAGAAATGAGTAGACAAGACTTTACAGACGAGATTTTAGGACAGAAAATCCAAAATGGCTGCCTTGACATTTACCCAGAATGCCCAAAAACTAATCAGATCTAGATTTTCATACTAAGAATCATCCCTGAAAATTTGAAATTGATCTACCAAACAGTTCACCTGCAAATGAGTAGACAAGACTTTACAGACGAGATTTTAGGACAGAAAATCCAAAATGGCTGCCTTGACATTTACCCAGAATGCCCAAAAACTAATCAGATCTAGATTTTCATACTAAGAATCATCCCTGAAAATTTGAAATTGATCTACCAAACGGTTCACCTGAAAATGCGTAGACAAGACTTTACAGACAAGATTTTAGGACAGAAAATCCAAAATGGCTGCCTTGACATTTATCCAGAATGACAAAAAACTAATCAGATCTAGATTTTCATACCAAGAATCATCCCTGAAAATTTGAAATTGATCTACCAAACGGTTCACCTGAAAACGCGTAGACTTTACACACAAGATTTTAGGACGGAAAATCCAAAATTGCCGACAATAAAAAAGTGATTATGAGTTTTTGCTAATTTTAGCATGCATGAATCTTATTAACAAGCTCTTACTTTGGCATGTTGGTTCATTTCCAGACCATGCTGCAGTGCCACCAACATCAGAACATGTTAAAACTCTATTTCCAACCAGGCTAAAGCCATCAGTACATGTGAATGTCACTCGCCTGTTTGGATCACAAACATTACTATTTGGGGAGAATCGACCATTCTCAGGAGCTCTTAGCTGTCGACAGGTAAGTTCTGCAAGCATTAAATTACAATACATAATACCCCATGATATCTTCCCCTGTATTGTGCACTTAATAACTTCATAGGAAAGTTAACTAGGATAGTAAAAGTGAACTTAAAAAACAATGGTTTAAATCACTTATGGTTAAACTGAAATAACTCACGCTCGCAAGTTGGTATAAAAGGTGGTGTCCATAGGTTACTCTCGCAGGCTCTTGAACTAGGTCCTTGTAGTCTATAACAGCTGTCACAGCTATAATCTACAGTTGTACCACAGGCAGTGTCTGTGCTGGAGACTGCACCATTAGTTGGATTCACTGGAGCAGGCCTGCAACCCTTGGCTGCAAGTATAATATGAACAAGGCATTGTCATCACTTGCCATTTGTTACAAATGCTGAATGCCGAACTACAACTGCCCACTACTAATCACCAAACACCATTCACAAAAAAGTTGGGAGACCATAACAATAATACTTTGGCTGCATGATCTCATTTGCAAATATATCAGACCCATGCTGTCATTTCAGGAAAAGTAAATGCAAATTGAAAAAAATATTCATTCCTTTTTCTTTCAAAAAGTAGGAGTGTTATCAAACATGTTTATTTTGTACAGTTACATTAGTGTATAAAAGGAGAAACTATTGCATTAAAAGGAGGCAATATAATAGGGGAAACTTAAATGTATTAAAGAAAGATAGCATATAATACTTACGTTCACATTGTGGTATTCTATCAGAGAAACTCAGATCATTCTGGCATGTAATGTCAGGCCTTCTTTCACCATTACTATTTTCCGCAATTTGAAAGCATTCATCGTCACATTTGTAAACAAGCGTAGTCCCTGGTATATAAGGGGGTTCATCAAGATTTGAACCGTCTAAAGCTGGTATTGCTCTCCTGTTACCAGGCCTGAGAATGGGAGGCATTGGGTTGGGGCATGATTGTTCTGAAATTTCAAAGGTTTATAATGTATGGATGCATATATTGAAATGGCTGCACAAATTAATGCCGCAAAGTACACAAATTGCATCTGGCAGATTTGAATTCAGGACACCCTAAATATACAGAAAAGTTACAAATACAGTAAACATCCAAAATTTCCATCATTCTTGAAAATATGGCAATATATTGCAGGACAAATAATAGAAATTGGACAAATGCAAAATATGTGTCTTCAAATATACTAAATTGTTGTGAATCAGAAAGTTTCCTCAATAATTGACATTTCTAAGGGCATAATTTTAATTACTTAATGAGAAACCCTGTGTCTGTATGTGCCATGTCCATACTGAATTTATTAAATGTGCTGCCTCTTGGAAATATGTTTTTACATACTTTACTCAAGTCTGTTATATCATGTAGTTTAAAATCTTACGTTCACATGAAGGAGGTTCATTGTCCCACACTGCACCTCGTCCTCCACTGTCGACACATCTCAAAGTGTCACTACCGACCAAAGAGAACAATGGCTCACACACATATTTCACCTTGAAAATATTTTAAGTTATTGTAAATATCAAATAAAAATTCAGTGAAAAATCTATTGTTACATAAAATAAAAAAGGTGCAGCACTATCAAGTGTTCCATTTTTAATGATGAAATAAAGATGATTTCAAAATTACATCTTTACCGGATTGCAAGGAACAGTTAGGTCTACATATATAAATATTGCATGTTTGGACATAATACTTCTGCTAGAGTACAAATCTCAGATACCCCCCTAGGCCCTTAATTGATCTAATGTTCCACTCTTTACCTCATTGCCACAATCTGTGGTTCTAAATAGGATATCTCCATTATCTATGTCAGGCAGTTCTCTGCATTTCTTCACTGGAAAATCAACAATTTGTATTATTTAAGAGAGCAAGCAACTAAAATTCTGGAGTCTGTATATCATTAGGTTGTTTATTCATTTTACAATCAATATCAAATAATAGGGAGAGGATGGTGTTAAATTATTCTGAAAATATATTGAGCCATCCTTTATATACAATATGTATGTATGTCATTCTATTCTATGTCTAAATTAAAATATAAATGAAAATTGAGGTATCCATTATCCGATATAGTTAATGGTCTGTCAAGAATACTTTTTCACAAGGAATTAACACTCTAAAATTATTAGTAATTAATACAGATCAACGTACGCTGACAGGTTGGCACATTGGTTGGCATCCACATGCCCTGGAACGTACAAGCTCTGAATGGGGCTCCAGTTAGTCTATAGCATTCGTTACAATTATACTCAATAGGTTTTCCACATTCTGCACTGGTTGAGTCAACTGCTCCATTTGCAGGGTTACTGGGCGGTGGGCTACATGTTATGCCTGAAATATGATCATAAGAGTGACACAATCATTGGTTTTAAAATAGACCGAAACTAGTACGAGCTAACAAACTACAAAGAACAAACTACACAGCACATCAGTTTCAGCATTATGAATTATTATTTCATAGAAAAAAAGAAAAAAGGCAACTCCCTTGAGTGGCAAGTCCCACTGAAAAAAGCATATTTTATCAAATCGTTCACTATTTTAAAAGTTCCATAAAAAATTCATGTTCAGTTTGGCTTGAATCACAAGTCAGCATTTATTTTTATGTAGTTTCCATATATAATATCGATGATTGAAATTAGATTCAAAACTCACGTTCACATTGTGGCTCTGGCCTGTCAAACTCTAAGTTATTTTGACATGTTATAATTGGACTGTCATTTCCGGTATTATCTTCTGCAATCTTAAAGCATCTGTCCTCGCACTTGTACAGTAGTGTGGCTCCACTGAGGTAGGGGGGTGAGGGTGAATTATCCACGTCAAGAACTGCCTTTACGTTGCCTGGTCGCAGATTTGCTGGCATAGGATTCTCACAAGTGTTTTCTGAATAAACATATTGAACATTCTATCAAATAAATTATTTCATACACTTTTAAAAGATACAAATATATATCTGAATTTTCTTTTTTTTCTTTTCTCCAAGTGTGTAAATAATTGAAGAAACAAAGAGACAGTGTCACACATAACAATTTAAACAATCCGAAACAATCACAGACTTAGTAGAGCTACATACGTTCACATCGTGGTATATCACCAGACCACTCAGCTGAGTTTGGACCACTGTCTTGGCAGGTCAATACAGATGATCCTCTGAGAGAATAGAACTGGTTGCAAGCAAATTGAACCTGAAATAAAAAAAATTGAAAGGAATATTAGAAACATGGTACAAAGTTAGTCTTTTTACATATCATCGATATAATATGAAGGCTTCGTCAAAACAAAAACTTCTATTTTTCTTGAAAGTTGACCTTTTTACATTAGCTATTGGTGATGTTTGAAATATAAACATGATAACTACACAATTTGAAATTCAATGACATAGATGAACAAGTAGTGGTCATCTATGAAGAACAAAGTCACCGCCTTTGTTAGTACCCAGCATTCCCAAACTAAATCAGATCTTATGAAATGGATGAACAGTTTTCTTGCTATCTTGATGTCCAGGCACCAACCCACCAATCAGCACAAGAGAACGGGAATATAGTACTTCTCAAGACAGTTAGTCTGATCGTAAAAATGTAATTCAAAATATAAAGTAAGGAATACCTCTGTTCCACATGCACTATTTAGACTGAGAATCCTTCCATTCAAGGGAGCCACTAAAGGCTCACATTGTTTCACTGAAATATAAAACATTTTCCTTCGCCATATCAATCATAACATAAAACTGAAAAATAAAGAAATTATAATCATATCTTCTTTCAATCCATGAGCTTACAAGAGATCAACCATAATTTGAAATTGAAGAATGAAGAAATATAATCATGCTTTCCTTCGCAAAGAAACTTGAACCTGAAAATTTTATAGCTGCTTAGTACTTTAAGTTTAAATTAGTTAAGTTTATAGTTTTTATTGGTGTCTTGAAAACAATCAATTTCCATTGAGAGAAATCGAACAATTAATGAAACAAAAATAAAATCTAGTACTAAAGTAGCACAGAAAAATCAGCTATAAAGATGTCTAATCTTGTGACATTTACCATAGCAACCTTAACTTGGAATATTAAACAATAGAGAGCTTTCAATATAAGTTTTCAGCCAAACTTATACTGCACCTTTAACTTTAAATGACGCAGACATCACTGGGGAGGAAGTTTTCTGAAAGAACTCACAAACTACATACTTGCTGAATATTCTGATTTAATTTGAAGGATGAAAGCACCCAATCTTTGCTTTCAGAGTTCCTCCCAAGTACTGTACTATACCTGACTGACAAGTAAAGGTTTGCATATACGTATTCCAAATAACTTATATTGAAAGCTCTCTATCAAAGAGAGTAAAACCTGTCAGATGGTACACCTTTCTGTAAGAAATCCCTCTATGGAACAATATGGAACAATTTTCAAAATTGTTAAGTGCTACTGACTTACATGTTAAATAACATGTAAGGAACACATGTCTACAAAAACAATGCTGGCCATTTATGAGATTGTGCCAATTAAGTGTATCCAATAACTTACATATGCAAGAAGGGACAGGGAAAGGGTCCCAAAATCCATCAGGTCGGCAGGTCCTAGTGGGAGCACCAGACAGGGCATAGCAACTATTGCAGGTGTATCTAACTGTGGTGTCGCACGCTGAGTCTGTGAAATCAACTTGCCCATTGGGTGGATTGAATGGTGCAGGGCTACAGCTTATGGCTAAGGAAAAAAGCAAATTAGATTATTAGAGTGAGACTTCACACTTTTATCAATAATATGAAACTATTTGTAGCGAATCTGGGCTCAATCATTGGATTTGCAAGCATGGTCTACAATTTCTCAATAACATATTTTGAATGAAATATATTTTGATTTGGTGAGACATGTCATCATTGTCTAAATGAGCTATTCAACAGACTTGGTTCTATACTCACGTTCACATTGTGGCTCTGGGGCATTAAACTCAAGATCACTTTCACAGTTGATATCAGGACGTCTCTGGCCTTCAGTATTCTCTGGTGATAAAATTCGGAAACATGGGTCGGTGCACTTAAAGAGCAGTATAGCGCCCTCTGTATAAGGGCTCTGGGCAGATGGTCCTTCATCTAACACTGCTTCTTGGTTGCCTGGCCTTAGAGTTGAGGGCATGGGGTTCTTACATATCTCCACTAGAATGAATAACATGAAAATAAACAACTGTTATATTATAATTGATATTGTGGTCCTTCATGTAAGTTACATTTCTTTAAATATAAATATACCTTTTCTAATTTTTGGTTTGCTTTTCAACCTTGTCACTTAATTTTTAGTATCCCAATCCAATTACTGCCACTTTAACAATCAATAAAATTTTAATTTTCTAATATTTAAAACTCAAATGTTAATTAATACTCCAGATTAACCTTACATTGACATGTAGGTGGTTGGACATTCCATGCAGCACTATCTCCAATCCCATTCTGACAGGTTAGGCGATCCCGTCCTTGTAAGGTATAACCATCATCACATCTAAACTGGACCTTGAAAAGAGAAGACAGCAAACTATTCTAAAGTTGTATGAGGTTATAAGTACATGAGATTGCTACAGTTTAATGGTTTCTTCAACTAATGTTATTCTATTCATACAGATTTAAACAATTTTATTTTAAGGTTTCCTATATGCGTATGTAGCTACCTCTTGCCCACAGTCAGTCTTTGGTACAACTATGAATCCATTCTGGGGAGGGGTCAATGCGGGACATTGTTTTACTGAAATGAAGAATTAAATCGATATTTTCTGTAACTTAAATGAATGCAATAAAATGAATCAATAGGTGTCTCAAAAAACTTTTATACTCAATAACTTCAGATATTCAACTTAGAACCAGTGAATACCTGGTAGAAGTTAGCAAACTCTTAAATGACCTACTTTACCAGTTTGTTTAAAACATAAGCAAGCTAAGATATTGTGTCCTTCACAAAAAATAAAAAAACAAAAACAAATAAGACTTACATATGCATGTTGTTCCTTCACTCGGGTCCCAGATTCCATTTGGTGTACACACTTTACTATTTGTGCCCTGAAGTCTATAGCAGTCATTGCAACTATAGGTGACAACAGATCGGCACTCATCATTTGTAGAGTCAACTCGGCCATTAGGTGGATTGATTGGAGTTGGGCTACATTTGACAGCTGAAAAAATAGAAAACAACGTTGCTATCAACATGTTCCCTACTGTTAACTCTTTGTTTTATTATTTGTAAGAGATGGTTATCTTAAATAATGCAATCAAAACAGTGTGATGTCATCACTACCACACTCATTAGTGGAGTGATTTAAAGTAAAGTTATTCCAAATAAAAGGTTCAAATAAAATACTCAGTAATAAAATATGCAACTTATGCAACCAGCCACTTAAAGATAACAATTTCACAATAACAATTTAATGCAACGAAAATCTCAAGGATATTTCGCGCAACCCATGTAATTGTAATATACATTTCTTATTTCTAACAATGGGCAACAGCATTTAGATAACATTTTTATAACTTGAACTACAAACGTACGTTCACACTGTTGTTGTGGATAATCAAACATTAAGCTACTGAGACATGTGATTCTTGGATTCCTGTCTCCATCTCTGTTCTCACTAAGTTGGTAACAGGGATCATCGCATCTGAAGAATAGTGACTCTGACGGTGTAAAGGGGGCACTGTCAGATTGGGAGCCAACTAGAACGGCTGGTATGTTCCCACGTCTCAACTGAGCTGGCATTGGATTCGGGCATGTGTTTTCTAAAACAAAACATACATAAAAGTGCTCAAATGCATTTAATTGATCAATGCAGAAATCCCTCATTCCTGAATGAATGAACAAACTGGTTCATCAATTGAAATAATTGTAAATTAACCAATTTCAAAACAATAACGCACATAAATAAATGAAGAGATGGATGACACACATAAAATTAAAACTCACGAGAACATGTTGGGAGTGACCCACTCCATGTAGCTCCATCTCCTGATGATTCCTCCAAACAATCTAGACTCGCAGCTCCATTAAGTGAGAATTCTTGGTTGCATGCAAACTCAATCTAATAACACAATAATCATGTACAGAAAAAATACAGTTTGGATTACTACAGCCTTCAAGATTGGGAATCACTGTCCCAGCTCATGGAATAAATTGAAACACCCTTGGACCAAGGATGGTCACAATACACATTTTTCAAAGCCTGAGAAAGAATATATATCCCAATATGGCTAATACTTTTTTTTTATATTCATTTCACTATTACAATCTCTTTTAAAAATGTTTACAGCAATAAGTACCAAAACAAACGCAACCAAAACTTTCAAAAGGTAAACTGAAAACTAAATATTTTGAAACTGTCAGAGCCCTATAGTTCTGTTGACCAGACAGAACAAGAGAATACACTTGAAGAACACAAACATTATAAAACCTCTATAAATTCTATATAAAGTGCATGTGTACCTTTCCTCCACAGTTATTATCTTGGTTGAGAATTATCACATTCGGAGGTAAAACAGAACTGACATCTGTACAGGTTTTTACTGAAATAAATAAATAAAAACATCATTTCCCTAAACATATTTCTGCCAAGTCCATTGATTAACCTGAATTGCATAACATTTTCTGGTTGAACTATTTTAGTAGGACATTAATAATAGAAACATACTTTGACATGTTGGTTCACGAGTTGGGGTCCAGATCCCATTATTTGAGCAAGTTCGTGACTGATCTCCCACCAATCTATAGCAGGTGTCACAGCTATATGTCACAGTAGCTTCACAGTCAGTGCTGGTGCTGTCCACCCGACCATTTCTAGGATTGGAAGGGGCTGGGCTGCATGTCACGCCTACAAGTATAATACACATTAAGACATACTAATTCAAGTCAACTCTAATCAGTTTGCCATTGGATATACTTGCAGTAAATGAAGAGGGTACACTGTATTCCCAAAGATTGGCCTTTCTTGGTTTCTACTGACAAGAATATTTGTCCAAAACAGACATTTTACTGAAAAATGTAGATAAAAAAGTGCACATGAATATATCTGTTTTCAAGGTGATTTGAACTCAAATGTAACTACATTGACACTTGACACTCGGTATGTGTTTATTTGGAACACTAGTCTATAAGATTCCTTCTTACGTTCACAAGTTGGAGATGGTGCATCCCATGTTCCACTCTCGAGACACATGATTTCATCATCAGGGATCCCACCAGGTCCAACTGCTATCTTGTAGCAGTCATTACAAACAAATGTCACCATATCTCCTGTAAATTAAAAGAGAAACATTTTATCCAGAAATAAAAGTTTTGAATGGTTTTTGCATGGTTTGTCAAATCTTATTGAATATAGAAGAAATGTTTGTATTCAAATCCAGTAATATACTGTATGTACACAATATATGAAATACTGTATTTTATGATGGGGCTATTGACCTTATGTTTTTGTACATCTGCATTGCCCAGGTTCAAAATTTTTTACTAAATGATATTATCAAATATACAATCAAATTACTATGTTTTCTCTTAAGTTTTCCTTGTATGTTATTTGTTTTAAATCTAAAGAGTAAAAACTGTGAAGTGAAACACCTCCCAAGTGGAACACTATTTCAAGGTACTAAGTGCAAAACTTAGGTGACATAAAAGTTCTTAGTACGTGCTAGAGTGTTCGACTATAATACAATAATGAAGCACAAAGTGATACATTTCTTTACAGCTAATATTAGGTACATCTATAGCTTAAATGTTGAAAAGAGTGTCTCATACATGTAGATACCTGGAGTATAAGGTTTAGCAGAGGTTGCTCCTGGTGAACGGTCCACTGCTCCATTCAGTGGAGTCATTGGATCCGGGCATTCGATTCCTGTAAATAATAATATCCTAATTCATGAATGAGGTAAAATATGACAGTTCAAAGTAAATTCCCCTAAGAATCTGTTCTACGTGTATCTTAATAATCTAGGTCTTTTAGAGAGGCGTATTTTATAGAATTTTACGAATTCATTAATCATTGCATCAGAGATCAGATCAATGTCTCCAAATACATTGAATATAACCAATATTACATGCACTTTCGTGAAGAGGTAGAAGTCCATTATATTTTGTGAAGAAACATTGATTTTATTATGAATCAAGTAATTATTACATACTTGTGCATGTTGGTGGTTGACCACTCCACTGGGCTTGCCCTGAGCCAGGGAATGTCTCCCGACATTCAGCAGTAGCTACTCCTCCTACTTTCCTAAAGCCATCCTGGCAATCAAATGACACAGTCCTTCCACATAGTCTGCTTTGAGATGATATAGTTAGGCCTGGGGCTTCTGACAGTGGAGGGCAAACCAGTCCTGTTCATCAAAGTAAGGTAAGTGGCTTATATACACTTCTACATGTATATACAGTAGTGTAATTGTAATGCATAAAGGCAACTTACTAATGATATGAAGTTAAACACCTCTTAAAGTTAAACACCATTTCAAGGTACCATAGCCTAGGTATTTAGTGCAAATCCAGGTGACATAAGAGTTTATTTTTAAAAAAATTATAAAAAATGTTTGTTGGTTTTAATTTGAGACTTTCAAGACTAAGACTATTTGTGACATGTTTCTATATGCATAATATCAGGACTATCTATGAATGGCGAAGTGACTATTGGTTGAATAATAAAATCAACTTACTTTCACATTCAGGAATCCTAGTATCATAAGAGCCATCAGCTTGACAGTTGCTGGTATCCTGGCCTACTAGCTCATAGCAGGGATTACATTTAAACTTGACAACATCCCCTGGGGAATAACGATTGTCACTTGGAGAGGGGTCGGCTGAATCATCAGCAAAGTCACCATTTGATGGAGGGAACCGGTAATTGCATCTTGCTAAAATCAAAATTAAAATGATTATGTTATGGTACACCTACTACATTGTATTGCAATAGTTTTATTTAGGCATAATTAAAGAATGACTGGTTGAGAGAATATAAATTGTTAAACTAGAAAAACAGGGAGGCAATGTTGTCCAAGAACAAACAAGCTACTTTTAAATCTTTTATTGTCTCTTAATCGTCTGTCCCAATGACATAAGGGTCACTTACAATTCAGGTTTTTAATGTCTTTTGTAATGTTTACAATGTAAAGGTACACAGACGTATGAAAATATAAGAAATTAAAAGAAGTTATCATCAAAAATATAAAAGTACCGTGTTTATATACATATATTTTCTACATGGGTCACATTACCTGCATATTTCCTCATTTACACCATATCTGAGATTACTGATTATGAGCTGTGCAATTAATTTGATACTTTACATAATACTTGATTAACCTTCGTGCATTTAGCTTCTGAATAAAATCACCAAATCAAGTTACTATACATCACCTGAACATGTTAGTGGATCATTGTTCCACTGAGCATCCCCACGTCCAGTGTCAACGCAGATCACTGTATTAATCTTAGAGCCTTTTGGTTCAAAACCAGAATTGCATTGGAAAAAGAAACGGTCTCCACATTCATTATTGCCAACACTCGGAAATCTTCGTCCATTTAGTGGGGCAGGCAACTCTGAGCAAGACAGCTCTATAAAGACACAAACAAGTGTTTAAAATTACTTTCTCATATATACAATACAACACATGTAAAATTGAATTAGTCTAGCTACAAACCCTTGTGGGTGTTCTGTTGGTGAAGTAAATAAGGGGGAGGTTCACAGTTTTGAAGCTAGACTAAATTGAAATGTAAAATAATGTGGTAATGCTGAATACCATAAGAATACTAATGCAGTTGTGTAAATTAATTGAAAGGCATACTGTCACATCGTGGAGGTGATCCTAATGTTTCTCCATTCTCCTGGCAGAAGACAGTGTCCTCTTGGTTACCACTTGAGTCTGGTCTGATACTGTAACATTCCCTACATCTGAAGCACATAAACATATTCAATGCATTATTGCCATTCATTTGCAGTACGAGGAGATGACATACCTTTATATTAACTTTCAATTCTTTGAGAAATGGGAATTTTGGTTTCAGAAAAATGCAAAAAGATTTCACACAAACACAGTTGATTTAATATCTGGCAGTTTTTTGATAATAGAGAAGAAACTGAATGCATGATTGACACTAAAAATGCAGATGTACATTTACATACTTGAATACCACTTGCTCCCCAGGCCCAAATGTAGCAGCCCTTCTGGCACTTTCATCTTCCACAATAAAACTGTCAATATTTGGCATAGGGTAGGGACAGCGAACTGAAACAGAAATACATTTACAAATTACACGAGACTACAAACAATTACATTTGTAAGTATATCAAATAAATGAACCCCTATATTTCCTTCGTACATGTACTGTATTCAATATTCATGATGGATGCAAACTAAATTGTTATCGATTGTACTATTGATCCAGAAATATATCAGTAATGTAAGGTTAATTATTGTCTGCCAGTGTTGAACACCATTCATTAGTGTACGAAATAGCATTACCATTGACCATGACCCACTTCCACAATATCACAACAATACTACTGTACCTTGTCCACATGTTGGTTGTGGTCCACTGTACTCAGCCCTATCACTGCCTACAGGTACACAGGCCAATGTGGCAGGGCCTTGTATTGTGAATCCTGGGTCACATGTAACAGTTACTGAATTGTCACAGCTCTTAGAGCCGCTCACTTGTCCATTGGCTACCGTAAATGTCCGGCACTCAAGACCTACAAAATCACGATTTAAAATCATTTTTATAAAATATTATTATTTGGGTTTAATAAAGACAATGAGACATTAGAGAGACTTGTCCAAAAATCAGGTTCAGATCCAGTGAAATGGTCCCAACTAAGGGGAAAAGTTAGACCTATCAACAACCTTAGTACTTACGTTGGCATGTTGGTTCAGCCGGATCAGACCACTGACCACTGGGCAGGCACACTCGAGTACTTTGACCTTCTAGCTGGTAGCACCTAGGGCAGCTATACCTTACTGCAGTGCCACATGTGTTGTCTTTAGGACTCACTGTGCCTGGACTAGGATCACTGGGTGCTGGCTCACAACGCTTCACTATAAAGTAGAGAAATTTTGGGATCAGCAATTAGAATTATTTATTTTGAATGGTCAAACTTGCTTGGACTTACATTATAAAGTATAGTACAAATTTCATTTTCATAAATGAGTGCAATGGCATAAATGATTTGATATTGTATAGAAAAAACTCACATTGACAAGAGGGTGGAGAACCAAGCAGACTTCCATCTTGTTGGCAGGTTACTGAATCTTCAGGAGATCCTGTGATAGGGTCAGGACTGATTTCATAACAACCAAGACACCTGAAAACATGAGCATATTCCTTAGTCAATGATTTTATAACATACTTGACAATATGGGGCGATTCCTTCATTGGCCTTTTCTGGCCGGTTGGCAATTTTTAATCAAATATTCAATCAATCGATACACCAGAAACATGGGTCAATTTACTCAATGATTTTAGCTGAATTCTGTACATAGAAATGGCTTTAAATAGCAATTAAATCTTGCATATTACCTGTATCTGACTGTATCACCAGGTCCTATAGTGTCATCAAAGTCAGGAATTGCACTTCCAGGTACTACTTCACTGTTAGGATCAGTGGGCATGGGATAGGGGCAGCGAACTGAAAACAGCATAAACATCAAAATGTTACAAATACAAAACAAGGCATTAACATGACAAAATGTCACCACCTAGTTGAAGCAAGATAAAAAAAGACCTTTTTGACATTGAGGAGGTCATTAAAGGTGAAATCTATTTTGACCTTGAGAATGTCATTGGATGTCAAATCTTTTGTCAGATTTGAACTGTTGAGAACTTGTAGATGAATTTGAAAAAGAAATTGGTCAATTTGAGTTAAATAAGAAAAAATACATTTTTTGACCCTAAGAAGGTCATTGAACGTGAAATCTCAAATCTTAAGTCAAATTTGCACTTTTAATAACTTATAGATAATTTTGAAAAAATGGTCAATTTGAAGCAAGTTGAAAAAATACCTTTTTGACCTTTTTTTACCTTAAAAAGGTCATTGAAGGTCAAATCTTAAATATAGTCAGATTTGAACTTCTGAAAACGTCTAAACAGTATTGGAAGTTGTAAGAATTTGTTACCAAAGCCAACTGCCAACCACCAACCGCCGTCAAAAAACAGAGACCAAAACAATATGTCAACACTTTTAGGAGGTGACATAAAAATGACAGCCATTTTAAAAATAGACAGCTGCCATCTTGAAAGTTCCTTATCAATCAGAACTCTTATATCCCTGGGCATTAACATACAAAATTTGAACCAAATCAGTCCATTGGAATTTGAGTTATCAAAGATTGTTTTTAACAAAAAATGCAGCCACTTTAAAATTCAGTGACCATCTTGAAAATTGCTCCTTGAGCAGAGCTCCTTTGTCCCTACCCATCAGCATATAAAATTTGAACCAAATCCATCAACTAGTATTTGAGTTATGAAAGATTACATCTTTTAAAAAATAATGGCCATTTTGAATTGAGTGAAAGGGCCAGTGCATTACGTATTTGTATATTCTCATTCTATTTTTTACTAATTCCATTATTACAGTATTCATTTCTTATGTCATTACAATAAGTGCCTCAAAATGTCAAATTTTTGGCCTAAACAACAAAGTTCAGATATCACATGACTTTAACACAGTCAGCTGATAAACTTTTTATCTACAAGTAGGTAGACACCGATGATATCAACTAAATAAACTAATAACAAGCCTCTTTAGTGTTACATCTTAAACTTCACACAATAATCATGTACTGTACATAAATATCTGGTTCAGGAACTGATGAAAAATGTTGTTGAACAGAATGCCTAAACCTTACCTTGAAGATAAATGGAAATATTTGTAGGTAGGTATGTAAAAACATATTTTCAAACATATTTATTTCAAACCAAAAGATACTGAGATACACATGATGAACAAAATAATTAAATGAATTTGTTGCTTTAAATGAATAAATAATTATGTATAAAAATGTTATAAAAATTATCCCTAAATGATTGGGATGAGGGTCATAGACATGGTTAACTTTGAGTTTGATCATAGATGTTTTTCTTTCTGTATCAGCACACTTCTACCGGAAGTATATTGGAACTGGTTTGGAATTTGAAGAAAATTTGAAACGAAGCAACTTTAATGTACAAATACTGTGACTGATATGTCTAGATAGTAGATACACACCTTAAAATAGTTTCGAAATAAATATGATGGAATAAATTGGTCATTGGTGGTCATGATGGAATATGAATTTTTTCCATGAGAAAATATGATGTTGTCCTCAGAAAATACAATATTGAGGCTCGGACTTTCACCCTTGGTCAATATGACATTTTCCTTGGCCAATGTAATATTTTCCCTTTGAATAAATTTCATATTTCAACCCTCCCATTAAATAACCTCTATTTATCTTATGTGATGTTGTTTCCTTGGTTAAAGGTGATCAAAGATGGGCAATAGCATCGACCAGTGGCGATGTGCTATTGGCAGATTCAACCCATGTAGGCAGCCCAACAGATGCGACAATACAGAAAGAAGGGCTGAGAGAGAGTATCGTAAAGCTCTACATAAGAATAAAGCCAATCAAAACAGTGATAGTCATGAGAGTACAATTCAAAAAGGGCAACACCTGTATTGCAGTGATCAAAAGAGTTCAATCAAGCCAAATGACCATGTGGACAATTTGAAAAGAAAAGCGCAAGAGCTTGCAAAACAATGCAATGAATGGTTTGAAGTGGTTAAAAAAGGCTATATAAGTGAAAAGACTACACTTAAACAAAATGCTTCTGTGATCAGCACTGCGACTGCATTTCAAGGAGATGAAAGACAAGGTGTGACTGGTAGTGATGAGAAAGGAATTTCTGATCAAAATAACTCACTGAACTACAACATAGTGAAAAAAGAAGGCCCAACAGATGATCATGAAGAGGGAAAACATCCTGATCAACTAGAAAATAACACTGAGAATGTGAAAGTACTTATGAACCAGCATTGGGTTGAGTCATTAAGGATTCTTCCCCAGCTATTAGTGATCATCAGTCTCTTACTTATAATTGGTGGGGTTGAAGTCAACCCTGGTCCTCAAACACAGGGTAAAGGTAACCAATTTTAGTAACCATTTAGGTTTTCTCCAAGTAGAGTTTGAAAATATGTTTTTATCATTCATTTACTATTTGTCATGACTTTAAAGGTTATTTAAGAGACAAGTTGTCAGCCTTTTATTTCTCAAATATTCAAAGGATATGTATCGATATGGTGAACTGATTTCAACAATGTTATGTATGTTGACTGATTGACAACAATTTAATGCAAAAATTATTTATACATATTTTATATATGTTTACTGTTTTATTTTTATCAATTCTTGAGAATGAACTAAAATGTCTTTCCGAACCTTGTTGGAACAAAATACATATCCAACATTTCTTATACCTCTCAATATTATAGTTATATAAAGGAAATTTTGGTTGAATTAACAAAAAGTATTAAAAAAATTAAACATAACTCCCAAAATAGATAAAAATTGAGATAAACCTTAATTTCATTAACTTTTTACAATCAACCAAAATTTCCTTTGTACAATTACAATATTACAGTTCAAAAAGTATTATCTTACCAATGCAAAGATTGAACAAAGGACACACTACTTCAATAAATTATCATATCTTATGTGCCACTTCAATGTTTTAGCATATCAAAAATATGTGACCCCATTGTGACATAACTGACATTAACTCATCAATCTTTTTGTAAGTGTGCTCAACTTCAAAAATAAGGCAATGTTGACTACCTAACAAAGTTAAAAGGAAGAATATAAGATGTTTTAAATCATCTCTTATACCATATACAAAGTTTTGTGGGCCAACCCCTTGTGCAACTGATATGAATTACTTTGATTGTCACTTTCAGAGAAGAAATTCAGTTATTACTAGTTTCATTTTAAATCTTCAGATAACTGTAGTGTACATGAAATCGCATTATATATATACAGTATATATATTATATATATATATAATTTACACAGTACATTTACACAGTATATTTACACAGTACATTTATATATTAATTTAAGTACTCATACTGTGGACAATAAAAATTTCCACCCATTCCCTACCTCCACCCACAGTTTCAAAGACCCAACTTGTGAACAGAAATATAGGTTATAATACTATTTAAATCCAACATGAATACGTTTTGTTTTTTGAGTTCATTTCTGGCTTCTTTAAGAACCAATTTTCTTAATTCTTTCGGCAAAAAACACTTAAGGATTTATGCTATGCAATTATGTGAATTATCGCTTAATAAAAGATACGTGTGACCTCTAAAAGATAGTTTTAAGTAAATTCACGATTTTTCGAAACAAAAATTTCTTCACATTGGGTAAGACTACAATATAAGAGAAAGTGGTTTAAACTTAATATTCGGGCTTTTACTATGATGCTTAATATTATTGTATAGCATTGAGGAATTCGAAGTTATTAGACTAACATGAGAAGATACACGGCATTCTGTTATATTTCAGATGATGCCAAACGAGATACAGCACCTCCTGCCGAGACTGATATCTTTGAACTTTTACTTTCATTATTCAATTCTGAAAGTTTCAATTTGAATGATCAAAAGCCCCTGGAACCCCTTGAGGATGCTGTGACAAAACATGGCCTTACAAATGTAGAGAATGATGGTAATGGCAAGCCCCTGGAATGCCTAGTGGATGTTGTGGCAAAACATGGACTTGCAATTGTCGAGAATGATGGATATGGTGACTGCCTGTTTCAAGCCTTGTCCCATCAATTGGCCTACACCAAGACAGCCAATATAGATCACAGAGACTTAAGGCAGAGACTAGTAGAGTATGTGAAACTCCATCCACAACTGGTAAGTGCTTTTTGTCAAATACAATATTTTGGGGGAAACAATGTAATATACATATACAAGTGTTACACAACACTGTGGATGGCTTAATGCTGTTTCACTTAGAAGAGAGACATGAACATTACACAAACTCATTAGGAAAACCTCAATATTCAAATCATACAAAACTTGGCATTGATTGGCTAGCTCTTGCTTCATGTAATGCAATCTTGTCAACATTTAAAATGGCTTCTATTTGTATAACTTCATAGTTTTGTGTGCAAAGAATTAAGGTGCAGTGGTACTTAACAGGAAATGACAAAACAGGAAGTGACAATACCATGCTTGATTTCAAACATTTTTTGAACCAAGATAAAAGAGTTCCGCTTTGACCTCCAATCAATTTAACTAGTTGCACATATCATTTACATGACCAGGATCACAATGTACATGGTCAGAATGACCCCAAACATGATGAAATAATTTTTTCAGCCCTCTGAAAATGTGACCAAAAAATAGCTAAAAGTAGGCGTTAGGAAAGGTCCCTAAATAGAATCTTTTGAATTTTTCAGAAAATGTGCCCTATAAATTGCTCTAAATGATACAACCTTTGAAATTTTAGGAAATTGTCTGAAACAAAATTGGCGGTCATAAAAAGGAAAATAGATCGCTTTTCAATTTAGTTTTTTCATTTTTTTCTTTCTCTATGAATGACATCAAATTTTCAAGATTGTATCATTTAGAGCAATATATTGTGTACATTTTCTGAAAAATTCAAAAGATTCTGTTCAGTGACATTTCCTAAGCGCCTACTTTTAGCTAATTTTCAGTCACATTTTCAGAGGGCTGAAAAGGGTATTTCCTGTTAAGTACCACTGCACCTTAAGCTGACAACATATTACACACTATTCATTAATGTTCATGGGTTTACTACTTTTAAATGCTGTGTAGTATAGCTCCCATTTTCAGCTTATATTAAAGGTAGAATCAGAGCAAAGGGGAGGCAAAATTGCTGGTAACATGAACAATTGACCTACTTATATATTCTTTATTATCTCAAATAAATGATCTTTCAAAAATCTGTGGCATGTTTCAATTGGTGAAGTTATTTTAGATTCAATTTGCTATAAATGTGTGCATGCTCTTTCACATTAGTAGAGAATAAACGCTTTATTGTTAGTTTTACACAGTTAAAGTATGCACTATGGGGATATTGTAGAAAATAGATATGAGAAGGAATGATATGAGTCCAAAAACATTCAAAAATTCAGACATTTTTCTCAGGTTGCTTGTTAGATCTGATTCTCGGTTTAATTTATATTTTCAGCCAAATGGAGACCATGTGACGACACAATTTTGCACTATCATCATAAATGAATGGACACAGTACAAGAACTCCAGTCACCCAATGAATGATGATGAAAAAACAAAGCTAGCATGGTATACAGAGTCCTACATGAACAGACCTGGTACATGGGGTGATAATCTGATGATCTGGGCATTTACTCAACTCTTCAATGCTGATGTTGAAATTTTCTCTCAGGGGTCAGAGAATTCGTACAAAATTGCCAATGTTAACAGCGCTAGCAGGGTCATAGTTCGGCTTGGATATGTACCACAAAAAATTGCCAATGATAACAGCGATGGCAGGGTCATGGTTCGGCAAATCCACTTTATAAGCCTTGTTAGTCTCAAAGGTAATAGCATTGTAACATGAAATCACCTTTCTAGTTTTTAAATGTTGACTTTAGTGAGATTTTTTTCTTGGAATCCATATGACCATATGATATGAAAATAGCAGATTAGAACATACAGTGATTTTGGCCCACCCTGTATAAATGGTAGTGAAATAATTCATTGTAATATTCAGATGTCAGATAGATCTGATAAAGATATGACTCATAATATTGTAAAATAATTCAAGCACATGACTCAACTAGGAAACAGCAACTCCACAGAATAGCAAATCCCACCAAGCAAAAACATGTCTTGATAAATAGTGGCCATCTTAAAAATTTCTTCTTGAACAGAGCTCGTTTGTCCTTAGGCATCAGCATACAAAATTTGAACCAAATCTGTCCACTGGTATTTAAGTAATCAAAGATTATGATATTTACAAAAGATGGTGGCCATTTTGAAATTCAGCTGTCATCTTGAAATTTTCTACTCAAGCAGAACTCCTTTGTCCCTAGGCATTAGCATATACAATTTGAACCAAATCAGCCCACTGGTATTTGAGTTATCAAAAATTATGTTTTTTGATGAAAAATGGAGGTCATTTAAAAATCCAGTGGCCACCATGAAAATGTCTTTTTAAGCACAGATCCTTTGTCCCTAAGCATCAACATATCAAATTTGAACCAAATTAAATGATTTTATTTTTAACAAAAATGGTCAGATGGCCACAATTGATGCGACATGTTTGAGCTGCTGAGTTTATCAAGCTAGCAAATTAGAAATGACTAATATCTGTTAATATAAAAAAATAAAATTACAGTAAACTACATGCTAATTCAATGGAAAAAGGCAGGTACGTTATTGCAAGATAAGAAGGATTATAATTAAGGATTTAACTCATAATCCATATGTCATAATGTCATTTTGTTATTTTTTCTCTTTGGAGATCAGTAGTAATATCCCCTAATCTTTTTGCACATTAACCATATCAAAAAATTTGCTTTTGTGCCAGATATTTGACCTCAAATTTTCATTGTTTTCCGGATATCCTAATCCCAAGGAGACTCACTTTTCCTTTCAGAGGTAAATCACTGATGACTTAAATTTAGTCGTAAAAATTGAAATAAAATACTGCATTTTTGGTCAAAATTGGCTGATAATTCGGGAAAATTGGTGATGATAGGTAGATTAATGACAGATAATCCAATCTACTTTGTTGAATTCAGTTCACCATATCGATACCCATCCTTTATGAGAGAATTACTCTCGAAAACCAGATATTATATACTCAACAATGAATTTGGGGGGGGGGGCTTGAAAGGATTAATATTCATAAATTCTAAATACCCTGACATGTTTGAGCTGCTGAGCAAATTAGAAATGACTAATATAATATAAAAAATAAAATTACAGTAAACTACATGCTAATTCCCTGGAAAAGGCAGGTACGCTATTGCAAGATAAGAAGGATTATAAATAAGGATTATCACATAATCCATTTGTCATAATGTTATTTTGTTGTTTTTATCTTTTTGGAGATCAATTATGTAATATCCCCCAATCTTTTTGTACATTAACCATATCAAAAAATTTTGCTTTTGGGCCAGATATTTGACCTCAAAATTTCATTGTTTTCTGGATTATCCTAATCCTAAGGAGACTCACTTTTCCTATCAGAGGTAAATCACTGATGACTTAAAGTACATTTCAATTTAGTCATAAAAATTGGAATAAAATGCTGCATTTTTGGTGAAAATTGGCTGATAATTCGGGAGAATTGGTGATGATAGGTAGATTAATGACAGCTTAAGAGAAAATCTGATTGACTTTACTTTCATCCTTTTGCCCCTTATTGAAGACAACATATTAGCCAAACAAACACATTTGTTTTTGTGTTCAAATAATTATTAGAACTTAAGTAAGAGCTGTATAAAAAAGCTTGCAATAACGTACCTGCCCTTTTGCAATTTACCATGACTGTACCATAAATTAATGCATGTAATTTTCCTCTCATAGCCTTAATATAGTAAATAAAACAGGGCGCTTATGGCTTTATATTAATGTAGCATGGCATTTCAATTTTCGAGGCCCTTGGTCCCCCCCTAAAAGGATCAGTTGAATAAAAGGATCAAATGAAATAAATGAATAAATGAACAATATGTAAATAGACATACTTAATAATAGTAACAGATGCAGTAAAGAGGGTAATATTTGTATTGTATGAATCATTATCAACCCCCCATTGAAAAGGGATATGGAAGGGGGTGGAGTGATGTTTATCCAAATTATTACAATAGAATGGGAATCGATATGGGGAACTTTTTGAACACACGTTTCTCTTAAACCAGTCATCAAAAAATTCTGAAAATTTTACACAATGTCAATTTAATGGTCTTCTTTTGAATTATGATACCCTTTGCATTCGTTTGACTTCACATCTTAAAAGAGAGCTTCGTCTTCACTCTTTCAAACTAAAATAAACATGTGAACTCACCGCGCCAATCAGTGTTCGTCGGCCAAATTTGACCGATGTTCTATATATGGTCATTCCCTCTGACGACATCGTTGAGCCCGGAATTGACCAATGACATGTGCATATTTAATTAGAACGCATTTGGCGTATGTTTCTTCAAGCTCGCTGATTGGTGGAAGAAAGTTCAGCACTTAGGTCAAAAGTGATTTATTACCCAAACTGTCACTGGTGCCCATCGTGGGGGGCGGGGCTACCAAACTGTAATATGGTCTCTACTAGGCAGAGTGTAGTTTACCTAGACTCTGCACGCAGGGTAGAATGGTGACAATATAGTTTGAAAAAATACATCTTCTTTTCTCTATATTGTTTTAGAAAACACATCAGACACTTCTTTTGTTCTTGATATGATATGTTCGGAATGAAATGAAATATCCATCCAAAGCTCATTGGAACAAAACGACACAAAAACAATGTGTTTGGGTCTCTCAACATTGTAATTGTACAAAAGAAAGTTTGGTTGCTTTTAAAAAGTATCTTGTTAATGAAATAAAAGGTTTATCTTAATTTTTATCTATTTTGGGTGGTTTTGTTTAAATGTTTTGAATACTTTTTGTGAAATCAACCAAAATTTCCTTTATATAACTAGAATATTGAGAGGTCTAAGAAAATGTTGTATATGCTAATTTGCTCCAACAAGGTTCCAAAAGACATTTTACTTCATTCTCAAGAATTGGTAGAAAGGAACAAAAAACAATTGCACTAAATAACAAAAATGTTAACAAAAACAGTTATATAAAATATAAATAAATAATTTTCGCATTAAATTGTCAATCAGTCAACATTACATAAAGGACCATGTTTTTTAACAGAATGTTTCAATAATTGGTTTAAGAGAAAAACATTGTTGAATTCAGTTCACCATATCGATACCGATCCTTTATGAGAGAATTACTCTCGAAAATCAGATATTATATAGTAGTCAACAATGAATTTGGAGGGGGGAGGGGTGGGCTTGAAAAGAATAAATAAATTCTAAATACCCTGCAGAATGCCTAATAAAAGTGACGCTTATATTAAATGACCATCTTAGGCATGATAAAAAGAGTTTGCAGAAATAATGTACTCACTAAATATATTTTTTGACCCCCTACCCCCTGTTGAAGAAGGGGTGGATTTTTTTCTCCACATCAATTGAACACATAACTGTCATACCTTCTGGATCTATCATCTGATACTTAAGCAATGTTGAGAATTTTTTTCATTGGTATCAATGAGATACAAAAAAGCTATGAATGAATTTTCTTGAAATTAGTTAGACTAAACATTGAATGGGGGATTTGTAAAAAACGCTTACAAATAAATTCTAAATAACCTGCAAAATGTCTAAAAAATAGCAAACTGCATTTTAATGAACCATTTTAGTCATGAAAAGCAAGTATGAGCAAAAAAAATCACTAAATCACTAAAATGATTTTTGAACAGTTTTGTGGATTTTTTTTCATTGGCATGAGAGAATACTTTTGAAATTAGGAATACTAAACAGTGAATTTGGGGGAGGGTTGTAAAAGACTAAAAATAAAAAATTAATTCAAGATATCCTGCAAAATGTCTAATAAATAGCAAACTTTCAATCAATCAAAAAAAGCTATGAGTGAATATTCTTGATAACAGGTCTACTCAACACTGAACTGAGGGTAGCAAAAGGCTTAAAATCACAAACTAATTCAAAATATCCTGCAAAATTTCTAACTAGACAACAGCAATGCCAAAGCGTAGCAAATCCCATTGAACAGCCACGGCTGGCATTTTTACAAACAAAGTATATAGCAAGAAAGGCAGCCATTTTCCAAAATGACCACCTTCTACCATAAGTGTCATTAGACAGTGTGCCATGCTTATAGTATTCACATACCAAATATGAACAGAAATGTTCCACTTCTTTTTGAGTTACAGCAAAAATCAAAATGGCTGCCATTTTTGAATGAGCGGCCATTTTGAAAATCAGCTTTCGAGCAGAACTTCTATCCCCATAGGGTATATGTTTACAAAATATGAACAGAATCAGGCCAATGGTATTTGAGTCATTGCCCGGACAGACATACATACAGACAGACGGATGGCGTTCCTATATTCCTCAGAACTTCGTTCGAAGGGATAATAAATAGTGAACTTTATATTAATTGACAATCTTAGGCATGATAAAAAAGAATTTGCACAAATAATGTACTCACAAAATATTGTTTTCATATTGACCCCCTCCCCACTACTGAAGAAGGGGTGGGTTTAATGGGATTTTTTCTCTCTGTATTGACTGGACATATCACTGTTTTATTTCAAATGGTACTTCAGCTAGGTTGTGGATTTATTTCATAGGTATCAATGTGCTACAACTTATGAGGGAATATTCTTGAAATTAGATATACTCAAAATTGAATTAGGGGTATAGTAGTAAAATGCTTAAAATCACAAATTAATAAAAAATATCCTGCAAAATGCCTAATAAATAGTGACCTTATATCATTTGACCATTATGGGTATAGTTATGAGGAACTTGGACAAAAATGGTGCCCGCAAAAAAATTCATTTTGGCCACCCAAATATTTTTGAGGGAGGGAGTCTACTCTCATTTTCTCTTGTAATAACAACCTTTCATCTAGCTTGGGTGGATAAAATTTATTGCAATATAATGTTGTTTCAGCAAACAAAGATTTACGATTTCTTCAGGTCAACAAACAAAACGACACTTTTTTGTAACAAAGGTCTTGTACTAATAAAATTTAAATCAAATCTGTCCACTGGTATTTGAGTTATCATCTGGAGAGACTAAGGGATGATCCGACCAACAGACAGCTTTTCCATATCCCCAACGAATTATGTTCAGTAAAATAATGAATTATGGTTGATTTAATATACACATGTCCTATATATTTGACTTTTTAATTCAGGCTTCCAACCTATTTCAAAATCCCATACAAGACCCTTGAGTTTAAAACTGTCCAAAATTGATTGAGAAATTGATTGAAAATGGATTTTCCATATGTAACCTCTTATCTTGATCAAAACACATGTTCCTTAAATCTTCATATTTGATGAACATTGAACACATTTTTGCCAAATGTTAACAACCACATCTTTATCTTTGCAACTGCATACAGCCAGGAATTCTACATTATATAGTATTTACTTGCATCTAAAAAAACAATGTACTACTGAAATATATAGCTGTTGTATCTGTGTAAAATTATAACTCATGTTTTGCAGAATTAGAAGAGATGTTCAATCTTGGAAAGAAAATTAGCAAGTGTGACCAGATAACACAAATGAGAGAGCAGGCAGGTTACATGTGTGAGCTTGGATCATTGTACACAGCACAGGCACAAAAAACATCTAGGGGTTGGGATTTCATCTATGCAACAGCTCTCTACAACGCAGCATTACAGCGTATTAAACAATCTGAAACTGACAGTTCCAAAGAAGAGGTATTGTCCCGCTTTAAACATATTAATGCTGAGTATATTATAGAACAATTGCAACAAATAGAAACATATTTTCTAGAATCAGTCTCAAAGGTAAAGCCAGACTCAACACTAAGTTGCACACAAAGGTACAGAAAGGTTCTCGAGGAACTGAGAACATATTCATGTGATACCATCAATAACATACATGTTAATGATATGCAAATTGATGGTATCACTTTTGATATGAGTGACGAGAATGTAAATATGACAATTGAGAACAGCAAGATTTACTATGAAAAGCTGTCAGATAAGATCGTTGAATTTCATCGGCTTGTAATAGATGATTGTATTTCAGTCTTAGGGGCTCCTAAGGTAAATAGGTATGCATTCATAGGCCTTGGTTCACTAGCTAGAAAAGAAGTCACAGCTTGGTCAGATCTAGAGTCGGCAATAATATACGATCCCTCTGGGATAGCACCCCCAGAATGCAATGCACTAAGGCAAGAATTTAGGGTCTTGGTTCATTACTTTCATATGAAAGTAATCAATTTGGGTGAAACTAAAATCAATGTATTGGATATTCCTGTCCTTTGCGATTTTAACAAAAAACTTCCAAAAGATCTAAAAGACATTGACTTTTTTGATGAAGTGACACCACAGGGAATTTGTTTTGATGGTACCTTACCAAAAGCAAGTAAGCATCCCTTTGGCAGAATGTCGACTAAAAATCCCAAAAGGCCAACCAGTTTTGAGTTGATACAGCCAATTGATGTCATTGTTAATTGTCAAAATGAAGAAGTGTCAGAAAGAGAAGGTTATCATCTGAGTGATGTTCTTATGACATCAACCTTTCTCTATGGTGATGATTCTTTATGGGATGAATACAATAACAAGGTTCACAAGATACTGTCTTCACCATCCAAAACGAATCAAGGTTTATCTATAGGCAATGAACGTGGGCAAGCCACGCTGAAAGATGACTTGGACAGCTATCAAAGAAACCCTCTTTCACCAAGATCATTTCAGACACCAGTAAAAACCAAACATGACATCTACAGATTTGCAACAATTTCCATCAATACTCTTAAATTATTGCATAATTGTGAATCAGTCAACCCTCTTGATGTCCTAGACGAATTGTGTGAAAAGGAAATACTACATGAAGGTGCAAAGAAAGATTTACAGCTCATGGTATGTTTAGCTGTCAATATGAGGCATCTAGTATACAGCAGATATGACCAACAGAAGGAGTCTAGTTCCTTTATTGTTCCTACTCAAGAACAAGGCAAAACTAGTAACCATTTAGGATTGGTTTCTGTGAGAGACTTCCCTGCTATATGCAGATTTTATGCAACACTCCTTCCCTGGTCAGAGTTTCTAGGAGAACATTCAGGTGATACCATCCCATGTTCCTATGCAACAAGATATTTTGACAGCAGTGACAAAGTTAAAGGTAAATTTCATAGTCAAATGTATTTCTTTGAAAATGCACTCAAAGCATTTAAAAAGAAAGAATGTTGTTTCATCAAATAAAGATCTAGGATTTCCTCAATTCAACGAACAAAAGTACACTTTTTTGTAACGAGGATCTTGTACTTATAAAATTTAAATCAAATCTGTCCACTGGTATTAGAGTTATCATCTGGACAGACTAAGGGATTGATGGACAAACAGACCGCTTTTCTATATCCCGAACGAATTATGTTCAGTAAAATAATGAATTATGGTTGATTTAATATACACATGTCCTATATACTTGACTTTTTAATTCAGGCTTTCAACCTCTTTTAAAATCCCCTACAAGACCCTTGTGTTTAAAACTGTCCAAAATTGATTGAGAAATTGATTGAAAATGGATTTTCCATATGTAGCCTCCAATCTTGATCAAAACACATGTTCCTTAAATCTTGATATTTGATGAACATTGAACACATTTTTGCCAAATGTTAACAACCTCATTTTTATCTTTGCAACTGCATACAGCCAGGAATTCTACATTATATAGTACAGGGTGGTCAAAAAATAGAAACCCTGCATTTTCCTCATATCTTTGTCATTTTAAAATATTACTCCCTGATATTTGGCACATTTGTACATCATTCAATTTCCTACCAGCATACCATATTTCATGACCATCAGATTGATAGTCACAATGTTACAGCCCTTTGAACAAGATGCCCCAGTGTGGCCACCATCACGCTGTTGGCAAACCTGAACAGGTTGTCAATGATCTGACTACATTTCTTAGCAGGTATGGCCTGAATGATATGGATGATCTCCTTTTTTAGGTCTGCAGTTGTCCTGAGGTCATTCTCATACACTCTTTTTCAGTGTATCACCACAGGTTAAAGTTAAATAGGGACATGGATGATGGGTGCAGGTTTGCTGAAAGTGCAAAAGTGGCCACTGAAGCATGTTGCTTAAAGTGCTGTAACATTGTGACTGTCAATTTGATGGTCATGAAATATGGTACGCTGGTAGAAAATTAAATGATGTACAAATGTGCCAAATATCAGGGAGTAATTCCCTAAAATGACAAAGATATGAGGGAAATGGTGACAGGGTTTCCATTTTTTTGACCACCCTGTATTTACTTACATCTCAAAATACAATGTACTACTGAAATAGCTGTTGTATCTGTGTAAAATTATAACTTATGTTTTGCAGAATTAAAAGAGATATTCAATCTTGGGATGAAAATTAGTGAGTGTGACCAAACAACACATATGAGAGAGCAGGCAGGTTACATGTGTGATCTTGGATCCTTGTATACAGTACATGCACAAAAAACATCTAGGGGTTTGGATTTCATCTATGCAACAGCTCTCTACAACGCAGCATTACAGCGTATAAAACAATCTGAAACTGACAGTTCCAAAGAAGAGGTATTGTCCCGCTTTAAACATATAAATGCTGACTATATTATAGAACAATTGCAACAAATAGAAACATATTTTCTAGAATCAGTCTCAAAAGTAAACCCAGACTCAACACTAAGTTGCACACAAAGGTACAGAAAGGTTCTCGAGGACTCACTGAGAACATATTCACGTGATACCATCAATAACATACATGTTAATGATATGCAAATTGATGGTATCACTTTTGATATGAGTGACGAGAATGTAAATAGGACAATTGATAACAGCAGGATTTATTATGAAAAGCTGACAGATAAGATCGTTGAATTTCATCAGCTTGTAATAGGTGATTGTATTTCAGTCTTAGGGGCTCCTAAGGTAAATAGGTGGGCATTCATAGGCCTTGGTTCACTAGCTAGAAAGGAAGTCACAGTTTGGTCAGATCTAGAGTCGGCAATAATATATGATCCCTCTGGGATAACACCCCCAGAATGCAATGCACTAAGGCAAGAATTTAGGGTCTTGGTTCATTACTTTCATATGAAAGTAATCAATTTGGGTGAAACTAAAATCAATGTATTGGATATTCCTGTCCTTTCCGATTTTAACAAAAAACTCCCTAAAGATCTAAAAAACAATGACTTTTTTGATGAAGTGACACCACAGGGAATTTGTTTTGATGGTACCTTACCCAAAGCAAGTAAGCATCCCTTTGGAAGAATGTCGACTAAAAATCCCGAAAAGCCAATCAGTTTTGAGTTGATACAGCCAATTGATGACATGGTTAATTGTCAAAATGAAGAAGTGTCAAAAAGAGAAGGTTATCACCTGAGTGATGTTCTTATGACATCAACCTATCTCTATGGTGATGATTCTTTATGGAATGAATATAATAAGAAGGTTCACAAAATACTTTCTTCACCATCCAAAACAAATCAAGATATATCTATAGGCAATGAACGTGGGCTAGCCACACAGAAAGATGACTTGGACAACTATCAAAGAAACCCTCTTTCACCAAAATCATTTCAGAAACCAGTAAAGACCAAACATAACATCTACAGATTTGCAACAATTTCCATCAACACTCTTAAATTATTGCATAATTGTGAATCATTCAACCCTCTTGATGTCCTAGAGGAATTGTGTCTCAAGAAAATACTATGTGAAGATGCAAAGAAAGATTTACAGCTCATGGTATGTTTAGCTGTTAATATGAGACATCTTGTATACAGTAGATATGACCAACAGAAGGAGTTCAGTTCCTTTATTGTTCCTACTCAAGAACAAGGCAAATCTGCTAACCATTCAGAATTAGTTTCTGTGAGAGACTTCACTGCTATATACAGATTTTATGCAACCCTCATTCCCTGGTCAGAGTTTCTAAGAGAACAATCAGGTGATACCATTCCATGTTCCTACGCAACAAGATATATTGATAGCAGTGACAATGTTAAAGGTGAACTTCATAGTCAAATGTATTTCTTTGAAAATGCACTCAAAGCATTTAAAAAGGAAGAATTAAGGCTTGAATCAATGGATAGAATGGAATACAGCAAAGAATTACTTGATGTTAAAGTCAATCTAGCAGAGTTGCATTTTGCTCAGGGACATCATGATGAATCAATAAAATATCTAAATGAAAGCTTGATATTAAATGAAGCAAGACCTGGACTCATTTCTATGTATTCAATCTGTTATATATGGAATGCACTCGGCAATGCCTATCACAAGAAAGGTGAGCATAACGATGCGATCAAATACTACAAGCAGAGTCTGAATACAAGTAAACTGATACATAGAAATCAACAAAGTCAAGGGATATCAACTCTACTGGGCAACATTGGTTTAGCTTACAACAGCAAAGGTCAATATGATGAAGCTATTCAATACCTAGAGCAGAGTCTGACCATGCAAAAGAAGATATATAAAGATCAACCTCACCCTGAGATAGCATCCTCCCTAGGCAACATAGGTTCTGCTTACCACAGCAAAGGTCAATATGATGAGGCTATTAAATACCTGGAACAGAGTTTGACCATGCGAAAGAAGATATATAAAGATCAACCTCACCCTGAGATAGCATCATCACTGGGCAACATTGGTACTGCTTACAACAGCAAAGGTCAATATGATGAAGCTATTAAATACCTAGAGCAGAGTTTGATCATGCAAAAGAAGATATATAAAGATCAACCACACCCTGATATAGCAACCTCACTGGGCAACATTGGTAGTGCTTACGACAGCAAAGGCCAATATGATGAAGGTATCAAATACCAGAAGCAGAGTCTGACCATGCGAAAGCTGATATATAAAGATCAACCTCACCCTGATATAGCATCCTCACTGGGCAACATTGGTACTGCTTACCTTAGCAAAGGCCAATATGATGAAGCTATTAAATACCTAGAGCAGAGTCTGATCATGCGAAAGAAGATTTATAAAGACCAACCTCACCCTGATATAGCATCCTCACTGGGCAACATTGGTAGTGCTTACAACAGCTAAGGCCAATATGATGAAGCTATTCAATACCTGGAACAGAGTTTGACCATGCAAAAGCTGATATATAAAGACCAACCTCACCCTGATATAGCATCCTCACTGGGCAACATTGGTACTGCTTACCTTAGCAAAGGCCAATATGATGAAGCTATTAAATACCTAGAGCAGAGTCTGACCATGCGAAAGAAGATATATAAAGATCAACCTCACCCTCATATAGCATCCTCACTGGGCAACATTGGTAGTGCTTACGACAGCAAAGGTCAATATGATGAAGCTATTAAATACCTGGAACAGAGTTTGACCATGGAAAAGAAGATATATAAAGATCAACCTCACCCTGATATAGCATCCTCACTAGGCAACATTGGTACTGCTTACCTTAGCAAAGGTCAATATGATGAAGCTATTAAATACCTGAAGCAGAGTCTGACCATGCGAAAGCTGATATATAAAGATCAACCACATTCAGATATAGCATACTCACTGGGCAACATTGGTACTGCTTACCTTAGCAAAGGTCAATATGATGAAGCTATCAAATACCTAGAGCAGAGTCTGATCATGCGAAAGAAGATATATAAAGATCAACCTCACCCTGATATAGCATCCTCACTGGGCAACATTGGTAGTGCTTACAATAGGAAAGGTCAATATGATGAAGCTATTAAATACCTAGAGCAGAGTCTGATCATGCAAAAGCTGATATATAAAGATCAACCTCATCCTGATATAGCATCCTCACTAGGCAACATTGGTTTTGCTTACAACAGCAAAGGTCAATATAATGAAGCTATTAAATACCTAGAGCAGAGTTTGATCATGCAAAAGCTGATATATAAAGATCAACCTCATCCTGATATAGCATCCTCACTTTGCAACATTGGTAGTGCTTACAACAGCAAAGGTCAATATAATGAAGCTATTAAATACCTAGAGCAGAGTTTGATCATGCAAAAGCTGATATATAAAGATCAACCTCATCCTGATATAGCATCCTCACTGGGCAACATTGGTAGTTTGTATAACTGCAAAGGTCAATATGATGAAGCTATCAAATACCAGAAGCAGAGTTTGACCATGGAAAGGGTGATATATAAAGATCAACCTCATCCTGATATAGCATCCTCACTGGGCAACATTGGTTTTGCTTACAACAGCAAAGGTCAATATGATGAAGCTATTAAATACCTGGAACAGAGTTTGATCATGCGAAAGAAGATATATAAAGATCAACCTCACCCTGATATAGCATCCTCACTGGGCAACATTGGTAGTGCTTACAACAGCAAAGGTCAATATGATGAAGCTATTCAATACCTGGAACAGAGTTTGATCATGCAAAAGCTGATATATAAAGATCAACCTCATCCTGATATAGCATCCTCACTGGGCAACATTGGTAGTACTTACATCAGCAAAGGTCAATATGATGAAGCTATTAAATACCTGAAGCAGAGTTTGATCATGCGAAAGAAGATATATAAAGATCAACCTCACCCTGATATAGCATCATCACTTGGCAACATTGGTTTTGCCTATAACAGCAAAGGTCAATATGATGAAGCTATTAAATACCTGGAACAGAGTTTGATCATGCAAAAGAAGATATATAAAGATCAACCTCACCCTGATATAGCATCATCACTTGGCAACATTGGTAGTACTTACGACAGCAAAGGCCAATATGATGAAGCTATTAAATACCTAGAGCAGAGTCTGATCATGCGAAAGAAGATATATAAAGATCAACCTCACCCTGATATAGCATCATCACTTGGCAACATTGGTAGTTCTTACAACAGCAAAGGTCAATATGATGAAGCTATTAAATACCTAGAGCAGAGTCTGATCATGCAAAAGAAGATATATAAAGATCAACCTCACCCTGATATAGCATCCTCACTTGGCAACATTGGTAGTTCTTACAACAGCAAAGGTCAATATGATGAAGCTATTAAATACCTGGAACAGAGTTTGATCATGCGAAAGGTGATATATAAAGATCAACCACATCCATATATAGCATCCTCACTTGGCAACATTGGTACTGCTCATCTTAGCAAAGGTCAATATGATGAAGCTATTAAATACCTAGAGCAGAGTCTGATCATGCGAAAGAAGATATATAAAGATCAACCTCACCCTGATATAGCATCCTCACTGGGCAACATTGGTAGTTCTTACAACAGCAAAGGTCAATATGATGAAGCTATTAAATACCAGAAGCAGAGTCTGACCATGCGAAAGCTGATATATAAAGATCAACCACATCCAGATATAGCTACCTCTCTTAACAACATTGCATGTGCCTATGCAGGGAAATATCAGTTCAGAAAAGCTATTATATACTACAAGCAGGCCCTTGGTGTGTTACAAGTGGTGTTTAAAGACCAACCACACCCTTATATAGCAGTAACAATGGGAAACATAGGCAATGTTTATGACAATATCAGTGAATACAAAGAAGCTATAAACTTCTATGAGCAATCTCTGTCTGTAAATAGACAGATGAATGGCCACCAGATTAATCTGGAAGTAACAATGCTACTAATGCGCATTGGTTTTGCATGTCAGCACTCAAGACAAAGAACAAAGGCCATTGCATATCTCACGGAGGCTTTTTCAAACCTTGATTTCATAAGTCACTGTTATAAACTGAGTAAAAGTAAAGCAATTCAGAACTGAATTTAACTACAAAAACAGCAACTCAGCAGAATAGCAAATCCCACTGAAAAATACATATTTTGATAAATAGCAGCCAACTTGAAAAATTCTTCTTGAACAGAGCTCCTTATGGTATCATCATGTAAACTTTGAACCAAATTCGTCCACCAATAGTTATTAAAGAGTATGTTTTTGAAAGAAAAATGGCAGTAGTAGTTACTATCATGAAAATTCCTTCTTGAGCAGAGCTTGTTTGTCCCTATATCAGGCATCAGCAGATAAAAGAAACATATCTGTACACTGGTATTTGAGTTATCAAAGATTACATTTTTTAAGAAAAATGGTGACCATTTTGAAATTCAGTGACCATCTTGAAACTTTCTTTAGCAGAGGTCATTTGGCCCTTGGCATTAACATATAAAACAAATCTGTCAATTGGTATTTCAGTTATCAAAGATTACGAAAAATGACATCCATTTTGAAATTCAGTCACGATCGTGAACATTTCTTCTGAGCACAGCTCCTGTGTCCCTAAGCATCAGCAAATAACATTATGGCACTGGTATTTGAGTTATCAAAGAAATTGTTTCAGAAATCCTAAATAAATTGGAAAAGAAATGTCAAATGAGTATGGAAATGGGTGTACTGCAAATGTTAATAACAAAACCTTTAGATCCTTAGTGTCCATATTCATGAGGCACCTACATATATAATTATATAACCATTTATTCGTCAGAACATATTTGTGAATTCTGTTTTTGGGTCACCCTGTATATTACTTACTCTGACTACATACTGTTGGTTGTTGGGGTTCATAGATTGCACGGGTTGGATCATTGGGATCAGGAACACACCGCTTAGTGCTAGGACCACTTCTTGTGAAACCTTGGTTACACTCTATTGTCACCTGACTGTTACAGTTAGGAGATCCACTCACTATCCCATTAGCTACAGAGAGCTCATCACATCGCAACTCTGGAAATATTTTGAATTTCTGTTAAATTCAATTTATATGTAGCACAATGCAGTGTCAATTGTTACAAATGATGTTACAGTATTTTATTTTTTCATTTTAGCCCAAATATTTTATTTGTGTTAATAGTAAAGAAAACATACGGGTGCAAACAGGCTCTTGGAGTTGTGACCATTGGCCACTAGGCAGACAGGTTCTGCTATTGGGACCTGTTAGTCTATAGCAGTTGTTACAGTCATAAGTCACCACAGTGTTGCATGTGTTGTCTGTAGAGGAGACTGAACCTTGATTTGGCGTAGTGGGTCTTGGTGAACATGTCACAGCTTGAAAATACAATTTTTCTGTGTATATTTATGCTTGGATCATTTTTTCTACATTGTTAAGAGTGTTTCATAATGACCATCCCCCCATCCACAGGCAATACTATAAGTTATTGAATGATTTGAAGCGCGATACAGGATATATTCTGCTCGAGAAATTCTGTATTGGAACGAGATGAAGTTGAGTGCCAATACAGAATATCGAGATAGAATATACAATACACATTTTCAATGATGGGTACCTTTTGTATGTAGCAAGTTGTAAAAACAGTAGAGCTTAATCAAAGTTCTTTCAATAAGTCCAGAATTGAACAAGCTTTCGTATGATGTATAACATAAGTGGGTCTGCTATTTAGGATAGGTGGTTGATGGGGTGATGGTCATTATGAAACAGTCCATATATCATTATAAGTTATTGAATGATTTGAAGTGCAATACAGGATATATTCTGCTCGAGAAATTCTGTACCATTCAGGATACCAATACAGAATATTGAGTTTTTATTGTGTGATCCTCTGTATTGCTACTGAGATTGTCCCCTCCGTACCAATATTTTCTATATTGCGACGGAGATGATCAACGGGGACAATCTCAGTAGCAATACAGATTGTTACAGCACAAGAACTGACCAATCAGAGGGCTTCATTTTACAGATCATACGATAATAATATATATTGTATTGTAAATTGTAATTAAGTAATCTTAAATGTATCTCATAACTTCAAAAGCCAAGATAGGACTGGTTATTTTAAATAGGTGACACTTGAATAAGTGAATCAATATAAATGAATAATATTATACCATTTTACATTATATTACATTATATTATATTATATTACATTATATTATATTATATGACATTATATTACATTATATCATATTATATTATACTATATTATATTATGTTATATTATACAAGTATTACAGTAAAACATTCAGTGTTGATAGGTGTTCACTACAGAAATGATAGTTTATACAGAAGTCAGTAAAGTATGTGCGGAGGAGAGGTATTCATTAAAGAAATGTGTTCACAAGAGAAAGGTGTTCACATAGACAAGTTTTACTGTATATTTAAATGTGTATCATATTATATAAGGAGGAAACCTTTCATTTATGAAATGGTGACATTGAATTTACTATTTTACGAGAATGTGATGCTTACATTGACAGAATGGTGGCTGTCTATCCACATTGCCACTGGGCAAACACGTGACAGTGTCCTGTTCTACACCATTGCTGTCTGGCACTATACTGAAGCATTCTTTGCATCTAAGAAACACATAAAGCTTAAAATGAAATCGGAATTTGTTTCACTTAAATCTGTTATGCTACAATATGTACACTATGTACAATATGTACATGTTCATTCTAATTACAGACTTACAGTACATGTGGTAAAACAATGGCACATTTTTAAGTTCTAAAGTACAATGACATCTTATGGGTTATTTCATGGAAGGGAATATATATATATATATGGTTTTATACTAGAATTAGAATATATGGCATTTTCTTATAGATTGAAGGGACCCAATCGAAATATGCCATTCTACAGATTTATAACTGTAAAATGTCAAAATATTGCATATTCTCTGCAAAAAGGTTTCTATAAAATTATTGTTATATAACATTGTGTAATTTAGAATAAAATTGCGTCATCATATTATATAGCCAACAACAAATCTACTTAGTTTTGTTACTCTTTTTTTGCCACCCAAAGAGCACAAGTGCCCTGAACACTACAGCTTCATAAATACCTGAACACCACAAATTCATTAGGACCAAATGTGTTGTCTATAGGATCCCTGTCTGCACTGATGTTCTCAACAATCTCTGAGTTAGGGTCATTGGGCATGGGGTAGGGGCAACGCACTGAAATCAAAACACTTTTTAATAATAAACAATATTATTGGCTGAATTAAGCATTATTTTCCATTTATATGTATACCATTCTATACTATTACACTATGGGTGTGGGAGTGTCATTGGGTCAAAAATCAGGAAGCAATGGGGTCTAAGAGCATTGATATCCTAGAATATCCTCTTTTTGTATTGTTTCTGGAAATATGCTCATGCTCATATTAATATATTAATGTCATTTCCATGTTAAAATATTGACTAACAAGGCTTTAAAATGCAAAATGTCACCACCTGCCATTTGTTACAAACAACCATCACTTAACAACAACCACCAAACACCAACCATAAAATGCTGAACATGGTCTACAAACATTTTGGTTACTATAAGACTTCTGGTGATAACATAATATGTATTAATACTTCTCAGTTTCCATTGAAATCAATCACTGCCTACCTCTACCACAAGATGGCAGTGGTCTGTCATAAGCCACTCTTGAAGGATCCCCAGGGACTGGCTGACATGTCAGACTCCTGTCACCATTTAGCTCAAAGCCTTGGTTACATGTGATTGTCACTGTACTGTCACAATTTGGGGATCCACTGACCTGACCATTTTGCAAAGAGAGTGTGTCACATCGGAGAGCTGAAAATAATCATTAACATTGTGCGTCATTGTGAAAAAGGCAGAAGGTGTATATTTTCTCTAAAAAGTGAAAATGGCTAACTTAAAATAATCATTAACATTGTGCGTCATTGTGAAAAAGCTAGGTGTATATTTTCTCAAAAAATGAAAATGGCTAACTTAAAATTTATACAAGATGTCAAAGTACTAATCAGTTCTTAATTCTTATATGGAAATATCACTGGAAATTTCACAATATTTCTTTCAATCAGTTTTTCTGAAAATGTGCAGACAAGAAAGGTGAGATGGCCACACCAATCTGTCTGATGTCTATACCTTACCTTTATTTTATGAACAATATTACAAAGAAATGTCAATAATAGCCATCATTCTAAGGTTAAACCAATTAGGTTAAACCAACAATTTTTATCATGAACTTTTTTACAATAAAATACAGCACAAATGAACATAGAAATACCATTCATTATTAATTACTTAATCATAGATATCAATCTAGCTACAAGTATGTGGCAGGCAAGACCATTTTTAGAATGAAATTGTAACTATATGCTGGAGTCCGAATCTGAACTTTTACGGAAAAGTTCAGATTCGGACTCCAGTATCAGTATATTTTAGGACCCTTGCTATAGCCTTGCAAATAGTTGAATGATGTTGAAGATGATTTAAGTGTTTCTAGACAAATACTTACGAAGACAGACAGGTTCCTGAAAAGGGGTCCACTGACCATTTTCTCCACACTCCCTCACAGAAGGACCATCAAGGCTGAAACACCTGGGGCAACTGTACCTGGCCTGGGACCCACAATTATTATTAGGAGTAAACACAGATCCAGGGCTAGGGTCAGACAATTGGGGACATGTCACAGCTGAAAAATAAAGTCAAAATTAAGCTTTATAAAGGCAATGCATCCTAAAAGACTAGAAAAACAGCAACTCCACGGAGTAGCAAAACATATTATGCTTATTATAGCTAGTGTAAATGTTGAAATGTTTGTGTACTTTGTGATAGAAGCATGAAATTTGGCACAAAAAATTATTTCTTGAACAGAGCTACTGTGTCCCTAGGCATAATCATATAAAATTTCAACCAAATCTGTTCACTGGTATTTGAGTTATCAAAGATTACATTTTTTACGAAAAAATTGCCGCCATTTTATATATATATATATATTTTTTTTTATTTCATTAAAACATAAAAACATTTTTACATATTCGTGGTCATGACACCTACATAGGTATATAATTGACCACATTTAAAATCATTAATCTAAAATTTTCAAGTGCTTGAAAGTTTAACACAACATGACACTAGGTGAACCATAATTTGTCTCATGAATTAAAAACATTGGTAAAAAATAATGTAAAATAAAGAGGATGGAATCACCTTACGTTTGCTGAATATCAAAATCAGTATTTTGAAAATGTGTCATCTTTAAAAAGACTTTTTAGTTTATAAATATTATTGGTAAGTTTAATAGTATTAGGAATTTTGTTCCAGATAATTTCACCTTGTACTTTTAAACTGTATCTTAAATAATTGGTTTTGAATTTTGTAACATGAACTTGTTCATTCTGTCTAGTGTTGTGTTGATGAACACTATTGTTTTTTTCAAAGAAGTCTATAAAAATGTCACTTGGAAAAGAATCGGGTCTGTTAATACATTTGTAAGTTAGTTGAAGAATATTAAGGTCATATATGTCCGTAAATTTTAGAATTTTAAATTGTTTAAAGAATGGCCCGGTATGTTCTCTGTTTCCACTGTAAGTAATAATTCTTAAAAAACGTTTTTGTAGTTGAAAAATTGAATTCGTTGCAGTTTTGCCTGCATTTCCCCAAGCACATATACAGTATTGAATTTGAGAATATATAAGTGAATAGTAAATTGATAGAAGTGCTTTTGTATTTAGTTTATGTCTATTTTTAAATAGTATCCCAATGATTTTTGATATTTTAAGCGATATTTTTTTTATATGTTCCTTCCAGTTTAAATCCTCATCAATAATTATCCCTAAGAAGTTGATTGATTGCACTCTCTCTACTAAATTATCTCTTATTTTGATCTCAATATTTTGTGGAACTTTATGTTTGCAGGTTGTATATATCATAAATTTCGTCTTCTGTACGTTAAGAGATAGCTTATTAGCACAAAACCAATCATCAATTTTATAGAGTTCACAATTTAATTTAGTTATCAGATTATTAATGTTCTTATCAGAATACAAGATGTTTGTATCATCTGCAAAAACTACATATTTTAACAAAGAACTAGAACATATAATGTCATTGATATATATTATAAACAAAATAGGGCCTAAGGTAGTGCCTTGTGGAACTCCACATGTGATTGATTGTTCCTGAGATTTAACATTATTATCTCCATATACAGTAAATTGTTTTCGATTATTTAGATAACTTCTAAACCAATCATTAGCTTTTCCTCTAACACCATAAAAGTTGAGTTTAGATAATAAAATGTCATGATTAACAGTATCAAGTGCTTTACTGAGGTCCAAGAATATGCCAATAGAGAACTGTTTATCGTCTAATGCTTTACGTAAATTTTCTAAAAAAGAAAGTATAGCCAAGTAAGTGGATCTATTTTTTCTAAAGCCAAATTGATTACGACACAAAAGTTTGAATTTTTCAAAAAAATCTGTAAGTCTATGAGCCATTACTTTTTCAATTATTTTTGAAAAAACAGATACCAAAGAAATAGGTCTATAGTTACTGAAGAATTGTTTTGTAACTTTTTTATATAATGAAATTACCTTGGCAACTTTCAAATCATCTGGAAAGATGCCAGTTTTGAAAGATAGTTGAGTTAGGAATAGGAATACAAGAGGTTTTGCAAGGATGGCACTACTATTTTTGATAACTATAGGCTTAATATCATCATTACCAGCAGATTTATCTTTCAAATTATCTAAAATCGATTTTATTTCGTCAAAAGTTACATGTCGTAGATATAAACTTTGGTTTAAAGAATTAGACATTTTCTTCAAATAATGTTGAAATGTTTTATGAGAATTAGGTATGTTTTTTGCCAAATTATTTCCAACATTGACAAAATAATCATTAAAACCATTAGCTATTTCTTTAGGATTAGTAAATGTTTTATTATTGTGTATAAATTTATCAGGTGATATTTGCAATTTCTTTCCTCTGTTTAATATTTCATTAATGTGTGTCCAGGTGTCTTTTATATTACCAGATGATTGTTCAAATTTATAACTGTAATGAAGTTTTTCTGCATGTCGAATAGTTTGCCTTAAAATGCGTTTATACTTTTTGTAAGATTCAAGCTTATCTTGTGTAGGGTGCTTTATGTAATTAATGTAAAGTTTATTTTTAAATTTTATAGAGGTCAAAATTCCTTCTGTCAGCCAAGGTTTTTTATTGTTGTAGTAATATTTAATATATTTAGTAGTTACCGGGAAGCATTCATTATAGAGACTTTGAATTTTTTCAATAAAATATGCATAGCCTAAATTGACATCATCAAATTCATATAGCTGGGAAAAGTCAAGTTCAGAGAGGCGTGATTTAAAGGTTATATGATTTTTGTTTTTCATTTGGCGAAAAGAAATGCGTTTACTCACTTTCTTATCTTATTTCTTATCAAAGATAACGTTTTTTTACAAAAAATTGCTGCCATTTTGAAATTAAGCGGCCATCTTGAAAATGTTTTGTCGAACATAGCTACTGTGTCCCTAAGCATCATCATATAAAATTTGAACCAAATCCGCTCACCGGTATTTGAGTTATCAAAGATTACATATTTTTACGAGAAATGGCCGCCATTTTGAAATTAAGCGGCCATCTTGAAAAGCTCTTTTTGTGCGAACCTCCTTTGTCCCTAGGCATCAGCATATAAAATTTGAACCAAATCCGTTCACTGATATATGAGTTATCAAAGATTACGTTTTTTATTATGAATATGGGCTGCCATCTTGAATATCAGCCGCCATCTTGAAAATTATTTCTTGAAGAGCAACTGTGTCCCTAGGCATAATCATATAAAATTTAAACCAAATCTGTTCACTGGTATTTGAGTTATCAAAGATTACATTTTTTACGAAAAAATTGTCGCCATTTTGAAATTAAGCGGCCATCTTAAAAATGTTTTGTCAAACATAGCTACTGTGTCCCTAAGCATCATCATATAAAATTTGAACCAAATCCATTCACTGGTATTTGAGTTATCAAAGATTACATCTTTTTACGAAAAATGGCCGCCATTTTGAAATTAAGCGGCCATCTTGAAAATCTCTTTTTGTGCGAAACTCCTTTGTCCCTAGGCACCAGCATATAAAATTTGAACCAAATCAGCAAACTAATATTTGCGTTATTAAAGATTACATTTTTTACGAAAAATGGTGGTCATTTTGAATTCAGTGGCCATATTGAAAATTCCTTCTCAAGCAGAGGTTCTACACCCATAAAGAATAAGCCTATAATATTTGAATCAAATCCGTGAAACGGTATTTGAGTTATCGCCCGGACAAACAGACGGATGGACGGATGGATGGACGAACGGATGGATGGACGGCTTTCCTATATCCCTCTCGAACTTCGTTCGGTGGGATAATAAGACTTCACTCAATGGGTTAATTAAATTGTTGTGATAGACAAAGTTACAAAACAGAACTAGAAAGTAAGCCAATAAGCTACTATCCTATTGATATGACACAATCAGAACTTTACAAGAGGCTTGTGCTTAATTCAGATGATGTGAAAATGACAGCACAGAGACGAGGTATACTTACGAGAACAGGTTGGTGGGGGTTTATCAACTATTCCTGTAGAGAGACATGTCACTGTATCAGGATTTGCACCATTTCCAGGGTCCAATGTGAAACATTCCCTGCACCTGGAAATATGTTACGCAATGGAATTAGTACATGAGGAATATGTTATGATTTGCTAATCAAAATGAGGAAGTAATGAAATTAGCAAGGAATAAAGTTGCTAGTATATTCCAATATTCTTTACTGTTCCTGTTCAAGGAACATCTGGTGAGCTGTGCAATTCATGAAAATTTTATATGAATTAGTCACAAATATTCTCCACCCCAATATTCTGTCCTTCAGTCTAACTTAACTGCACATTATAATAAAGGGTATTATAAGGCTAAGAACAACTGTGTTCAAAATTTCACAAGAAAAGAACAAAAAAAGAAAATTTATATAAACCCATTAATTATTGAACCATACTATGGGTTATATTTATTGTATTATTCATACAAACTGTACCTAAAGTTGACTTGTTCATTTGGAGCAAATGTGTTGCTTGAGTCAGGGGTGGCACTTCCAGGTACTATCTCAACATTGGGGTCATCAGGCATTGGATACGGACATCGCACTAAATGTAAAACAATCATTTATTTAATATGCTAAAATATTGAATTAATATGTACATGTAACATAGAAAAATTACTTAGTGACTGAAATAGCTTTACTGTGCCTCCATTGTACATGAATATTATAAAGACTGGGGATTTTATGAGAAAGTGTATTTTAGGTATATTGGCACATTTATATTCATGCCTGTAGCCAGTCGGGGTTCAAGCCAAAATTCTCTCAAAATCATGTAGATTTTCACCATTCTGAGCAATTTTCAAGTGTTTATTGGCCAAAATTGTCAAATGTGATTATGTGAACCCCCTGGAATTTTTTAAAAGGTGAACCAGCCTTAGCAAAATCTATATTGAATATTATTTACCTCTCCCACAAGTAGCTGGTGCCCCCTCATATCTCACCCTGGTTGGGTCTCCAGGCACTGGTGCACACCTGAGAGATGATGTTCCTTGCCTAACAAACCCTGGATTACAGTCTATAGTGACAAAGCTGTTGCATTCATTGGTGCCTCTTGCTACCCCATTAGGGATAGTCAACGGTGCACAAGTAAGACCTACAGATAAATAAATGATGAATAAAAATAATTGAATAAATCAGTGTTACAAGTAAGCATATAAAACAAGTGAATGCAGAGATACACCAATTGCTGTGGCAAATTTTCACCACGCTAAACAACAACTGATATTTCAGTAAAGCCTCAGTCAAATTTGTTCTAGGACGGCCATACAGCGGGCGTAGATTCAAAACATTGATATAGAAAAGGTATATTGTACTGCTTATCCCTATATTTTATGCTACATAATTCTCTCCATTTCAGGAAGCTACTGCCACCGTAGAGTTGCCATAGATCAAATATGACTGAGGCGTAAATTAATCAGTAAAGTATAACAGGAACAGAACTTACTTTCACAAAATGGTTCTTGTGCTGGTTGCCACTGCTTATCAGGGTTGCAAATTCTTTGAGGTGCTCCTCGCAGTGTGTAACATTCATCACAACTATATGTTACAATTGTCTGGCAGGTCTGGTCTGTTGTGGATGCTCTACCATTAGCTATATTGTTTGGCCTGGGTTCACAACTTATGGCTGTAAAGTATGATCTCTGTCATGAGGAACATAATGTAACTCTTTCATTCTTAACAGATCATAATGATTAATTCAAGCAAAACTTAAATCATTGATCCATATGTAACCAAGCTAAATAGTTTGAAACTTTTATGTGTTTAAACTTCCCGCTGTAAATTACTTTTTATGCAATCTCATTGGTTAAGAGAGTAGGTCGGCCATCTTGGATAAAAAGGCATGTTTCCAAATTTGATTTTTTGAATTTCTTGTAGAAATTCACTCGTTTTTACATCAATAAACCTAGGTTTAGGTAGAAAACCCTTAATGAAGTCAGGTATGGTTGGATTTATTATATTTCAAACTTGACTTTATGAAGAAAACAGATTAGATTGCATGTTATTTAGCATTGATGAGTTTTTTAGGATTTAATATTTTTTGTAATTTCTGTATGGAAAGATATTCAATTTGTGTTGATTTTGTGATTTGTTACATGATTTAAGAGTGTTTGTAAGACATATTTTGAACTCCTTCATTTCATTCTAGAGTTGATCAAGACCAGATGTTATATAGGTGTTCTATCAACCCCATGGTCTACAGGAGATACTAGTGCAGTGTAGTTCCTGGGTAGGTTTTCTAAGCTAGGATCTGTTTGACATGTTTGGTGCTATATAATGTAAGATTACCATATATGTACAATTTAAAGACTTACTCAGATGTCCATATATGTACAAAGATTTAGCTAGACGTATAAAATATGTCTCAATCAGTTCATAACAGTATACAGTAAATACGTTTATTTCATTACAATCTTGTCATTTTTGTAAGTCAAAGATCTGAATTGTAACTCTTTTATTTTTGTATGTTCCAGGGTTTTTATTATGATATTAAGACAATAAAGAAACAAACTTAACCAAGAACTCTGTAGTCCTTAGTTTACACATAGAATATGCCATTTAAACAAAAATATCTTAGCTGATGTGTATAAATTGAAATTCAATAGATATTTAGTAAAAGTCTTGTTTTTTTAAATGGCAACAACCTACGATTTGACACCAGTGACCATGTCAACATGGTTCAAAATGTATGTCAATAAAGTTGAAATACAATGATCCATTACTTTTTGCATACTTTGCTTACTATTCAGCCCAACCAAAACACTACTGACATCTATCTTTGATTCTATATAGAAACTGGTTTATCAAATAACATTGATGTGTAAACATAAAAAAACTTGCTTTGGCATCTTGGTTCATTAGGAGTTGACCACTGTCCTGACTGGAGACAGGTCCTCTGGTCTGGGCCATCTAATTCCTGGCATGGAGAGTCACATCCGTATTGTACAGTCTGTCCACACGTGTTGTCAGCAGTAGAAGGATTGGCATTGGTTGAACCAAGTGGTGGGCAAGTAACCGCTGGAATACAAATGATAGCATTGAATATTAACTAGAATACAACAGGTCCTCTGGTCTGGGCCATCTAATTCCTGGCATGGAGAGTCACATCCGTATTGTACAGTCTGTCCACACGTGTTGTCAGCAGTAGAAGGATTGGCATTGGTTGAACCAAGTGGTGGGCAAGTAACCGCTGGAATACAAATGATAGCATTGAATATTAACTAGAATACAACAGGTCCTCTGGTCTGGGCCATCTAATTCCTGGCATGGAGAGTCACATCCGTATTGTACAGTCTGTCCACACGTGTTGTCAGCAGTAGAAGGATTGGCATTGGTTGAACCAAGTGGTGGGCAAGTAACCGCTGGAATACAAATGATAGCATTGAATATTAACTAGAATACAACAGGTCCTCTGGTCTGGGCCATCTAATTCCTGGCATGGTGAGTCACATCCGTATTGTACAGTCTGTCCACACGTGTTGTCAGCAGTAGAAGGATTGGCATTGGTTGAACCAAGTGGTGGGCAAGTAACCGCTGGAATACAAATGATAGCATTGAATATTAACTAGAATACAACAGGTCCTCTGGTCTGGGCCATCTAATTCCTGGCATGGTGAGTCACATCCGTATTGTACAGTCTGTCCACACGTGTTGTCAGCAGTAGAAGGATTGGCATTGGTTGAACCAAGTGGTGGGCAAGTAACCGCTGGAATACAAATGATAGCATTGAATATTAACTAGAATACAACAGGTCCTCTGGTCTGGGCCATCTAATTCCTGGCATGGTGAGTCACATCCGTATTGTACAGTCTGTCCACACGTGTTGTCAGCAGTAGAAGGATTGGCATTGGTTGAACCAAGTGGTGGGCAAGTAACCGCTGGAATACAAATCATACAATTGAATATTAACTAGAATACAACAGGTCCTCTGGTCTGGGCCATCTAATTCCTGGCATGGAGAGTCACATCCGTATTGTACAGTCTGTCCACACGTGTTGTCAGCAGTAGAAGGATTGGCATTGGTTGAACCAAGTGGTGGGCAAGTAACCGCTGGAATACAAATCATACAATTGAATATTAACTAGAATACAACAGGTCCTCTGGTCTGGGCCATCTAATTCCTGGCATGGAGAGTCACATCCGTATTGTACAGTCTGTCCACACGTGTTGTCAGCAGTAGAAGGATTAGCATTGGTTGAACCAAGTGGTGGGCAAGTAACCGCTGGAATACAAATCATACAATTGAATATTAACTAGAATACAACAGGTCCTCTGGTCTGGGCCATCTAATTCCTGGCATGGAGAGTCACATCCGTATTGTACAGTCTGTCCACACGTGTTGTCAGCAGTAGAAGGATTGGCATTGGTTGAACCAAGTGGTGGGCAAGTAACCGCTGGAATACAAATGATAGCATTGAATATTAACTAGAATACAACAGGTCCTCTGGTCTGGGCCATCTAATTCCTGGCATGGTGAGTCACATCCGTATTGTACAGTCTGTCCACACGTGTTGTCAGCAGTAGAAGGATTGGCATTGGTTGAACCAAGTGGTGGGCAAGTAACCGCTGGAATACAAATGATAGCATTGAATATTAACTAGAATACAACAGGTCCTCTGGTCTGGGCCATCTAATTCCTGGCATGGTGAGTCACATCCGTATTGTACAGTCTGTCCACACGTGTTGTCAGCAGTAGAAGGATTGGCATTGGTTGAACCAAGTGGTGGGCAAGTAACCGCTGGAATACAAATCATACAATTGAATATTAACTAGAATACAACAGGTCCTCTGGTCTGGGCCATCTAATTCCTGGCATGGTGAGTCACATCCGTATTGTACAGTCTGTCCACACGTGTTGTCAGCAGTAGAAGGATTGGCATTGGTTGAACCAAGTGGTGGGCAAGTAACCGCTGGAATACAAATGATAGCATTGAATATTAACTAGAATACAACAGGTCCTCTGGTCTGGGCCATCTAATTCCTGGCATGGTGAGTCACATCCGTATTGTACAGTCTGTCCACACGTGTTGTCAGCAGTAGAAGGATTGGCATTGGTTGAACCAAGTGGTGGGCAAGTAACCGCTGGAATACAAATGATAGCATTGAATATTAACTAGAATACAACAGGTCCTCTGGTCTGGGCCATCTAATTCCTGGCATGGAGAGTCACATCCGTATTGTACAGTCTGTCCACACGTGTTGTCAGCAGTAGAAGGATTGGCATTGGTTGAACCAAGTGGTGGGCAAGTAACCGCTGGAATACAAATGATAGCATTGAATATTAACTAGAATACAACAGGTCCTCTGGTCTGGGCCATCTAATTCCTGGCATGGTGAGTCACATCCGTATTGTACAGTCTGTCCACACGTGTTGTCAGCAGTAGAAGGATTGGCATTGGTTGAACCAAGTGGTGGGCAAGTAACCGCTGGAATACAAATCATACAATTGAATATTAACTAGAATACAACAGGTCCTCTGGTCTGGGCCATCTAATTCCTGGCATGGTGAGTCACATCCGTATTGTACAGTCTGTCCACACGTGTTGTCAGCAGTAGAAGGATTGGCATTGGTTGAACCAAGTGGTGGGCAAGTAACCGCTGGAATACAAATGATAGCATTGAATATTAACTAGAATACAACAGGTCCTCTGGTCTGGGCCATCTAATTCCTGGCATGGTGAGTCACATCCGTATTGTACAGTCTGTCCACACGTGTTGTCAGCAGTAGAAGGATTGGCATTGGTTGAACCAAGTGGTGGGCAAGTAACCGCTGAAATACAAATCATAGAATTGAATATTAATTAGAATACATGTGTACTGAGCCATTCCCTTTTGAGCTCTGTTATCACTTAAAGGAAAATCCTTGGTCAAGATGAAATATGGAAAAATTGCAAGATCAAGACATGTCTCTCGATCATGAACATCTATGTAAAGTGGACATTTTTTCTTGGCAATTTTTTCAATTATATATCGGTTTTTCTGTATCATTTGGATATGTGAGTAAATTCTAAAACTATAATACCTAGTTACGAAATATGTACTATATAATACATCCTGCATACAATAATAAATGTGCTCAGATGTGAGCTTATTTCTAAAGGCAGACACCCTAGTTTAGATATGAACAAAAATGTAATTTTTTGTCAGCTTATATATGGCTAAATAAGACTACCCGGTATATTGCTATTAATGACCCCTTGAGCCATAAATCATGTAACCAATGTATGTCAGATTAGATATTTATATTATTTTATATGTGTTTACATCAATAAAGAGTGTTCAATGTGCATGATAGAAACTTACGTCTACAGTCAGGTGGAATAGGATTATCCCATGTTCCATCTTGTTGACACAAACGATCTGGATCTCCAGGACTGTTTGGATTATCAGGCACTATCCTAAACAATGTAAAAGAAACATATTGGAACTATGGTAAACAGAAATATTCCAAAACAAAATGTCTCTGAATGGGTGATTTCTGCTAACAATATTAAAACCCATACTAAAATATTTAGGGTTTTCTATGGACACTGATCTTTACATATGGTACAATGTTTCCTACAAAACAAGTATGCATCTACACAGTTGTATGTACTTACTCAAAGCAATCAGGACAGACAAAGACAAGTCGATCACCCGGACTGTATGTATTGTCACTGGGGTCCGGTCTGGGACTTGTTGGGTCCTTGGTACTCTGGACACCATTTCCCATAAATGGGCATCTCCCTTTATGAACAAGAAATAATGGATAAAAAATAATGGATCAAAAAATAATCAAATCCCTCAGTTTATTCTACAGTTTTATGTCTTAATATCTGGTACTACTTATTTATTATAAGCCGTGTTACAAGTCATTTTGTTATTTGTACAATTTTGAATTTTAGGTAAGACTGTATTCTTGTTGCTATACATATTTATTAAAGTAAATTGTAAAATGTATCACTGCATTAGCTATTTACGTTAGTATATAAGGGTTATGTACTGGGAGATTTTGGATATGGGGTTTATCCAGAAGGATATATGCATATCTACCTGAGGGACAGTAGGGAAAAAAGGTTGAAATGCATATCACATGATGGGGATAAACTCCATATCCAAACCGACCTTACATAACTGCTCTATCCTATACCCAGTGGAGTTTTCAAAAAAAAATTTCTCAACATTTTTTTCTAATCTTTTCAACATTTTTTCTAATTCTTTTTCAAAAATTTGGAATTTTTTTTCTAATCCTTTTTACAACTTTTTCAAAGCAGTAAGATATGTCCCAGAGTGGGAGATATGGAGGTTCTGGATATGGAAACTTCAAAATCAGGATATATCTTAACTTACATATCCCTAAAACTCTGCTTGGCATAGGATAAATATACAAATCCCCTTATTATCATTTGATTATCATGCTTTGCATTTCCATACTTATACATGTACATACGTTGACATGAAGGTACTGGGTTACTCCAGTCTGCACCACCCTGATTATTTGGCACACAGGTAGCAGATGTAGCTCCGATTCTCCTGAACCCAAAGTTACATTGAAATTGCACTGACTGTCCACAAGCTTGTGTCCCAAACACCTGGCCATTTGGGAGATTGAGTTGTTCACATTGTATAACTGAAACATTTAACATTGTAAGATATAGCAAAGGCATTAACATGCAAAATGACACCACCTGTCATTTGTTACAGATGCCAAACTCTGAACACAAACAACAACTTCTGAACACCATCCACAAAAAGGTAAAAGACTATAACAATATGTCACCACTTGTGGTGATGACACAATAAACTAAATGTAACAAAAGAGCTCTTGCTCTTCACATTTGACCTTTATTGACCTAGCTTTTATTACATTGAGCTACAAATATGACCACCAAGACCTTGTATGACTTTTGATAGATGAAAGTCAATATAACGTTGTGTTTCAACTGGTCTAAGAGGCAATACTACATACCATAACTTCATGTATGACTGTTGCTACATTGATTTATTATCATCTTAAAATTGAATTCTAAAAATAATGAATTTTTTTGATGGGATGTGGCCTTAATGTACTAAATAATCTAATATCAATAATTTCATGATGCTGATCTTGACCCAAAGGCTTCAATATCATGCCAGATATCTAAATACATTAAAAAATTTACTTTGACATGTTGGTTCCTGGGGTACATCCCATTGTGGTCCGTTGAACTGTGCTACACAGCGCCTGGTGGGAGTTCCAACACGTTCATAGCACTCATTACATGTGTATGTAACTACAGTTCCTACTGAGCTTCCTGTTGTACTGATGGCTCCATTCTGGGGGACCTGGGGTGGGGGATTACAATTACTCTCTGGAAGTTAATAAAATCAATTCGAACATGACTGTATTCACGCCTTCTATAAACTGTAAACAAAGTCAATGCTTCAGCTGGGTTATATTCGAGATCAATAACCCAGTTAATACTTGAAATGTGTGACGTCATAATGGTGGGTTGGTCTATATTTCTTAATTATTTTATATTTATGTTATTTTACCCCTTGCTGTACCATTGCACCATTCTAGAGATCAATGATTGTTTGCTTTATAATAATATCTGGTACAATATCTTGCTCCATTTAGCTCACTCAAGAATTAGCAACTCAAGGTCGGTATAGTTGGTATGTTTTACATGAGTAAACAAAGACAACCTCAATACAATGTCAATGTGGGAAACAAAATAACAAAAAAAAACCAAAATAACATTGAAAAAGGTGTCTCCACATCTATCAATCAGATTCAGTACATACAAAGATTAACTCATACTCCCTGATATACATGAACTTATACTTACGCCCGCAAGTAGGCAGGCCAGGGCTCCAGGCTGCAGGCTGGTTGCCAATCTTCCTACAGGTTACTTGACTCTGCCCTGATAACTCGAATCCTGGGTTGCATGTGACTGTAACTGTGGTGCCGCATCGCGTGTTAGTAGATGATACCTGAGCATTGGCAATGCTGATAAAGGGGCAGGATGTGACTGAAACCACAAATATTTTGGATATACGTACATGTGTATTTATTTGGTATGATAATGTACTTTACGGATATAACTAGGCTTGGCATATATTCCATGTGTGTAAACAAAGACAGTCTCATGTTTTTTACGAGAATTTCTATATCATATATGATGTAAACAATTAAACAAGTAGTTAATGCAACCTCTATATACAATATTAAACAAAACAATCTTTAAACTTACTTTGGCAAGAGGGTGGATTTTGAGGAGACCATTGTCCAGTAGAGAGACAAGTCCTTGTGGCTTGCCCTACCAGTTCAGCACATGGGTCAGTGCAGGAGTAGGTCAAGGTTGTCTCACATGTGTTGGCTTTTGGAGTCACTTGACCATTTGGGATATCAGTGGGAAAGGGGAGACACTGTACACCTGTAGATATACAGAATACAATTGTAGACCTCTGTTCAGGTTAACTAGCAAAATTGTATACTGATACTGTAAAGCTTGAAAGTACTGTTGACCAAGATGAAAGGATAAATATTGGATACCACATGACGATGGATTTGATAAGAGGATCAGGATATATGGAAAATTATATATATTAAATATATTTTTTCTGCAACTTTTTTTTCACATTTTCTAAATTTTTTTTCAAAAGAAGCAGTCAACAGTATCTACCGTAGTAGTGGTCAAAAGTTCCTAGTAACAGTCAACAATACTTATTGTTAGTACCTCAGTGTAAATACTCGCATCTGATTGGTCAATTTGCGGTCAACATTTTTGCCTGTACCTCACTTGTGCATCATGGGATATCATATTATTGACCGCGTATGTTACTGTACTACACTTGTGAATTATGGGAAATATGACGTCACAATGTTTACAGAAAAAAACATGATAGTCGGACATTTTGTACACGTTGATGAAAGTGATATTTTGACTTTTCTACACGATCGTATAGCAACAATACAAATAGAAACGCAAAATTAACATTAATTTACTAGTGAGTACGCAGTTATGTGCCGAAAACAGAGAGTTTAGCTTCCACTGTCTTCAGATTTTCTTAAAAATTATTGCTGGCGTGGTTCGTAGAAAAGATTGTGAAATGAAGCCATGATCGATGACTGTCATATATATGGGTATTATTAGTTTCTTCTGACTAACAAAACAATTGTAGACCTCTCCATTCGGTCAACCGTCAAAATCATATACCTCGACTGTAAACCTTGAAACACTGTTGACCTTGACCTTCGGTCTCTGTCAACAGTAGTTTCTCGGTTTACAGTCTCGGTATACAATTTTGCCAGTTGACCTCTGGAGAGGTCAACAATTGTATACTGTTCACTTTTAATTAACCAATTAGAATTGAGTATTTCAATTGAGATACATGTACTAACAATACTGCATGTTCACTTTACACATTTGATTTAAATTGTTACCTTTCATATGTCTTCTCTATAAATTTGCATTGACATGGTGAATATACAGGGTGGGCCAAAATAAACGCCACATTTTTTTCAAGACACTATAACTTTTTTATTTTCCAACCTACATACCCCAAATTTTGCAGTTATATAGTGCCAAGGGTTCTTAGTAATAATATAATGTAACAAGTCCTTCAACTGGGATTATATTTGATCTAAAAGAGGAGTTCAATTGGTCCGCCACCCCATTTGATGATAGATTTTAGTTTTAGTCACCTTGCTGATATAGCAGTATCAATGAAATGTTAGCTATATTTTTTTCAACGTGTCTTAATTGCCAGCTTTAGTTAAGCAATTTTTTAGATTGGGTGCCTTCATACCATCTCCTGGAGACCTCCTCGTACCCTATATTCACTTGGGTTTGAATTAGGGCTATTAGCTTGTGGTCATCAGAATGTATCAGTTTAGGAAGATAATGCAAATTATGCTTATTTCTCATGGCACACCAAATGTTTTTTAAGTGGGAAGCTGGTGACATATTTTATTCAAGTAAAAGTGTATAATTCATGATCAATGGCTAGATAACAACCTCAAATTTCATTTGGTATGTAAATTATGATTTTGTATCAAAAATTAAAAAAGTTATAGCATTTTGAAAAAAAAGTGGCGTTTATTAGGCCCACCCTGTACAACATACAGTGCACGGTGACTTACATTGACAGGCAGGCTCCCTAGAAGGTCGGGTTACATTATTACTTAAAGGGTGGACAGGATGACTTACTTTGACAGGTTGGCTCAGTTGGGTTATCCCATTGTCCAGAGGGGAGACAGGTCCTAGTGGGTGATCCAATCAGAGTTGCACATTGACCATTGCAGCTATATGAAACAGTCGTACCACATGTGTTGGATCTTGAAGACACTGTCCCTCCAACAGGATTGCTTGGTATGCCTGGGCATGTCAAGGCTGTAAGAATTCAAAACCATTATTATAGATGTCCCAATGGAAGTAGAACATACCTCAAAATAGTGTTCAACTTGGTAGGTGTTCCACTTACAGTTGTTTCTTTTGGTTAATGGTTTACATGACTATTACAAGTATTTCCATTAGTATGAAGGTGTTCAATTTTTAGAGGTTTTCCTCTTTACAGGTTTTACTGTGCTTAGTATTTCACCTTGAGGTAGAAAAAGAAACATTCAAACAATATATAACATACATAAAATAATAACTGCATGAAACATGCATGAATTAACTTACCAATGCAAGTTGGAGCAGTTCCAGACCATCCTTGGGCTTCACAGCTTCTGGTTGAAGAACCAGAGAGTGAGAAGCATTCATTGCACTGGTATGTGGCCACTGCATTGCAGGAACTGCTCGATTGAATCACTCTTCCATTCACAGGATTTGATAGCTGTGTACACTCAACAGCTAGAATATACATGTAACATTGTGCTAGGGTTGGTATCATGTGATTTATTTCTCTATTTCTGTATATTTCTTATTTTTATATCTTTTAGTATGGAGACCAAAGTTTAAAGGCAAAATGTATTCATTGATAAGTTGATTAAAAAATCTCCGAAAAATGTCACCATTTGGTGGACTCACAAAGTGATTCCTTATATGGATGCATAAAAATAAGGTCAAGTTTGTTTTATCATACAATACAATAGGATAATTGAATTTGATGCATTAAATTAGCTCATGTGAAATCGTTGCATGTGTAATACTGCAGAATTTTGGCTAAAATTTTTGCAAAATATATAAATTGTAACATATAGAGCATATACAATATATATGAAATGATGCAGACTTAAAGATTCATGCTTATTTCAGACAATCAAATTGTATTCCCATAGAATTTACTTACAGACACAAGTTGGTGGATCTTTTTCAAATCGTCCATTTTCCTGACATGTGATTGTATCACTGGTGCTGCCATCTGCTGCTACTAACTTAAAGCAGGGGTTACACGTGAAGGCAATACTCTCTGGTGGAATGTATGGAGGTCTAGCACTGCGAGGTGTGTCAATCTGACCATTAGCTGGTGGCATCACATTGGGACATCTTGCTATTAAGGATATATACATGTGAGACCTGTGACTATCTTGTAGAATATTATAGCCCTTAATGTACATGTAATCGAAAGGAAAGGTTGTGGGTTCAAATCCCACCAAGGTGGATTGACACTTTCATTATGTAGCATAGGATTTGATCTTTGTTTCAAATTAACTATGGTGGAAGTAAAAGTCTGTACAAATAAACAAATGTATTTCTCATCTTAATTGTTGCTATACATAATATAATATATAACAGGATATAATTACGTTTAGTTTGAGGGGGAGGTCCATCAAGGTTAGGTGGCTTTGGTTTTCTTCTCCTTGGTTTATCTGGATCTTCAGGCTCTTCTTCAGGGGGTTCACATGTGAATTCTTTCTCAGAAACCTTTGTACCATCTGACAGTTCAATCACAACATCATCTGGGCATTGAATCGTCACTTTCACTCCACATGGTATTGGGTCAATGTCAGGGGTCCTCACACATTCAGGTGGTGTAGGGAATGCAGGACATGTCAATCCTGAAGATGAATTATCTATAATATAGTCATGGGTGTCATTTCAATAAACTCATACCTGCATCATTAGTGCCCAAGCTTGAGTACTATGAAGTGTTTTACAGTGGTTTTTCCTTCTGGAGGTGGGGGTAATTAAACCCTCATAAAACTAGAAAACAGCAACTAAAAGCTATCATCATTCATCTGGTGGAAATTCTGTCCAAGACATCCCACTAGCTGAAAAGATTGCTTCATATTGAATGCTGTTCACTAAATTCTCTGCAATTCTAAATGCTGTTTACTACATTCTGTCTGAGCACAATTTTACTTTGAGTAAAACTTGTCACCTTATAAATGGTCTTGAGACCCATAGTGATGAGATAATCTGTCACGAAAATTTTTCACTAAAATTGCTCTTATTTGGACAATTTTCATCCAATTTACAAAAAAAAGTTTTAAAATGTGTAGAAATGATCTCTGCCAATTAATTTCACTAAATTTAGCATCACCTGTTGTATACATGTATGTATGTTGTAAAACATCAAAAGCTGGCAAAAATGAAAAATTCACTCAGTTGAAACCGATTTTAGAGCCTACATTGAAGAGGTTAATGAGCAGAATCAAGGAAAAAAAAACAAAAAAACACCAAGTATAGGTTTGGAAATACAAACAAAACAAATATTACGAACATGTACTTACTTTTACAGACAGGAGGTGTCCCATTAAAAGTTAGATCACCTCTACATAATAGTTCAACAACGATGATCTCATCTTTTTCTATTTCTTCATCAGAAACATAACATGGGGCACACTCGTAGAATATCTTTTCACCAGGTTTATATGGTGCTGGGTCAGATCTGTCAAGTATCTCAACACTTTCATCAGTCATTGGAATGGGACAAACTACAAGTAAATGGTTTATCTTAATATATTCAGTGTCATAGGGATTGGTTACTGTAATAGATATGCAGTGCAAGGTAAGTTACAAGAAGATTGTTTGGCACATCTCACTGTGTTTGATAGTGCACTTGTTATCTCAAAAACGTACAATACACATTAGTCATTATTGTAAAACATTAGATAGGTTGATTCAATGCACTGCGATATATTTAAGTTTTAAAAGAAATATTCACTTTTATTGAATGCAAAAGCATATGCACAAATATCAACAGAGGAGACCATTAAAATATTAAATACGCTTTCTAGACATTTCACCCCCTTAGACGTTTCACCCCTTAGACATTTCACCCCCTTGGACATTTCACCCCCTGGACATTTCACCCCCTAGACATTTCACCCCCTGGACATTTCACCCCCTGGACATTTCACCCCCTAGACATTTCACCCCTTAGACAGTCATCCCTAAGAAGATTCACCCCCAAGACATTTCACCCCTAGACATTTTAGCCTCAATATTTTAGTCCTACAATTTTCATTCAAATATTTCTCATTGTTAGAACTGAATATCCTAAGTATAAATGGCATACCATCATGGAATACCATGGCCCTGTCTTGCATCATAGATCGCCATGGTATAGGGTACTTTCGATTTAGAATTGATGGAATCAATGTATGAGTCAAATTTGTTTTAACAAACACATGATTGTCACATCTAAAACGGAATTCTCAACGAACTGCATAACAACGGTGTGATAAACAATTTCTGATTGCAAAAGGTCCTTGCAAAGTCCTAAGAATTCACTTAACAGTTCCTTCAAATTATTTCATATCTTATGTAGGAATAAATTCTAATAACATTAGAAACAAACATCTTATAAAATATGGTTAATTTAATTGGTGGGAATTATTTTTTTTATTTTATAATTGGTAGGAAACGTGAAGAATTTTATTTTTAAAAAGTATGTCAACTTTTTTACAAGAGTGATCTTCCAGGGAATTTTAGGATTGTATGGGAAGCCCCGCTTACTTGATCAGCAAAATTGGCAAGGAAAACCAGAGCAACTAAACACAGACAGGTTTTTAGATGTGGTGTGAATCAGAATGTGGCATATATTAAAATCAGAATTTAATTAACAGTTTCAAAATAGCATATTCAAATACCAAGTACTGTAAGTCACTAGTAACTCACTTCTCTTTCCATATTCAGTTTTCAGGGTTTTGAAGTGAGGTCCAGTCAATTAATTATCTATTTCAGTTCTTCAAGAAATTGATTATCAAGATCAACTCTGCTATTAATGAGGTCCAGTCAATTAATTATCTATTTCAGTTCTTCAAGAAATTGATTATCAAGATCAACTCTGCTATTAATAAAGAAAATAATAATTAGATCATTCTAGTACGGTTATATATATTAGGCCTTACGAGCAAAGCATGAGGTACAAAGAATTTTAAAGATGCAGTATACCATAGGTTTCTCGCCCAGACAATCAATGATGTCCCATTGTTATTGATCATATAATATCTCACATACCATGGATATATCTTGAGAATAACGTATGGGTAATATCATTGGCGAGATTTTGAAATAATCAACAGAACAACCAACCTCCAGATTTAAACACAATTGATTCCTCGGCTAGCGAGGGGAATCCCCGTTGAGTCACACAAGCACTAACACGCGCCTTTGACCAAGCAGCCAATCAAGTTCATGATAAACAAATTCAACAACCAATCAGATAACAGGGGGGTTTTCCCCATATATTCAAACTTCAAATTGAATTAATTTCCGCACAATCGCTAAGCTAACACTGAAAGCGGGGGATTTGGGACTTCTTCAATGCAAAAAGGTCCAGAGGGGTCTTGATTATTCTATGGTATAGATCTTCTTTAAATAGTAAGATTTCATATACATGTACATATTAGTTATTAATTGTGAAGTATGACCTAGGCATGCCCCTTAACAGTGGGGTTTATTGCAAGGATGCAGAAGTTTTGAGGTTGTAAGTTCATCTTCTTTATATTGTTTCCATTACTGTATATGGGGGTGAAATGTCTAAGGAGTGAATTGTCTAGGGGGTGAAATGTTTAGGGGGTGAAATGTCAATGGCGTGAAACGTCCAGGGGGTGAAAAGTCTAGGATGTGAAATGTCCAGGGGGAGAAACATCTAAGGGGTGAACAGTCTAGGGGTGAAACGTCTTGATTAAAGCCATTTCAATTTAAAATAAATAAGTGACATTCTGATCTGTTTTTCTAATTTTTCTCAAACATATAGACACTTCATCACATATGATTGAGTCAATAATAATGCATTTTAAATGAAGATAAAATATAGGGTATGTCTATTGATAACAGTACTCACTGCATGGTTCTTGGTTGCAAACTACAACAAATTCTCTAGTGATTTCGCAGACGCCTCCAGCGTCGTCGATGTTACGGCAAACTTCATTTAGTGTTTTTGTTCCACCATCGCAACTGGCGCTGCATGCCACTGATTCACTAACTTTCACATACCCAGCATCATCTAGAATACATGGCAAAATCTGGGGTTGACAAACTTTATATTCATTCAAAGGTAAAATATATATACTAGTACAGTGTCTATATAAGTACAATATGTGGAGTACAGAAAATAATTAAGAGTCTGAATCAGAGTATAACTTTGATTTTAGAATAAAAGATACTCAGTACAGTACTCAGTCTGTCTCTGCTAAGCTGCTCACCCATGCTTATTAAAGTCACTTCATATTAAAACATGTAAAAAAAATTAATGATACATAAATAGAGTACTCAGTCTTTATGGAACAGGGCTTTATTTAGTAATACAATTTTGACAGTCAACTTAATGGTGAGGTCTATAAGTATTGATTTGTTAGTCTGAAACTAAGTGTAAACAACTTATTTAAAACAAAATCAAGAATTTAAATCATAAATTCTTACCAAAGCATTCCTTCAAACAGCTTTCTTTCTGAACTTCCCTGGTGAGACATCTTCTGGGGAAGGGATTGTTAGGATCTCCTGCAAATTATTCATTTCAATTAATAAGATCTCATTGCAATTGATAGTAAGGGAAGGAATTGTTATATAAGGTTCTCCTGCAATATAGTCAAGAATATATACAGCTTTTGCCAAAGTGCTCGGAATCGTGAAAAACTGCTTGATTTTGAAAGAATTTTGGCGAGGTCATATGGCCTGAAAGTAGGTTCATCACATCAACCGATATCAAATATAATTATCCAATATCCCATTCACTTAGTTTATCCCTACACAAAGCTGTAAAATTCCTTATTTTGCATAATGTTGCGTTTATTGAGAATCTCTTTCTCGGAAAAAATATCATTTGAGAGCACGTCAATTTGCTCACCCTCTACAACATGTGCGTATATCACATCTTACCTTCATCAATTGGAGGAAGAGGCACTACTTTGCCAGGGTAATCAGGATAATCAGGATACTCCTCACTGGTCTGTAAAGACGTCTCTCTAGTTTCCTCACTTGTGTTTTCACTGATGCTCTCCCCACACTCACACCCGCTTTCAGAGTCACTAGATTTACTCTTCTTAGATTTACTCTTGGAACTCTATGAAAATAGGGAACATGCATTTAAGAGTCCTTCTGATACTCATTACATGTTTGTTTTCTAAGTAAGGAAATGAAAGAAGGATCTGCTCAATCAAAATGTTGGAGAGTAGTGCTTAGGCATTAAACAAGGCTGATGTAGGCCATATATTGAAACCACTTCTCTAAGAGAGACCCATCTTCAATGTGAAAGGATTAGCTTAGGAATTAGGGATATATGGTATAAGAACCACAAACATATGAGTTACATGTAGAAAAAGTATAACCTACATTATTTAGGTATTACAAGGGTAAACCTTGACATTCACGAGGGGAAATCTTAATTTCATTTTTTGGGCCACAGTAATTTAAAAAATTTTAGAAACTTTGAACAGGCTGTACCTATGAATAATTAGAACTACAATTGTTAATTCAATCTCAAGTCGATTGCAAAAGTTCATATTTAGTACTTACCCCACTTCTCTTCTTCCTGCGACTTGATCTGAAATAGTAATAACACTGTCTGAGTACTAACTACACTGTCTTTAAATGAAGTATGCAATAAACCAAATATGTGTCAACTCTGTATGTTATATATTTAGGGGTGGGCTCAATACTGTACATCCACATCTTTTTGATGAGGGGTACAGGAGGGACCATTTTGTTGAGACTTGTAAACTTTACGTGTACATTACAGTGTACGCAAATATAAGTACAGTGTATGGTCATATCTTATCCATTTGGGTTCAAAAAATCAACAATTAAAATGGTACTTTACTCAAACATTAATTTGTCAGACATCGATGTTTTGACTTAACCCCCATTATAAGAAAGCGTATGTTGACATAATTGAATAGCAAATATTTATGTAATCAGTAATTTTCATGGCATTCTAATCCAATTAAAATATTCCATAGGAAGATTTCATTAGCTTACTATAATTAGCTGTATCTGAGGTATTGTATGTGCATGTGTTCATATTACCCTGCTCAACTGTAAAGTATGGCAACTACTTAAAGTTATCTTATATGATGGTAGCTCATTTTTGTGGCACTTGATTTAGATTATAAAAAGGAGCACTGAACAGTTGCAAAATAGCATGTATGCCTAACAGTGTTAAGAAAAAATTAAAAAAGGTAAAGCATTTCTGAAAAGACACTTTTAGGCCCTTCAGTAGTTATATGTCTTATAGGCAGTCATTCTGATAATTTTTCAGAAATAGAAAATTCAGAGTAAACTTCAAGTAAAATTCAGAATAAACCCTCAATATAAGACATCTACAGTCTACAATTGTCTACAAGTCTACGGATACATGAACATCTATAAATAACGAAGATGACAACAACATCAATTTTTGGAAAAATACCAACCCAGAATTTTTACAGTTGCATTTTGACTTGCTGCTGCTACGTGAATCACTGGATCCTTTGGCCATACTGCTTGGTTTATTCTTAGAGTTCTTGCCACTTGAGCCACTAGATTTGCTGCTCTTGCGAGAACTGTTAAAAAGGATGCTTATTAGAATCTGCCATGTATATGTACAGGTAGTTACATGTAGTAACAAAAAATAATTACTGTTATAAGCATGGGCTTTCAATTTTGAAAGCCCATGTTATAAGTCATATGTCAATATGTCTGATATCATCTAAACTAGCCTATTTCAACTAAAATAATGTATATGGCACTTCAAAATGCTAATTTGACAACTGCCGAATCATGTAATTGCATACACGTATTATCCATTATCACGATTAAATAAATGGGAGAAAAGTATCTCATGAAATAGCAATGGTCTTAATAAAGTTCACTTTTCAAAAAAAGGGGGGTTCAAATCAAACAACATGGCTCAGAATCACTTGAAAAGTGCTCAGAATGATGAAAAGTTGCATGATTTTGAAAAAATGTTCGACCAGGAGGGGAAACATAAATTCTCTGGTTATGAGCCTAAATATTAAAATATGTATTCTCCGAACAAAATTCACCTCTTGCTCATGTATTCACTGCTACTCTCTGACTCTTCTTCACTTGTTCTGTCTTTGCCACTTGTATCTGGACCATATATGTTGACATTATCTCCTGGCTTTTTGATGAAGAAACGATCATTGTCAGCTATATCCCCTGGTTGGTCACCATCTGGTGATCCTCCAAACTGACATGGGACGGGACAGGTTCGTTCACGTGAGCGTTCACAATTACCCGAGCTACATGTACTCCAGGTTGACCAATCTCCACATGGTTCAGCTAACAATAATAACAAGGTCAATCCTTAATCGATAGGACGACTATAAGAAATATTGGTCACAGTAAGCAAAAGAGATACATGGATTATCAAGAAAGCATTACCATACATGTATAAATTAGTTTCCATGTTGACCCATGCATCATGATTCTTTGGGAATGATACATGTTTAAGTTCTACATTCCATTGCCAAAGTAAAATGTATTAACTATTAAAGTCCCCATGTAAAGTTTGAAAATATTTTATTATTCATTTACTATAGTAGTCATAGTGGAAAATGGTTTAAGAAAGTATCTATGTACATGTATGTTTACTATGCAATCACACAATTACAATGTACTTCGGATCTGTTTCATTTACTCACATTTTGATGGTAACATTATAAGGAAATAGAGTAAAATGTATGCAATAAGTTCTCACGTGTGCATGAGGGACAGTCCCTTTCTTCAACCTCTCTCTCCCAACATGTGGGATCGGGCAGGTAGAATCCTTCGGGTGCAGGGAAGTCTCGTTCCTCACTACTGCGACTTCCTCCACTACTGCCCTCACTTTCATCGCTACAGTCATATGTATGGTCACCTATTACAACAAAGGGCATTAAAGGCAACATTTAAACGAAATGTAACCTCTTTCAAACTTGTAGATATTTACATGAGAGCCTATTTTGAATTATGAAAACCTGAGATTAATATAATTAAAAGAAAAAAAAAAATTAAGACTTATAAAACAAGTACAGTATCATGTGGGGATTAGCTGATCCCCTTTGACCTTTAGACTCCACTGGCTAGAGTTCTACATGCTATACAAGTGAAAAAAAGACATTAACATGCAAAATATATCACCACCTACCATTTGCTACAGATGCCAAACACTTAAGAGCCAAATGCCGAGCAATGAACACCATTCACAAACAAGACACACAGTGATAAATATCGCACTTTGAAGAGCAAACTGGCCACCATGCAATTTACCCAGCATGGCCAAAACCTAATCAGACCTTGGCACTAGTCTGCTCTTGCATCTGTAAACATTTCAAGTTGACAAGGTTAGCGGTTTTCCTGCAATTTTGATGACAAGAATTTATTTGTAGTCTTGAACTTTGGGAAAATTTAGATAACATTGTTTGTGACCTAATTTGATGACCTTCGACCTTGAAAATTTCACTTTTTCAGACCTCAGTAGGTGTTTTGTAATTAAGCTGACCTAAATTTAAATCCAAAATATCAATTTAGAAAATCAAATTTTTGACCTTTTCAAGGTCACTGAAGGTGAATGAAAGGTCAAATCTGAAATCTTAGGTCAGATTTGAACTTCTGAGAACTTGTAGATGTTTTTAAAAAAAAAATTGGTCAATTTGGAGCAAGTTGAAAAATTCAAAATGGCCACCAAATTGAAAAATTCAAAATGGCCACCATGTAATTCAGCCAGCATACCCAAAACCTAATCAGATCGTGGCAATAGTCAGCTCTTGCATCTGTAAAAATTTCAAGTTGAACGGATAAGTGGTTTTCCTGGAATTTTGATGACAAGATTTGTTGAAAAATTCAAAATGGCCGCCACGTGGTTTACCCAGGATGCCCTTAACCTAATCAGATCTTGGTACTAGTCTGCTCTTGCATCTGTAAAAATTTCAAGTTGAACAGGTAAGCAGTTATCCTGGAAATTTGATGACAAGATTTGGTTTATGTGCCGCCCGCACATCCGCACGCCTGCAAGCCCGCCCAACAGCAGAAGACGACGACAATATAGCACTTTTTCAAAGTGCGATAAAAAGTTGGAAACTACATTTGTATAGTAGAAATGTCAACATTTGTGGTGGTGAAATAAAATTTGAAAAATTAATTTAGAAAGTTACTTGATATATGGCTTGAACTTGAAGATCCACTACTCTTGCTCCTACCACTCCCAGATCCAGAGCCTGATTTGCTGTTCTTTGACTTGCAGCTTTTCTTGCTTCCACTGTGGTAGCTTTTACTGTAAGAGCTTTTGCTAGAGCGGCTCTTGTTTTTGTGACTGTACTTTTCTGGGCAAAATACAACATATTCAAACATTATCTTTTGCATTTGTATTCTGAAGTTGCCTATTTTACTAATGCAATGATGCTACAACTGTATCTTGAAATTGTACTTGTTAAAGATTTTCTAATTCCTTCAATACTGTATTTGTTATCACCAATGTTACCCCTTCCTGATTTTGCCCTTTTTGTAGTATTGCCCTATTCTAATCTTGTCCCCATTCAATGTATACTTCCTCATACAATCCTTTTCAAATCCCTTTTATGTATTCAAATGTTGCCCTTTTTTCTGTTTCAATCAGAACTTACTTGATCCACTGCTCCCTGACTTGTGAGAGCTACTCTTACTGCCCCCACTAGCACTTGTTTTATCACTTTTACTGGCACTTCCACTCTTCTTACTATGGCTGTTGTCATCCGGGGTGAAATCAGACTCTGGGGAACTTTCAGGAGACCTAAAAATTATGAACATCAGAAATAAGATCTTTGAGATCATTTTAGAGACCTGAGAATTAAGTTAATCAAACAGGAGATCTAAAAATTAAGAACATCTGAAATGAGACCTTTGAGAACATTTTCGAGACTTAAGAACTGAGAACATCAAACAGTCCTGCAAACAGTCAAGGAAACAAACATGTTTATACATTTAAATGACTGTATTGACACGTCGGGTTTAAGAAGTTGAGACCCGGGTGACTCTTTCTTGTACTTTTAATGCCATATACAGGGTGTCCCGAAATGTTCCCATAGTATGTGGTATATATCACTTTAAAGCTTATCAAAAGTTACACTGATTTGCCAAATATCAAGGTTTAACTCATAAATCTGAAAAAGTTACAGGCATTTCAAAACTTGGTGTTCGGCCTCTAAGTTCAGTTTAGTATCCTAGAAACAGTTCTCACCTGAATGTGACTGAAAATATGGGTGTTATCGTCAAAGGTAGGATGGATATTTAGTTGGGAAAGAGGATGGGAGGCAACTTCTCCAAGGAAACTCTTCTAAAATGCTTTAAAAATGTTTTATGAGGATTACAAAATACCACACATTTATATTTGAGACGCTTTTAAACGCATATCCGAAAAAATTGCTGCTGTCAACATGGCTAGTGAGACACCAACTTTTAATTTGATGTAAAACTGAACATAAATTCTGGCCAAACACTTAATTTTGAAATGCTTGTAATCTTTTCTATTTGTGATTTGAACCATTATACTCAGCAAATCAATGTAACTTTGGATAAGCTTTAAATTGATATATGACACATGGAGACATTGGTATATGTCTACCTAGGAGGGCAGGGGGGGGGCATACTTTCCAAACACCCTGTACCTAAAACTTGGGAATATTTTCAGCTGGTGCAAAGTGTTCAGTTTAATACATGAATATTAGTGGATGACCTGCACATAATGCTTACCCTTTCTGAATTGGGTTATCACATCGTTTTGGACAGTATCGTATCCTCCTCTGTTTACAGTCTATATTGTTACAGCTGCCCCATTCACTCCATGGCTGGCAAACAGGAGCTACAATGAAAATTAAGTGTAAAAGAACTGAGCATTTAAAACAATCCACTTTTTATGGTGGTGTGCCTTATTGCACATACAGTACATGTATCTTACCTTTAAAATGATACATGACACATACAATGGAGACAATGAAAATTAAATGTAAAAGAACTGAGCATTTAAAACAATCCACTTTTTGTGGTGGTGTGCCTTCTTGCACATATCTTGATTCATAGTTCATAATGGCAGTCAGTCCATGTGAGGTGAACTTCAGAAACATTACTTTACTTATGTCTCTGATCCTGTCCCAGATAGAAACTGTTAAGTATTTAATAAATTTAGAAATGTATCAAATATTTTAAGGATGCAGTTTTATAGAATGTTAAATTAAATTGTAATTGATAATGGTGCACATGAAATAAATATGAAATTGCACACGTATATGCCTGGCAATATTTCCCTAATTGATAATCTTATCTCTGGTTTATATTCTACATCATTAAATAACTATTGGTGCAAAAACTGGATTATGAATAACTGAGTCAAAACAACAGAACAAAAGCAATCATTTCAACTGAACTGTGAAAAGGAGAAACTCTTAAGTAACCATCCTCCTAAGCAGGTATCCAGAATCCGTACCTCCTTCTTCCCCCTGCTATAACCAATTTGGAAGCGCCCGATTTAACTGAATCACGTGATCTAATTATGCGCAATGACTTATACATGATTTTTGTCGCAGTGTTGCGACAGTCAATCAGATTGCGAGTTCTTAATTGGGGAAATGCTAACTGCTTATCGCAAGGGGAAAAAAGAAAGAATATATTCTGGATTTTGAACCCCTGTGATAGGAGGATGTAAGTAACAGAATATTGATAATTAACTGCATCCACTGCCACCAATGTGCCAAACATGACACATGAAAAAATAAGTTCCAACCTTGGCATATGTCAGGAGAGCAAAGTTGCTCTTGGCTCTCTGTGTGGAAACAATCACTGTCCTCATCACTGGAACGAGCTCCACTGCTGTACATACTGGAGTAACTCTCTTGGCTCTTTACTGAGCTGTCACTGCCAGAGTTCTCACTGCTCTTACCACTACTGCTGCCACTAAAATAGGAAAAGTATTTATTTATTGAGAAATGTTCAGATTAGAGAGGTGTTTGAATATACAGGTTTTCCTGTTTAATAAAGCATGATTTATATTAAATATATTAGAACCTCTGTGGCTAGGGGAAGAATTGCCAAAAACAGAAAATTTGAAAAATAGTTGCTTTTTCACCCAGTTCATATAATGGCTGCTTTTATCCCCAATGTTGAACATGCTAAAAGGGGAAGAGAATGAACAGAGACTCACCTTCTTTTGCGTCTTCTTTTACTACTACCACTTCCGCTATTACTACTGCTTCCACCTTTATATTTTCTTTTGCTTTTAGAACCATCATCATCTTCTGAGTCTCCATGCTCCGAAACACAAGCTATTGGACACTTTCTGTAGCGTCTTCTAGTGCAGTCTAGGACACTACAGCCAGCTAAAAAAATAAAATATGAGAGACAACATGTGATGGAGGTAAAATTATGTACATGTACATACAACCCCCTTCCATACATACATCTCACAAGACCATTACTTCATGAAACACTGGTTGGTTATGTTATGTTTAAATATTAACAATTAAAAGTTTAATCATTGTTTATATTCAATTCAAAGCTTGACGGTGATATGATAATTATACATGCACAATCATTCAAAAGCTAGGAATTAGGAAATTAAACCAACTGACTTTCTGCTTCTATCATTTTTCCCATGGTTTTATATTAGACACATCTGAATATGAAAAGAAATGTATGAAATTATGGATAATGCATCAAGTCAACACAGAATTCCATGTTCTTCAATTACAGGACATTCTAAATACCGAAGACAACTTTCAACATGAGATGTACATATGCATTGTATGCATTGTACATGTCGATAAATGAAGAGTTCTGAGTCCCAATAAAAATTATTTTTTCCTAATTTTCTTTTAGAATTTTGAACTAATTTTGTTATGTTTTACACTTTCAAAATGAATATGTAAAACATACTGTGTATATAATAAATGCTCTTGATACATGTGTACTATAATCAGAAGTTAAAGTGATATCAGATCTAGCGAGTAACCCATGGACCTGAGTGAACGTTTCTTCCGAAAACTTACTTCTTACTAAATATACCAATAAATCTAATTATATTAGAAGTTTCAGAAGAAATGTGGACTCGAGTCCATGGAGTAACCTTAGCGAAAATAACAGATTCTGATGATGTTAAAGCAGGCTATTATATAAAAATATTTTTACCAGACCACACAGACCATTCAAAGCAAACACCCAGAAACAATACGTCAGGTTCCTCGTAGCTCCTCGTTGCAGATGATTTATATCTATACTTATACTTGGAGCTTTTTGAACTTTTGCTACTTCCACTTCCTTTGCTACTTTTATACTGGTACCTTGACCATGAGAAACTGGAAAATAAATGTAATTACATTATGAGTATACGATTCAGGCCCATAGCCAGGATTTGCCAAGGGGGTTCACTTTTTGAAAAATTCCAGGGGGGTTCACTTTTGACAATTTTGGTCCTAAATTGGCCAAAATCACTTAAAAAGTGCTTAGCATGGTGAAAAACTGCATGATTTTGAAAGAATTTTTGGCCAGGGGGGGTTCACCCAAACCCATTGAACCCCCCCTGGCTACGGGCCTGTGATTATATAACAAATAGGAAAAACCTAAATCAACAAATAGTAACATGGTAATTAAATCAGGAATCGTGAAACATGTGAAACTGTAATGTGTAAATAAAACAAGAAACAGAGGGAATAATACTGCACCCTTGCAGCAACTCATTAGTTTGCAGCCTCCTTAGTATTAGTATACATGTACATATACTAAAACGTAGTACAGCATTGTACATGTACATTATATAATGATCATTCATTTCTGATCAAAGACAAATAAAGTGAGAAGAAAAAGTTGCAATTGTTATGAGAATTTAGAATTTATTTCATGTTTCAAAACATATGATGACAATTTTTCAGATTTCATCAGTTTAGTATTCTCACCTCTGAGCGATAACAGTCCCATTTGGATATGTTTTTTCAGCAGCAACTGTAAATAAAAAAATATGATTTGAAACATTTATTATGGACTAAAAGCTACGTGTTATTAAATTATTATTAAAGCATTAAATTCTCACTATTTTAAGTTTGAATTTCTCGTTTCAATTACATTTTTAAGGATTTCTGGCCATGTTCAGTTAAGGAATGAGTTGGGTACAATTTAAACTTACTCTCCCCGCATGTATCACAGCCTATAAGCATATTTTCATTGGTAATCTGCTGATGATATATGCCATTGCTTAGACCTTGACAGTATGAGCCCTCTGGAAGACATTGCTGAACCATTCGACGCCGACATTGATTATTTATCATGACACACATCTTTTCACCAGTAACTTCTCCTAACTGGCCATTAACTGCAAAACAAAATCACTTCCAACATGCATGTTTGTAATACCAGGTCATTCAATAAGTTCACGGAAAAATGGCTCTCATTTCAAAGATTTTGATATTTTCTCATGAAATTTTCACACAATGCATAAAAAATACTTTCCGATTGATTCTCAAAATATCAGCATCTCTTATTTGATTGGTCAAAAATAAGGGTTTCTATGGTAACTTGCACTTTGGCTGCAAATGTAACAAACTAAAATGTTGTTTCTACTTGCAGTATATTGCAAAAATTTCAATCTGTTTGACCCAAAGTTATGAAAATAATATGTTGCTCAAGTCAATGTATGTGTTTTTGGGCATTTAGACATGGAAGAAAATGGTAACATTCTTAAATGACCTCAAGGTGATTCTGGATTTTTCTCATTTGGTGAACATAAGTTTGTGACAAACCATCAAGTCAAGTTTTCATTCACGAGATCAAAATACTTCTTTTCAATCTATATATCTTAAAAAAAAACTTACGTTTTGGTTCAAATGGAACAGTGTTACAAAGCTTTCCGGCACAGCAAGAAATACATGTTGATTTTTTACATTGGATATCTCCATTCTGTACTTTGCACTTTTTCTTAGGTTGGCATCCGAGACTTTTGTATTTGAGGGGTTCCATCTTGGCATTTACTTCCACTTGGGTCATACACACCTGGAGCAAACATTGTAATTATTTAAAACTATGCATACACCACATACATATACCGGTAGTTATAGGGGCAATGAGGTAAACAAGACAGGGGTCAAGGAAGGCATGGATATTACTCAAGATTCTAATTTCTTGTTTCCTGATTTATGGCTCTTTGACACCCTCTCTCTCTCACATTGGCTTGCTTAACTATTGTACCTTAATTATTATTATTTCAGAAGTAATTTTGAACTAATGAGCCAATTGTATTCTAGAATGGATAAATGTAATAATGAACAGATAATCTGATCAATCAGTACAGTGACTCGAGAATAACAAACATACTGCAGTAAAACCTATTTATGGTGAACACATGGAGCCACAAAAAAGTGTTCACTTTAGGTAGGTGTCCACAGCTGAGAGGGGATTTTAATGTAAAAGGTCAATGTAAAATGTGGCTTGAAGTAGTGTCTACTAGCGACAAGTGTTCACTAGAGAGACATGTTCAATAAGGCAGGTTTTACTGTGTATGATATGTGTTATTCAATTTTATTCTATTTGAGGAATCAAACCACACACTATATTGACTCGAAACCATGCCACAGTCATTCAATGATTCATTTTTTTTCTTTTTTTTTCATTCAATGATTCTACCTGTTCAGCTCCACATATCTGCTCTTTGTTACACTTTTGCAAGTTCCCAGTATCTACATTTCTACAACTGTAACAACTTTCAGAAAATTGCTCATCAGAAGACCTCTTAGCTCTAGTATGGGCATGCAGGTCATTAGTCAAAGCATCCACTGAAATACAAATAGAATGACAACTGTACAAAAAGAAACATGCACAAGAATTAATAATATAAATTATCATCAAAACTTCTTTTTACTTTTTGAGCAATTACAAAAGAGTACTATGTAAATAAGTGTTAAAAACAAAAGTAAAATAAAAAACAAAAGAGTAAAATATGAATATAGTATGTGTATCAAATATGCTAAGAGCCAACACATATCTATCCATAAAGATATTTACACTGTACATAATATGTTTATAGAGAGGAAACCACCTTTACGCCATATCTGAGACTATTCTGATTCATTTTATGTTAGTCTCAGGCCATATGAATGGTTTAAAAACGGTACCCAGAGGTCTCGGTATATTCATCAACTGACATACATGTATTAACCAATGTATATTGCCCCACACTTTCTAGTTGGCTAGTGTCAGGAGCTAGTGTAAGCGAAGCGAGACCCCAAAAGGGAGAATGGTATGAGGCTTAAGGGGTGTATACACTGACCAGGAGCGTAGCCAGCTTTCAATCAGTGCAATCGCCAAAAGATTTCAGTCAGGGGAGTCAGGGCCGTCAGATGGGGGGGGGGGGGGGTGCGATGGGTGCGACCGCACCCCCCTTTGTCACCCCCCAAAATAAATTTGAAAAAAAAATTTTGAAACATTTATTTTTTGAAAAAAAAAAATTTTTGTAATTTTTTTTCATTGACTCATACACTTTGAAAGTACCAAGAAAGCACCAAATAGCATCTTAAAATTGTAAAATTCTCTAGGGGTATTGGCCACCCCTCACACCCCCCACAAAACAATGGAAAAGTTCTAAATTTATTTTAGTGTTTTGTCTCAGACACTTTTAAAGTGCCCAGACATCATCAAATAGCTCCTTGATATAGTTAGTGTTTCTGGGGGACTTGCCCCCCCCTCTTGCATCTTGCACTTGCATAACCCCCCCCCCCCCTCTGGCGCCCCCCCCCCCTTGACCCCCCCCCCAAAAAAGGGATTTTCTCAAATTCTTTAATTAATTCTTACACTTTGAAAGTGCCCAAAAAGCACCAAATAGCGTCGTAAAATTGTAAAATTTCCTAGGGGGAGTGGGCCACCCCTCACACCCCAATCAAAACAATGGAAAAGTTCTGAATTTGTTTTGTCTCAGACACTTTTAAATTGCCCAGACATCATCAAATAGCTCCTTGATAAAGTTAATGATTCTGGAAGACTAACACTTACTCGCCCTCTGGCATCCCCACTCCACCTCCCCATCTGGCAGCCCCCCCCCCCTTAACCCCCCCCCCCCCCCCTCAAAAAATTGAGATATATCGACTCATATCCTTTGAAAGTGCCCAGAAAGCACCAAATAGCATCTTAGCATAGCATGTAAAACTTTCTTAGGAAATAGGCACTTTTAGGCACAGACACTTTTAGTGCCCAAACTTCATCGGATAGCACCTTGATATTGTAAATTTTGATATGGGGGACAAACACTTGCTCCACCTCTGGCACCCCAGCCCCACCTCCCCCTCTGGCACCCCCCTCCCTTTGACACCCCCAAAATTGTGAAAAAAAATTGTGATTGTTTTTCAATGTTTTTATTGACTAATACACTTTAAAAGTGCCCAGAAGCACCAAATATCATCTTTAAATTGTAAAATTTTCTAGGAGAGTGAGCCACCCCTCACACCCCCCACAAAACAAAAGAAAATATTCTGAATTTCATGTATTGTCTCAGACATTTTTTAAGTGCCCAGACATCATCAAATAGCAACTTGATATGGTCAATGTTTCTGGGGGAAAACCCCTTGCTCCCCTACTGGCACCCCACTACTTTTTTAAAATTGCCGCTAATGTTTTTTTATAAAACTTTGGCAATCAATTGCATGTCTTCTATTGTTTACTAAAGGAATAAATTTATGTATATAAAAAAAAACTGGCACCACCCCACTTCACCCTCTCATCCTCTTTGACACCCCCAAAAGAATTTGAAAAAAATCATATTTTTCTTATTGACTCATACATGTCATAACGCACAGGCGTACCAGATGGTTGCAAATTCGCTCCAAATACATCCAAATTTCAAAATTTTCCTGGGGGAGAACCCCCAGACCCTTCGGAATGCTCGGTTTTTTATTCACTCCAGTCTTATTCTCGCGGTGGTGGCGTACTACTTGGAAACTTACTGACTTTGAAAGTGCCCAGAAAGCACCAAATAGCATCTCAAAACTGTAAAATTTTCTAGGGGGAGTGAACCACTCCTCACACCCCCCACAAAACAATTGGAACGTTTGGAAGTTGCATTTGTTAATTCCAAACCAATATAGGGAGTTACTGAGCCACCCCCCTCTGACTTACGCGATTTGATTTACGCGGCAAAAAATTGACAATTTTATATTCTCTTTAGTAAGCTAAAAACCGCACCCCCCTTGGAGAAAAGTGTCTTACGGGCCTGGGAGTGTGATTGTGGCATAAACAAGTCAAAAAAATAAGATTTATATTGAATTTTACAAAAATTGATCGACTTTCTGCAAAATTGAACTCCATGTAGAAGCTTCAAATGAAAACCATTTTAGAGCTCTTTTTGACGCAACAAAGGTGAAAGGGTTTCATTAAAATGTGTGTTCGAACCTCTAGTAAGTAAAATCCTAATCTTCTGGCAAGTATGTTATCTCACGTCCTTGCTTCAGCCATGGGCTTTCAACTAGAGTTGAAAGCCCATGCTTCAGCCATGAAACTTAGTGTACTGGCTTGCTACTTACCAAAGTTGACAAAATCTTACTTAGGTCCAAAGCCTTCTCTATATTCCTACTATATAAAGCTAGTTATATGTCTCTGGCTAGACTTGAGACATAAGTAGGCCCAGTCGAGCCCTCGGCTGAGCTGGTAATTAGCAAATGATAACAAATTATAAAAATGCCGCTTTGAAAAGTTCAATTCTTGTACAAGAAAGACTGAATAGAACTATACGTAAAGACGCAATAGCGAAATATTAACACAGAACGAAATTTCTACAACATAGGCCCGGGAGGAATACACCAAGTGACAGATCAAGTTCAACTTAAATCCTGAACAAATGTAAGTATGTCTAATTTATTTACCTGTTAAATAAAAGAGAGTTACATTCATATTAACAATCTGGGTAGATTTAATTCAGATTTATTATCAAATCTTATTGTAAAGTAAACATGTGAAGTTTGAAAATATGTTTTTTATCATTCATTTACTATTTATCATGCCTTTAAAGCACAGTCACGGGAACAAGAGTCATCCCCCTCCCACTCACTTTGTATTAGGTAGAAAATTCTTACATAATACAGTGAGTAAGGGGATTTAAATCTTCTTCCTGGGCCTGTGCTGTGAAGTTATTTTGGACACCCGTAGCATGATGGCGTCAGCGGGGTTGATATTTAAACTAATTTGGGTTTTAATAATCCTCATCAAGTCTATTTACAAAGGCTGGTATCGAACGATTTGTCCGCTGTGACGGAGCATGTTATTTTAATAAAAACACTAAGAAAACCACACACTATATTTTTAACTCATGATGTTTCGTTATACCAAAGAAAACTATGTACTTATACTTGATGCAATGGATATATCTTTTGCGGGTAACTTTCAATTATGTTTGAAGTCCAATAACGCTTCAAGAGGAAAAGCTGGAAATACTTGCTGTTACTGTTTTTAGGTTTTTACGAGTTGTAAACGCAGTGCAAAAGAGTTGCATACGATGAGGCTGGTATCGAAAGATTTGTCCGCTGTGACAGAGCATGCTATTTTTCATAAAAACACTAAGAATACTCCATGATTTATTTTTAACTCATATGTTTCGTTATACCGAAGAAAATAACTTACTCCATGCAATGGATATATCATTTGCGGGTAACTTTCACTTCTGTTTGAAGTCCAATAACGCTGGGAGGAAAAGCTATTGAAAATGGCGGCGGAATATCATACTCCCGGGATCATACTCCAAAATGTACCATTTCTTGTTTCACTTTTTAATGACACGATATAGTGACACGATAATATTTACATATGTTTCAGCATAACTATGAAGGTACACTCCCCTCCATAAGTTTGGCAACCTTTGCTCCCCCATTGAACTACGTGTTAAAGCCTCTTTACGTTTGAATTTTTATTTACTTAACCGGCCATGAAATAACTTATGATATTGATGGAAACGTAATTTGACTTTATTTCCAATACCTCCAAATTTTCTAAATTTTTTTCCTCGATTACAATAGGTCGAAAATTGATGATAAATTTGATGAATTTTTGAAAATCGTCATTCCCATGTAATCCAATGGGAAATGGAGGGTTCGGGGCAAATCAGGATATCTTTTCAGTAAAAGATTCAGCAAAAATATTTTTATGTAGAAAATTTAATTGTCTAACTTGTTTGAACACTAGGTGTTAAGTTGAATATTAAAGTTACAGCGCTTCAAAGTCATTTTTGAAAATAATTTTTCGCCTCCTGTGTTATTTCAATGGGAGAGGTTTTTTGAAAAACAATTTTGACTTTAAAGCCCTATAACTTTGTTGAACCTGAAGAAACATATCAATTTTTTGTTAAATAAATTTAGCGAATTCAATTGCCTGCCTAACTCGTATTTTTTGCAAGGACTCGGATGGATGGATATTCTGTCATATGACTTGCGGAAAACCTACCATTTCCCATTGGTAAGCATGGGGATGTCGAGTTTTAAAAATTCATCAAATTTATCATCAATTTCCGACCTATTGTAATTGAGGAAAAAAATTGAGAAAATTTGGAGGTATTGGAATTAAAGTCAAATTACGTTTCCATCAATAGTATAAGTATTTTCATCGTAGGTTAAGTAAATAAAAATTCAAAGGTAAAGAGGCTAGTTCAATGGGGGAGCTAAGGTTGCCAAACTTATGGAGGGGAGTGTATAAATGAGATCTTGATGTATTGGGAATTTTTAATTCTTTTATAACGTTTAAATTATTTGTCCGCTGTGACAGAGCAGTTGCAAATGTGAACTGTGAAAATGTTCCGTCA